ACTCTAGAGGATCCCCCAAAGTTTTTGAAGTTTCTGAAAACGTCCCTCATTTTTTGATTGTAGATGCTGAGCATATTGGCAGATGTGCTCTCCCATCTTCCAAGAATAGAGACAGTATGCCTGGTATTCTGGCGGCTATGTGGACAGTTGCGCTCCGAAATGTGACAGACCAATTCAATATTGCTTCGACCGGAAAGTTTATGGAAAGTGCCAATTATCTGGGTGCAAAAGATTGTCAATGGTCAAATGCGCGTAGTCCCAAGAACATATGTTTCCAGCAGTTTGTCATCGAATGCCACCGATGTGTGTAGAATCCTCAGCTGTTTTTTCAATTTAAAAAAAAACAAAAAAAAATGAAAAGAAATTTTGAAAAATCTTCGATGAACCCATGAGCATATTTGTGAGTTTCTTCAAAAATTATATTCTGTTTTTATTCTGGAAAATGCCTATTCATAACGAGAAACTCCCGAAAAACATGTTTAGATTGCGTAAATTTTATTCCAGAGCCAGTTATAGCAGCTTAAAATAAAACAAAAAAAATTTTGCAAAATTTTTGGGATCGGAAGAAGCGAACCTACAACCTTCCTCCTCTGAACTCCTCCACTTTACCACACTGTTGATTGAAATCTATTGTTTTAAAAGAAATACACTATTCCGTGAAAAAAATTTCACGAGAAATTGCTTAATCATAGGGAAACTTTTCTAGGTCATAACTCAGCTCACGTGAGCATTTCGCTGATTTTTTAAACAGATTTGGAATCCTCACAAGCTCTTCTATCTGCTTCCAAAAATTCAAAAAAAGTTAAACCTGCTCCCTCAAGTAACTCCCTTGTAAATTATTCCGTGTGTTTTCAAGTACCCACGAATTCAAAAAAACACGACCTTGATCCCATGACATGCTCCACTAACCTCCCCCCCCCCCCGCCTTATTTCGAAAGTCTTGTGGATCCAGAGATCCAAAGACAATCAGTCTCAACTTCAACATCCACAACAACAACCTCCTCCTCTCTTCTCCTCTTGCCTTTCCTTCTGTATCTCGAAGGATGTGTCGGCGTCGACCAGTCTTGGTAATCCGAACCATATCTACGTATCCTGAAAACATGATTCAGTTTGGGAAGACGTCACTACACAGGGATCCCCTCTATGGAGCTTCTTCTGCCCCGCCTCCTCCTACTTCTGGATCACGACCGGTAAACCTAAGCGTCTCTAATTCTCGTCTCATTAATTACTTGGTCGAGGTCGAGTGCCACGTCTCGCGATTTCGCCAAGTCGATTGAGGATTGATGAGGAGTCCTACGTTCGAACAACCGCTTGTAGTGTAGCTCCAGGCCCCATTCAGGCCAAACACTTGGCAGGTACGCTACTTTTTCTACTCTTATTGGCTCCTGAGAAGCTGGCATCATGTAGAAAATGGTATTTAACTAACTGCCCCCGCACACTCACAACCAATAGAAATAAGAAATTCATGAATCCTCAAGATTTTAGGATTTTAGAAAGATTTTCTTAAACATTCCTCCTCCTTTTTAAATAGGTCTTATTTAGAATCTTCAGAACCTTCAGAATCTTCAGAATCTCTAGAATCTCTAGAATCTTCCTTCCTTTTTTAAGTAGGTTTTAGATTTATAAGATTTCTGAAGAAGTCACTGAAGAAGTGTTGACATTTTCTGGTTTTCTTACACTTTCATCGAACCCCATCGGCTATGGCTGACTGAGATCCCAAGTGGATCTCAGTGAGTCGATGGTTTAGCTGGTTCGATAGTGTACTGAAGATTGGAACTTGTCTTCTGAATTCTTCTGGAATCTTCTGAATATTTTAAATCTTGAGAATCTCCCTTTCCTTTTTAAATAAGTCAACCAGCAAATATTTCTGTTAATTGTAACATTTTTTCAGGACTTCCGTTTTTACAGAACTGAAACTTTCACCAACGATGCTCTAGCTTCATTTGAATTTTCATACCTTTCTGTTTCTTATTAATTTTCTTTTGGTTTTTTTTAATTGTTTATTGTTCGGAATTTTTCGTTTGATTGTAGCTGTTCATGTTAAAGATTTTCAATGGCTTCAACTTGAAAGTTAAAATTTCAGATATTCATTTAAAAAAAGTTCGAAAATTTGAAAATAAAAATACATTGAAATTTTGGGGACCCCGAAAATCGGAAGTTCTGAAATTAGAAATTCAAGTTTCAGATATAGTAGGCGGAAAAAAGAGTTTGAGCCCCCGGCAAGGGACGTAAACCGAATTCATGGAGATATGATTAGTGATAACTCTCAATCTATAAATCTGGAAACCAAATCCTGCAAACCCAGACCAAAAACTTAGATGTAGGTTCTATGCTGTTTGAAGAAGTGAAGCAATTAAAATATTGGAAATTTATTTCTCAAAAAGTTTTTAATAGACGTTGCCAGACATCTCATCCGTCTGAAACGGACCGGAATTTCAATGATGTGTGAAATGGAACGTACAAAAATCCATTGCGAGTATTTTAATTCCTCACTTCTTTCCCTCTTTCTGTTCCTCTTCATCTGTCTGCTTTCATCTCATTTCTGATGACACAACCGCAGGATATTCTAAGAAAAGAAGACCGGTCTTCTTCTCCGAATGACGCGGCGGATGACGCGGCGGATGACGCTCTCGCGGACGACGGACACCGTTTTCACTGTGGAAACCAATCGACTTTGATTTCTTTTTTCACATTGTTTTGATCTGTCTATTTGATCTACCTGTGGTTTTTTTGTGATGTTGATGATAATGCTAAATAGGGACAAGCCGCCAGACCGCCAAGCATCTGTTTCCATCGAATTCGCTTCTAATTTGTTTCTTTGATGTATATTTTTTTGTTTCAAACCATTTTTTTCGTTTGAGATAAATGAAAATAAATACCTTTGCCAATTTCTTTCAAATTTTTCCTGAAATTGATGTTCGAAGTTCCCAAATAGTAGAAAAATATCCCAGAAGTTTGAAACTCTATGTGCTCAAAGATAAAACCAATTTTTTTGAATATTTTCTTCTTTCTTCTTTCTCTTTTCTTCAACTTTCTCAGGAAAATTACAGTAAGCACCCTAATAGAAGGCCACCGTATAAGTGCACTTTGAGCTCTATTATCTCATTTTTTATAAGAGATATTAAACATGGGTCAACTAATAAAACGTTGACAATACTTTGTCAAACATTTTATCAATTGACCGATTTTTGACATCTTTCACAGGAATTGAGATAATTGAACTCAACGTGCAAGTGTGAGGTATCCTTCTATTAGGGTATTCACGGTATCTACTACTGTAGTTTTCGAATATTCTGGTGTGTACCGGATTTCACCAATTTTAATAATATTTTTAACTAGATTATTCTGATCTAGACTAGCAAACTAACTTTTTTGATGATAGATCAAAAGTAGATCATGTTATTTGAAATTCTTTTCACTGCGCTAAACCAAATCTTGGATCACTTTTTCTTCTTATTCGATGAATATTTTCAATCTTTCCAACAGTTGCGTATTCAAGAATCGTTTTCAATGTCTCTGTATTTTTATTCATCCTCTATCTTTTCAGAATGGCATGGGACTGTGTGGAGCGGCGTGCGGCGTCGCTGTTCCGACAGCTCGGATTTTTCGTTTGTGATCATCCACTTCCGTTTATCGTATTTCCTCTTTTGTTCACAACTGCAATGGGAGTCGGTCTTCTTCATCTGAATCCATTATCTGATGCGGTTTATCTATTCACACCTATCGGAGCACAAAGTAAAATGGAGCGAATGTCGATTCATGAGAAATGGCCACTTACTGATAACAATTACATTCCGGGACGAGCTGTAACACAGAGTCGAGAAATTCAAGTGACAGCTCTTGCGAGAAACGATTCAAACATATTGGATACAAAGTTTGCGAATGCGGTTTATCAACTGGACAAGTACATTCAAACTAGGTGAATCAATTTAAAATTTTAAAGTTTTCAAAGAAAAGTTCCAGAGTTCGTGTGCTTCACAATGGTCACTATTATAGTTATAAAAACCTGTGTTTGCAATACAAAAGTAAGCATTTGTTGGAGTTTGGATTTCCAAAAAAACCTTTTTTCCAGATGGCGGATGCCCTTCTAACAAACATGTCCATATTCTTTCTGATTTGTACAATCATGGATTCAATATCACTTACCCGTATTTCCGCTTTGGATCCGAGTAAGCATCAATATTAATTTTTCTGTAATATAGTTCTGAATTCTTACAGGGGCGGCTATATTGGAAGCAGTTTAGGAGGAGTGACAGTGATGAAAGGAGAGAATGAAACGGATATTCTTGCCTCTGCTAAAGCGTGGTTCATGATTTATCATTTGAAATTTCATCCAGAAGAAATGAGTTATATATCTGGAGAATGGGAGCTTGAATTGGGAAGAATGCTGAAAGACTATCCAGAGGATCCGTATATTTCCATCACCTACTTCCATTCACAAACACTAGCAGATGAGCTGAAACGAAACGCTGATACTTTGGTTCCCCGTTTCGTTATATCTTTCACTTTGCTTGTCGTTTTTTCAACCCTCTGTTCGTTATGCTTCATCGATGGATCGTTTTCGATTGACTGGGTCCTTTCCAAACCAATTTTATCTATTCTTGGAGTTGTGAATGCCGGAATTGCTATCCTAACTGGAATCGGATGTCTTTCACTCATTGGAATGCCCTACAACGATATTGTCGGAGTCATGCCATTCCTCGTCGTTGCCGTAGGAACGGACAACATGTTTCTGATGGTTGCTGCTGTTCGACGAACATCAAGAACCCATACAGTGCATGAGCGGATGGGAGAATGTATGGCAGACGCTGCCGTTTCTATTCTGATCACTTCCAGCACAGGTAAACGTTGAGAAGAAATTCAATTAGGAATAAGTTGATATTTCAGATGTTTTGTCGTTTGGTGTTGGTACAATTACTACAATTCCAGCCGTTCAAATTTTCTGTGTCTACACCGGAGTCGCTATTTTCTTTGCCTTCCTTTATCAGATCACTTTCTTCGCTGCTTGCTTGGCACTTGCTATGAAGCATGAAGCAGCTGGACGTAACTCCATGTTCTTTGTAGAATCTGTTCCGGCCGAGAAGAGAAAATCACTGAGCACGTTCCAACGAATTTTCAACATGGGAAGCGTCCCTGATCATTCATCGTCCAACGATGTGAAACAACCATTAACCTCGCGATTCTTCGGAGAATGGTACGCTCCTGTCCTCATGAATCCATTTGTTCGTGGAATCGCAATGGTGTGGTTTGTGATCTACCTACTAGGTGCGAGTTACGGATGTTCTCGAATCAAAGAAGGGTTGGAACCTGTTAACTTGCTCGTCGAAGACTCTTATGCTATTCCACATTATCGGCTTTTGGAGAAATACTTCTGGAAATATGGACAACAAGTGCAAATCGTGATCAATAACGCTCCAGATCTTAGAAATCACACATCAAGGGATCGAGTTCATGCGATGGTTCTTGATTTTGCCACTAGCAAACATGCCATTGGAATGGAATCGGTTCAATTTTGGCTTTTCGAAATGGAACGATACTACCAAAAGGAATTGCAAGTTCAAATAATCGACTCTTCCTTTTATGGACTTCTTCAACATTTCCTTGCTTCAAAGACTAACAATCCACTGGCAGAAGATATTTACTGGGGACCGATGCCAGACGATGATAATGGTACAATGGTGCAGAGCTTCCGATTCATAGTTGGTATGAAGGATTTAGTAACGACGATGGATCAGACGGACGCTACAATGTCTTTTAGGGATGTCGCCGCTCGGTGGCCCGAATTCAATGTAACGACATTCATGCCGATTTGGATGTTCACCGACCAATACATTATCATCATCCCTAACACTGTTCAGAACATTATCATTGCTCTTCTCGTTATGATCGTCATCGCTGTGCTCTTCATTCCCCAGCCAATGTGCTCTCTGTGGGTTGCACTAGCATGCGCATCTATTGACTTCGGAGTTATTGGATATATGACTCTGTGGGGTGTCAACCTGGATGCGATTTCAATGATTACAATTATCATGTCGATCGGATTCTCGGTCGACTATTCTGCACATATTGCGTACGGCTACGTAGTTTCCACCAGAGACACCGCCACAGGCAGGGTGCAGGAGGCATTATCCGCACTTGGATGGCCACTTTTCCAGGGAGCAATGTCAACAATTATTGCAGTTTCTGTTCTTGCTGACATTCCCGCATACATGATTGTAACATTTTTCAAAACGGTAATTTATCTTTTGAAAGTCTCCCGTCATATTGGTTTTTTTCAGGTGGTCCTATCAATTTCACTTGGCCTTCTTCACGGATTAGTCTTCCTACCAGTCTTGCTATCAATTTTCGTTCGTGGTTGTTGCATCATTCCAAGCTCACCCCATAACCATCATAGTGCTCAGAAAGTTGAAAAGGTTCAACAGTTCTCAAAAATGTTTTAATGTCAACTTTCTTTCAGCAAATGAAAATTGCTGCAATCACATCAAGCCCACTTCACCTACAAACGGTTGCACCTATCAGGGCATCTTCACCTATTAGCTTTCCTCATAGATTCGAATACACAGATGACTCGCCAACAGTTCATAACAGGTCAAAATCGTCGATGAAATCGGAACATCTAGACTAGCAGTCAATTATTTGTATGACTAACTTATTTAATACGTGTATTGTAGGTTATTATGAATATCCTACGCTGTTTGTGAATATATGTGAATGAACTTCTGCAGCCTTCTCAAGTCTTGCCTTTTTAGCCGAAGTTCAATCTTCGCCATTTTTTCTAATCGTGTTCAGGGTCTAGCTGTTTCGTAACCAAATAAACAGTTTGTATATTCCGTTTTTTTTCCTGAGTAACCAACGGCTAACTTTCATAACAAATTTATGAACAGCGGAAAACAACAACAATTTACTTATTCTCCTCAGCGGCATCTCTGGCTCTCTTCTCACGCTTTCCACGGTATTTCTTGTCAGCTCGCTCCTTGCGGAGAAGTCTGAAGATCTCGACCTTGCGTTCGGCTTCAGTAACTTGGCGTGGCTCTTCGAAGGTGATGGTGTGGGAGAGTGGAAGGATATCTCCGCGGAGTTGAGCGGCGACCTTGAGTTCTTCAGCCTGAATTATAGAAGATGAAAAAAATGTCAAAATTTTGTGCCTTACGGAGCTGTCTCCCTTCTTTGGCGCGCTGAGCTTCTTCGGGAAGAGGATGAGCTTAGCCTTGTACTCCTTGAGACGATCAGCATTAGCCTAGAAAAATTAAATTGATTTATTCCCTATGTAGTTGGTATCGAACCTTAAGTCCCTCGGCGGTCTTGTTGGTTCTTCTGACATCAACAGCGATTCCGATGGTGCGGGCCTCAACTTGAGAGATACCGGCAGCCTTCAACTCTTGGAGGGAGAATCCGCGTCCAAGGCGAGTCTTGGTGTTGTATCTCTTGTTTGGGCAACGAACAACAGATCTTTAAAAGCCAGGTTATTTTTTAAATTACAAGAAGCAACAAACCTGAGAAGTCCAGCAACTGGGCGTGGAGCGATCTCGACAGCCTTTGCTTGACGGTTCTGTCTTCTGCGAAGCTTGCGGGCTGGTTGGTTGAACCAGGTCTTAATACGCTTATGCCAGTGCTTGCGGAAATGGGCATTGCCCAACATTTGGTTTCCACGTGGAGCCATTGTACCCTGAAATCAGTTAAGTGTAAGCTACTTCAGAAACCAAAAAAAACGGAAACAGATCAGAGGAACATTAATTGAGAAATTCTGGACAGATTTTTTGCAAGAACAGTTTCAAAAACGAGAGTAAACGCTTCAGTAACGCCATAATAACCCCCGAAAGTTACATTTTCAGGCGAAAATTCGGTTAATATTCAAATTTTTACATATTTTATTTCAAAAAGCAAGAAAAATGGGCATTTTATCAAAAAAAGAAGAAAAACTCGAAAAATTTAGCGCCCCTGCGTTTCCCTAGCGTTGACAGCGTTGAATACTCAGTCAAGCATTTGGCTGCGCTATTTATCGCGGCGAGACCCGTGGGCTGTTACCTCTGTGTCGATTTACGTCGGTACTGGGGGATCCATGATTTGTTTTTTTAAACACATGAAACTCATTTTTCACATACATGATAGGTTTAAAAAAAAACAATTTTATGTCGTGATTAACCTCATTAGATTCGGAATAACAGCGTCTGGGATATTCATAGTAGATTTTTTTTTCTATTTTCGGAACCAGTAAAAGTTTTAATATTGAGTTTTGAATAACCTCAATAAAGATGCAGTTATAAAATTTTGGATGATCGTTACTCATTGAGTATTTTTCGTTTCTGGATTAATTACTGTGCAAAGTTCATGGAAAATCTGTTTGAGTTTGTCGATTATTCCCGATGAATAAAAATTATCGAATGAACCTGTAAACATAGATACAGTTTATTACACATTTTCAAGTTTACAGATTGAGATTTAAGAATATAATTTTTAAAAATCAGACAACATAGACTATAGATTTGTAATGAGTTGTTCATTTGGTCTGAGAGATCAAGAATTCACTTTCCGTGGGCTTTATCATAGGTGTCCTTGTTTTTGTATGCTCCGACATATCCAGTGTTTTCGGCGGTGTCGTCACGGCCAGATTTGCCCTTTCCTGCAATAAACCCAATTTCTAGAGATTTTTATTTTGCTACTACCTTTTCCTTCAGCGTCGAATCGCTCTTTGTGGGCTCCAGTATATTTCGTATGGTCTGTAAGACGACTGTAAACACCTCCTGCGTTTGTCTTCGCTGCTCCTCCAACACTCGGAGCCTCTAATTTCGCAAGCTTCTCGGTGATAGCATCTAATTCGTCTTGGATAGATTTCTGGCTCTTTTTTGCGCGATCCTCGGCAACAAAGGCCAGAACTTTCTTGGTTTCATCGAATGTCGCCTTCTTCTTCGGTCTGAAAGTATTTCATAACCTTTGTCTAAAATCGGTGTTTGGATTGTTGAGAACTTATTTACCCAGTGACTTTACTGAAAGCAATTCCAGTCATGGTTCCGGTGATGGTCTTGTTGTCAAGAACACCTGCATCTTTTAGCCACTTATCGAAGTTCTTTCCAGTCATTTCGGTAGCAGTGGCAGCTCCAAACTTGGTGAAGGCATCCCATCTACAACAATTACATTATACACAGAAACGGTAGTTTTCTCACTTCTTCTTCACATCAACATTATCCCAGTTGAACTCAGCGTTAGCAGCCATTGCTTTCTAGAAAAAGAAAAAGGTGTGGGTATTTAGAAAAAGGAGAATAACGAGCGGAAAAAGAATAGGACCGGATGGAAACCATGGAAACATGAAAATATTCAAAGAAAGAGTGAGAGTAGAATAAGAGACGAGCAAAAATCAGAAATAGGCGGTGCGCATTGAGTCCTCGTGATCAATCTCATGAGGATTATTGCTGAGAATGCTTTTTTGTTTAGAAGGAAATGAGGTTGGTCAGATTTGAATTGGAAATGGGTGAGCTCAATATGTGTCGGAAAAAATGGACCAAAAGTTGAGAGTGGAGTGAAGGCACAATGGAGGAAAAGCCAAGATTATTATCTATTCATTCTTCGCGCAGCCAGTAGCCTTGTTCCCTAATTGCGCCGCCCGAGAAGCGTAACGAGCCCAACGACTTGGACGGTGATGAGTGGAACGAAGAGAGAATCAGGAAAGATTTTGAAAGTCGAGAGATAGGGCAAATGCGTTCAATGAATGAGGAAAAACTTCTTTACGGCTTTCGTTGCTTTCTTTCTTCAATTTCGGTGTCCATCTCTCGTTCTCTCCCACTGATAAATCATCAGTGGTGGGCATGCTCTCTGAGTTTAAATACAAAAAAGTAGTGCAAAGGGGAATACATATTGCGAAACACCAAATTGGAAGACTTCCATCAATTGCGAAATGGAGTGGTACAGCGAGGATTCATGAATTCGTTATGGGCGTTTCGGAGATTTTATTAATAAAAAAACGAATGAGTATTAGAGTCTGAAGGCTACCAAGTGTAAAGTTGTTGGAACAAAGGTTCACCTGAAGACGGACAAGGTGCGGATCTAATTTTACAAGCGCTAAATTAGGCAATTATTTTCAAATTATACGATTCGGGAAATCCTTTTGTTTCGGGTGATACGAGTTAGATTAGAAAACGGAGAAGAAAAGGCTGAATGCATTGTCGTCGGGAATAGAACAATCCATGCTTTTCTACATTAGTTTTTGCGGAACTTCTAAAATTCTGTGAATTTGGTGTGGTGACATCGTATCGAAGTAAGCTGATTGAACATTAAATTATTGAAAAAGAAGGAATACGTTATTTTGGAAAATGGGTTTATGATACACCCAGTCATGAGTAGAAACATGTAACACCAAGATGGGAAGAGAAAATTCAAATCTCAAAAGAGGCGCGTTTTTCCTCTCGCTCCCCTACCACTCTTCTCTGAAGAATGTGTGCATGTGTCGAAGAGTGCGCAGGAGGAGGATAGTAAAACAAGACAACAAACATCGGTTCAAATTTGAAAATAAAATAACCGACAGAGGTGACAGGAAGGAAAAATATGGGGATAGGGTCTCTTCCTATTCGCCACAAAAACAACGACTACTGGGTTACGAAGCAGGAGAGAGAAAAAGAAGTGAATTAGAGTGCGACCAACTCGTCTACGTCTCCACGATCTCTATCCATAATTGACACCCTCCCTATTTTCGACGTCTTCTTCTTCTTCTTTCTCGCGAAAAAGGAAGAAGCAGCAGTCAACTCGAAACTTGATATCTTCATTGTGTGCTTGAGGGGAGAATAAAAGATTTGTACTATAGATGTATACAACTAGCGTTTTTACTGAACTCCGAATGCCTAAACGAGAATAAAGAGGGAAATATTATAGTTTTGGAAACCTTTTTCCAGATGAAGTAAAACACTTGCAAAATATTCGCCCAGGCAACAAAATTATTTTTTTTAATACAGGCGTTTTGTGACATGTTTGTCAACATGTGAACTTTGATAAGAAAAATACAAGACGAGAAAACGAGCAACAGGAACGGAACGAATTATTCAAAAACTAAACATGTCTTTGCATTGTAAAAAAAAAATCTAAATTTTTTGCCTGCCGATGCCGCATGTTTGCGTCTTTAAATAAAGATTACGGTAGAGGGCTCAAGTTTTGAAGGTGTTGAACATGCTTTTGCAAATGAAAATGATCAAACTCAAAATGAGAAAGTGCTATTTACTATGGTACAAGTAAATCGGAGCTGTGGAAGAGGGAAGCTCGTGGGCATGGCCAAAGATTCCCGTAACGAATACCACCATTACCTAAAATTTCCGGTCCTGTTGTCTATTAAATTTCGACAACTAAAAGAAAATTGCCGGACAACGGATGAAAATCGATTTGTTTTTTTTTCTTCACTTGGAAGAGAATGACTTTGCTGGTGTTGAAATCTGAGTTCAAGGATGGGAAGATTTATTAACGAATTAAAAACATAGAATTAATATAGAATTAATCAGAGTCCTCATGTTTCGTTTCCACTCCTCCAGCCAGTTCCTCTTCGGTGATCTCTCTTTCCTTCATCACAACGTATTCTCTAGTGGAAAATCCGAACTTTAGCATGTCCTTCTCTTTCAGCTCAATGTATCTTTGTGGTTCAATCTTTTGTTCGTTCAAGAATGTCCCGTTCCCACTACCCAAATCAATGATGTACGGCATGATTCTTCGAGCTTTAGTTCCGTCGTCTCGGGTGAATGGCATAGATCTGAAAAAAAAAGTTTGAAGTTTATTTGATTACAATATTTTGAAAATTACCTGAATTGTAAAACAGCGTGTTGCTTACTACAGCTTGGATGGTCGACAGGAATATCTGCGATTTTGTGATCTCTTCCAATGAGATACGCCGATTGACGATGTACATACAGCACTTGAAGCGCCTCGTCCCCTTTGAATGGGTATAACCGCCAGCGAGCATTCGGTTTTTTAGCCTCTGGTGGTTCATTATATTTGATGACAACTCCACGGAAGGTGTTGGTATCTTCTGTCAATGCTCCAGATGTTCCCATGTTCACTTTTTCCTTTTCTTTAAAAGGATCAACAGCTTCATCACTTTTTCCCCAAGGTTCTTCCCGCTTTATCTCCTTTTGCTCCAGACCGTATCGTTTTCCGTCGTTTCGAACCTGGTCTGGTTTTCTAAAATCCTCCCGCTGATTACGACGATCATCTCGGTTACGTTCTTCGCGATCATTTCGGGTTCTATGATCGCGGTGGCTATCGAAATCTCTTCGATCATCTCTTCTGTCATTTCTACGGTCTTGATTTTTTCTCTCTCTCCAATTATCTTGACGGTGTCTCGAAGACTCGCTGAAAACAACGAAATTATTTCAATTTTCAAGAGATTCTTTCAATAAAAAAGTTTGTTTTCCTCATCAATAATGAAACCTCGGAACTGATTTTATAAGTTGTTCCTTTATTTAGGGAGCTTTATCATCAGTTATATGTTGAGCTGGATAATAACTTTTGGATTATCTCACCTATCACTGAATACTTCTTCCTTTATTTCTTTCCCGTCCCGTGGACTTTCATCTCTCTTTCTATCTCGTCTCCATAAACGGTCATTGGAGCGAGAACGGGAACGTCTTCTTCTTTCTGGAAACGAATTTTCGACTTAAAAAATCTTCAAAGGACAATATTAACCTGGAGACCTATCTCGTTGCTTTCTATCTCGTGGACTGTGTCTTCCCATCGTTACCTGATAAAAAATAAGATAGAATTCGAAAGTTGGAATTCAAAACTTTCGAAAAACTATTGAAACGACACTCCGACATAACGCTAGCGCGCGATGTTTAGCGTAAATTTACACCCTTCTTTTGCGCGGTGGTTCAAAAACTACAGCCCATTAAAAGTGTTCTACAGTAAACCATGAGATGCTCCCACCCACTTATTTACACAACAAAAGGATAAATAGTCACTTAATGGAAAACAGCGTTGAGTAGAAAAAAGAACGGCTTCTCGGAAATTATTTTTGAGCTGGAGTAGTTGTCGCTGCACCCCCAATTATTCTTCCTTTCGCGGCTCGCTACCAGAAGAAATACCACGGAAGAGGCAGAGAGCAGGAAGAGGTCTCATCACACTTTGGAGACGCAGAGAGTCATGAGAAGCAGTCGATAAGAAGAGTGTGGCGTGCTCCTTCGGATACAACGTCGTCTGCGCCATTCCCGAATTTACGCTCTTTCGCAAGAAGAGTTTTTCACTTTTAACATGGCTGCACAATTTTATGAAAGAAACACCAGGTAAGTCATTTTTGAAGTGTTGCTTTGTGATTTAAATCAAAAACTTTTGGACATGAACAAATAAAGAATGTAGCTTATAATACAATTTTAGCTGTTGAAATTTATCTCCCTAAGTGTTTTCGATTGTATTTCATCTGCTATAATAACACATCAATAGAAATTAATGTTCTAGTTGAAAAAAAAACAAGGTTGTTGTGGTTGATATAGTGTGGATACAGTATCCATTGAAATGAGTTTTCAGCGGGATGAACGCTGATAGATTCATGGCTCGTTTGACCGATGAATCTACAGTTAATACAATGCAAAGACATTATTGGACAGCTCGCCAATTTATTAGGACGAAATTGGGGAAAAAGGTAGTTCCTTTTTTGGACCAATTGATTGATTTGTGTCTTGCATTCAGGAGGATGAGCATCTAGAAGCCAGTGACATTGAATTAGACACCTGTTTGAATCTGTACAGATCTGTTCATGGAACTTCCTTCCAACTTCTGAACAATGTGGATAACTACGCCAACTTTCTTCTTGGTTAGTTCTCGAATCAATCATTTTACTCTGAAGTCGACTACTGTAATTTCAGACGAAACTCTTGTTCAAAATGTGCTTGGAAAGTATCTGAAAGAAAAAGGAAAGATAGACAAAACCGAAGCAGTCGGTCGAATTCTGATAGCTGTTGGAAGATCATTGTTGTTCTCTAGTCATCGATTGAATGCTGCCAGAATTGGAGTTTCAACGTACGATCCAACATTTTTTGTTGTTTTTAAATACTCGGTTGTTTTCAGATTTTACAATAAGCTGAGTGTGTTTGTTGAAAGAGCAATTGGCGATTGCTCCCAAACAATAGAAGCAGTACAAATGTGCCGAACCGAGTACCGAGGAAGTCTTTTATGGATGAAGAAAACGAGTGAAGAGTTGGATCCTGAAGTTGATGGATCAATGGAAAAATTCAGAGAAGCCCAGGCAACTGTCAAAACGAATAAAGAAAGATTGGATAGGTTGAAGACGGATACTTTACAAAAGGTAGGGAATTACTAGATAATGGAGGGGTTTGGAAAATTGTACACATGTCATTTCAACTCAATTCTAGAAGGCTTGAACCATTCCAAAAATAGATGTTAGTTAACATCAGTTTTTTTGGTTTTCATAAAATCTTTGGTTCCACTGAATTTCTATGACAAATCTAGGTTTGAAAATAATGGTTTTTATACTTCATCTAATTTCAAATTATCGCGAAACAAGTGATAGAAGGCCCCTCTAACTTTTAACTTTGAGCCAATTTTTCTCGATTCTTGTCAAAGATATAAAACGTCGTCAATTGATAAATTGTTTATCATAATATCAAAAACATTTTATTAGTTTGCCACTTTTTGATATCTGTAACAGGAACCTAGATATATGAGCTCAAACTTGACAGTATGGAAACCCTTGTATTACAGGTTTCGCGGTACATAAAAATGTCCCTTTCCAGGTTTTACTTTACAAGAGGGTTTAATCGTTCGTGTGATGTCTAGTTTTAGGTTGATCTCCTCTCTGCCTCTCGCTCGAATCTGCTGTCTTATGTGCTGACCCACTACCAGAACGAGCTGTTTGAATACTACTCGAAGACGTCAAGAGCTTTCGAAACATTGGCTGAAAACATCAATTGTTATAATAACTACGACTTTGAGGTTTTGAGCGTAAGTTCTTGTCCTCAAAGGCACCTATTTGCGTTTTTTTTTTTAAATTTCCAGCATCTTGCAACCGGAACAAAACCTGAAAAAGAAAGAAGAGCAGAAAAAGAGAGACAGGAAACAACTAAATCGACTCAACCGACAAAAAACAACGAGGAAGAGCTGAAAAATTTGTTTTTCGGAAGAGATAGTCCAATCTTTGGAATGGATGAACAAGAAGAATCGAGGTCACAATGTGATAGTCCTCTTATTGAAGATGAGATGGACAGAGAACAAAAAGATTCTCGAAATGGAGATCTTCTGGATTTTGAATCAGCTGCTTCCATTGCATTTCCAGTTGGTCCACTCGCTGCACTTTTCGATTCATCTTCATTTGTTCCCCCAATTCTTCCTCCTCCGGGACCTTCAATCAAACAAGCATCAGATGACATTTTATCTCTTTTCGATGGAATTAAGACATCCAAAACGGCAGATTCTTCGTCAGCTTTGGTTTGTTGACAGCAAAACGACACCTTTTTCTATTTCTTTTTTCAGAATTGGCAGTCGTTGATCGACGATTTCGACAGACAAAACGAGGATAATTTGTTGTAAATTGTACAGTTTCGAAAATTTTCTAAATGTACTGATTATTTGGAATTTCTAATGAATCAATTTTTCTATCAAATTTCGATTTATGTTAGATCTTCTCTTTGTGCTGAACTGTTTCCCAAGAATCGTCTTGCTTCCCATGGCTTCTTTCTGAGAACCATTGATTCCTCTTCTTATTCATTCTTTTGGTTTCTTATCATTTCATTCTTCTGAGATGAAGCTCCTCTATTTCCTTCTTGCTGTATTATCTGTGTCCATCGCTGAAGCTCAACGTAGAACATTTCCGGTATCACTATTTATTGCATTATCAAAGAAAAATAAAACAATTTTCCAGAGACGCGACTCAGGACATGGGCTGATGGGCGGAAAGATTGGAATGGCTATCAAAAATCCAATCAAGGGGCCAGCAGCCAAGAACAAAGCAAAGGGTTAATTCATTGAAAAGTTTCAAATAAAGTTATCGAGTATTTAATTATTATTGGAGTAGATGATGTCGCATCAACTTTCCAGACGAATTTCGCGGAAGTTCTGATACAAAAACGACGTCACTGAGTTGTTTATAAGAAGCCAAGTGTTCTGAAAACGGATGATATATAATCCGGATTAAAAGGAAAGTTCACCTTTGACAATCTTCATAATCTCTTGTTTCAAGTCAGGATTACCAATGACTTTTGCTATTAACTTGTCAGGAATAGCACTCTGAAAGTTAAAAACTCTTCCTTAAAAAGGATTCAAGGGGAACTTCGACCGAAATTTTTTCTTGCATAAATATGTTCGAAAAGTTATGTATTTACTAAATGAACTTAAAATACTTGTTTAGTTTGCATCTGCATTTCCATTTAGTTCCCTGCAACCAACGGTAAAGACCTACTGTTAAATATAGAAACAAAGAAAAAATTGACAAAATTTTTAAACCTTTTTAGGTTTTCTAACTATTTTCAAAGATTCTTTCTCGATTTTAACGGTTTTTTTGTCTGAAATTTTTTGGAACGGTATTCGTGATGATTACTTCAGATTACTGTAGACTCTTCCTTTTGTATTTTGCAAACACAAAAAAGGAGAAAAAAAAAGTGATTTTGTTTGCAAAAAAATACAACATAGAAGGTGTTCTACAGTAATCTATATTAATCTTCGCGAACACCATCCTGTTAAATTTCAGAATTATCAAAAATAGCTGAAAAACCTTTAAAAAAATCTAAAAATTTTGCAAAAACCGAAGATGAACCCAATTTTCATTCTCTCGGAAATTTGTTTTAAGGAGGGATTCCAGGCCTTAAAACGAGCAGCAAAGCCCTATTTTAAGGTACCTAGATAGATAATGGAAAACTTTTTGGGAGCGAAGGGTCCACCCTTATACGATTTGATATTTTTTAAAAACTAGAAAATTTTCATAAAAACTACAAAAAATTAAATAAGAGATTACATAATCACGAAAACTACACAAGGGAACCCTTATGTGATTTTTTACTTACTGATATTTCGTCGCGCAGATGTTCAGTTTCAAGGCATGATTCTGAATTATTCACCTACCTGATACACAGCACAATCCACAACACCATCCACTTTCATAACCACTTCTTCAATTTCAATCGGATTAACTTGCCAGCCACGTACTTTCATCATTTCTTTCAGTCTTCCGATTATCATCAATTCGTTGAGTCTGTAGCTGAAACATCCAATATCTCCTGAAGAAAATTTTTGTGATTCAAAGAAAAACAAGAAATCTAACCAGTTTCCATGAATCCTTCCTCCACTGCAGTTTTGGATTTCACTAGTATTTCCCCTGTTTCCACTCTCAATTTCAGTTCTACAGAAGGATACGGTAGTCCAACACTCTTGCCATTTGTGATTCCTTTTCCAGTACTGCAAATGAGTACACCACATTCAGTGGATCCGTATACTGAATATTCAGATTACGATTGGTTTGATAAAAAGTAGACTCACATTGAATCAGGTTTTCTAAATGTGGAAATCGCTCAGCAATTTTTAAAAAGTGTTCCGGTGGACTGGCAGCAGCTCCCACAAAAATAGTCTTCAGAGATGACAAATCAAATGAAGAAACTAATGGATGATTAGCGAAAAAATTGAGAACGGGTGGAACAAGGAAAAGTACAGTAACCTTAAACTCCTGGCAGTTTGAAAGAAACTCATTGTCACTCCATCTCTCATTTATGACAACAGTGCATCCAGTATATAACATTGAGAGGATTGTAATAAGACCTCCAGCATGAAAAAATGGAAGAACTCCATAGCAGATATCCGATTCCACAGGGGAGAAGAACTTGGGACTTGCTTGAATTGCTTTGATTTGATCTATTTGAGAACACATAATTCTTTGACAATATTCAAAAAGCTTTGGAGGTCCTGTGGTTCCAGAACTAAAAAATACAATGACTCCAGCAGAATTTGATTCATCAATTTCTTCAGCAAAGTTTTCAAATAACAACTCAGAAATCGTATGAATCTCAAAATCCTCAAACTTCTCCAATTCCACGTCATCGCCGACTATAACAAAGTTTGAGCTACTTTCTCGAAGGTACTTTTCGATTTCATCTGAAAATATGAATCAAGTTTTAATAAAACCTTTGGCTTACATTTCTTATATGATGGATTGAGTGGGATTACTGTAATTCCCACTAGTTGTGATGCAATTATTATGGCTAATATGTCAGGCGAGTTCTGGCAAAAGATGGAAACACGAAAAAGGTTTGTGGATCTGAAAGTTGAGCCATTTTGATTGTTCTCATAATGTGATCACAAACCTTTTCTTCTGCCTTTCCAATATATTTTTCCATTTTTCCACAAGCTTCCGTAAATCATCAAATGGAATTTCATTGTCTCGCCAAATCTATAAAAAATATTACATACAAAAAATCATTCAACGCCATGGAGTTATATTAAAAATCACTTACCAATGCAGTTTTACTTCCAAACTTGGAAACTTCTTCCAGAAACTCTAGACCAAAGTTTCTTCCCATTTTGTTGTGTTGAAGAAATTGTACAAACTGGAAGAAGTGTCATCCTCCTACCTCAATTTCCTTCAATTTTCTAAATTGGCCTTCATTATTCTTTGTTTTCAGTGTATCTACAGTATCAATTTTCTTCAAAACATTGGAAGAATCTACAGTCACATACTGTAAAACTGTAATAAAACGCCACCTGTATGTAGTAAGATGCCCCCTCTAACACAACGCCATCCTTATACAGGTATTACTCTGGTCTAATTTCGATGCGCGTTGTGGCCGAAAATACGACGATGTGCGGAGCTTAAGTCCGGTGGTGAAATCCTTACAGGCGCATTTGAAGGAGCATGTATTTTCGTGAATATTTTCTGGCCTTTTTTCGATTTTTCGAAAAAAAATAAGAATAAAGTGTTTTCCTGATTTGGGTAGCGGAGAAATCTGAAAAATCCACACCATTTTCTTATGATGCTACCCTAATGATCCGGCAACAAAACAATTTTTGTTACCTTGCATCACCCAAAAAAAACCTCTCCAAAAAATAACGCCATAGATTTATATTACAGTTCTTACTGTATGTTAATAACTCATATGCAACACCTACACAAATAATAAAACTCATAAAAGTGAATCGAAATGATATATAAATCTCTTGCGCTATGTTTTTTACCGTTTCAGTGTTTTGACATGAATCGCCTAGTTGTATTTCTACTCGTTCTTTTCATGATGTTTGTTATGGCTTCATCAAAAGTACTGTACTGTGTTTTTTTATTCAAATAATTTAAAAATATTCAGATCATCATGGGCGGAGTCTTTGGATTCAAGATTTCCCCCGTCACAACCACTCCACCAAAGTCGTCTTGAATGTGTTGTTCTGTTCTTATTAAGAATTTCTTAATAAAAGTTATTTTCATAAGAAGAAAGTGTATTAACAGTGACAATATAACTTGTCTAGTTGTCAAGATTGAACCCGTCTTTGTTCAAATTATAATCAGTGGAACATCGGAGTGAAGAACTGAATGACTTCCTTGCCGGACGTCGTTTCGTTCGATTTGAACTTATTATTGAAATGAAAACTTCAAAGAAGAAACATGCCACCTGAAGAAACCGTATTTTTCAAGTCTATTAGTATTTCAAAAGCTCACTTCTCCAATAGTTATAACGCTGACTCCCATCCACAATCCAAGTTGACCACCAAAATCTGATAAAAGATTTGACCATCCATATGCTTCGGATTCCAATAGGGACTCATAGTTGAGTTGTTCGAAATAAACTTCAATCATCGATCCTTGCTCTCTTTTGTAATTCAAACAGTGATGAGCAGCCATTCCATGCGGACATCCGGACAAATCACCAGCAATCGCTGGCCATCTGGATGCAGAATATGACACTGAATAGACGTCTTGGCTGAAAAAGGCAGAGTTATCTATAGATTAAGTAGTTGATAAACATACTTGCATGGCTGCTTGCAAGAGCATCCTAACTTCTTTGAATCTCTCGTTGCCACATGCATTTCTTTTTTGATACATTCTCCTAAAAAAGTTTCAAAATTTTCAGATAACTTCTCTCAATTTAAACTTTTGTAAGGATCATCGACTGGACAGTTTTTTGACTCTCGATAAGGAGGAAATCTGGGATCTCCGCAGCCGCATGTTTGAGATAGATGCTTTTGGATACAACTTCTTTGACATCCTTCTGTGTTATATGCCTTTTGGGTATATATAAAGTCTTCTGTTTTTCCTTCTTTAACACAATCACCATATGGAGCTGGGAGCCTCACCATTGATTTCTGAAATGAAACATGGATCTATATGAATTGCAATAGAAAAAGTACCAATTTGATTCCGAAACTGCTCACAAAACCAGTTGGTGCAGAGAACCCGAGTGTATCCGGAAACGGTTGTTCGTCTGTAGCATGTACCGTTAATCTGACGCCTGCCGCTTCCGTTGTTGGTAGATATTCCGTCACATTCACGAACACTTCCAGTCGTAATCCTAAATCCGAGTTTTGAAATTAGATTTCATGAGTCATTTTGTTTGTTTTAACTTTGCATTAAGGCAAGTCAAGGACCACCAGAAAAACAAAATGACTAAAAACATTGATACGTTTTTTCCGCTCCCCTATTTTGCTGGTTCCTCATTATTATTGATCCCAGAACTCACCATAAGCAGGACCTGACCGTTCGTTTGTAATGTTTCCCAACTTTTGACCATAAGTGAAACATGCTCCATAGGTGGGATCCAGGTACTCAACGAAATCACTAAAATCAAACTTCATCATTTTCCACTCATAATAAAAACTTACTGTTTCACATTGCACTCTTTTCCGTTGAACGAACACTTCATTATGAAATCGGATTTGTTATACGAGATTTGCCATTTTTGAGATTCCGTCAATGCATCCACAGCAAAAATAATGTTCTCCATCGCTTTTGCTCTCAAAGCAATTCTATCTTTCACTCCCTGTAAAATAAATATCTAGAAAAAACAAATGAAAAGAGGAAACTCACTGTATAACCGTATGCTTTATCCCGTTCTTCTTTTTTCTTTACGATTGGAGATATTGTGGTTGAAGGCTGTATATCCCAAAACTTGACAACACGTTCATCTGGAATTTCTGAATGAATTAAAATAATTATCAATTCCTAATACCTAAACTTGTATCATTTTTCTGTGGAGGATCAATCCGAACACACATTTTGATGGGTGTTGCACATAGACATGATATATTTTGCTTCTTTGGTTTATCTGTGTATACACAATCCCCGAGCGTGTTGCATCTGAAGATAGAATTGAAAGAAATTCGAAAGAAATGCTCAATCTCCCACCTGCTGCACTTTCTCTCCTCCCATTCTGGCTCTCTGTAACACGGCCAAACTTGCTCATTCTTCTGATTATAAAAACAAAGACATGTATCATTTGAGTTTTGAAGATCTACATCTGGTACCTAGAATCGACTGAAAATAAAATGATATCAGAGTTCTAAAGACAAACCAAAGTAGACACGCATCCGTGCTGTTTTGTACAATTACAGTGAGAGTAAACCGCCAAAAGTCCTTCATATCTGCTCAAAAGACGCTCATGAACTTTTCTTTCTGGTGTTCTTCTTTTTCTTTTCTGATGAAGTTATTTTATAATGAAACTCCAACTCGAGATATTCTACCTTTCCATCATTTTTGATCTGAAAACAATTCCCATGATGGCAAATGCACTTCTTCCGTTCTTCTTCTATTCCTAATCCCTCTTCTTGTTCTTTGTTTTCTTCACATTTTCCATTCCAATCGCATTTTTGACACGAAGAAACTTTAAATTTCTGAGCAGAAGCACAATAACTGGGACCACCTGATTCAATAGAAATACAAAGTTTCGTTCCGTTTCCTCTCATCACAAGTGGCCACGCCATCTGTTTCTGAAAGCATGAAGGACTCCGAAAATTTTGGATGTTTTAGGGTATTTACTGTGGCTTCGTCCTCAATGCAGTTCTCTTCGAAACATTTGCAAGTTTTCATCTGGTTATGGTCTTCTGTCACGTGGCATATTCTATGGGTCCATTTCTTTCTGGGATGACAGTTCCAAAAGATTTCATCATTATCTTCATATGCTTCCGAGTCATCAAAGGTGACACATGTCTAAAATAGTGACAAGATAATTGGTCGTATGATCTATGTTTTAAGACAATCAACATACACATTCCAAATGCCCAAACTCATGAGCCATCAGCATTCCATGATCTTCTCTACACATTAAATCAACTGCAATCATTTTGGAACCCGAAGATCTTCTTTTCCGGATTGTATGAACGTTTCCATCACTTTTATCAATTGCCGATTCGAATGCTTCTAACTGAAAAATGGATGACGTGCCATATTTTATTTCAAATCTCGTTCTTTTTTCGACTCACTGCATTTCTGATTGCTCCGAGTTCTCGAGCTGCTGAGTTCTTGTATGGGTTCATATTGCAAATAGTTACTGCTGGAAATTTGATCTCTTCGAATTTGATCTCAACACCAACAATGATATCATTTCTGAATTTTAGTTTGAATTGAATGTTCAGCATAAAGAATATACCTGTTAAATCTCTCAACAATCAAATAAGCTTGGTGTCCAAAACAAGAAAGACAGAATAAAAAACAAAGTAACCACATATATCTCCTCCATCCAGTTGACACATACGCTCTTGGGATTCCATGAGCACTTGTGTGCTCAGCGAAATCCACGACATCAAGTTCGATGGCCCGTTTCAGACTTTTTTTGCCCATGTTTTAACCTAAAAACAAATGTATTGAGAGAGAATAAATAAGGGGACAAAGTTTTCAAGAATATAGACAAGAAATGTATCAAAATGAGGCAATTGGCATAGAATAGGACCAACTGCACTTGTCCTCCGGAAACGAGCAATCGGTTTACCTTGTCTCTTTTGGCAACGGGGCTCAATGAGCAATTCTTGATGGGAAAATAAGCTGTCCAAAGTTGGGGTCTGACAATGAGAAATGAAAGAAAACGGGATACTGTAACTTTGGAAATATGGAATGTAGGGAACAGGGATGTCCGGAATGACTTTTTCGAAAAACAGAATCCAGAATAAAATTAATTTCTCATTATTCGGAAAAAGAGATCTGCAAAAATTCTAAAAACCCACATATAGTGCTTCATTTTTTCACCGTTAGTAGCGGAAGCAGGAATGTTCGGAACGGAATTCGGAATTCCGAAAATTCCGACCATTTTCGGAATTAAATTCCGATCGGTATAATTCCGAGAAAATAATTCGGAATGAAGTTCCGGTCGGAATATTTCCGAAAGATTGTTTCGGAATGAAATTCCAGCCGGAATTTTTCCGAAGCATTTTTTTTCGGAATTAAAACTTTTTCGACTACAGTATGCCAGGAAAAATTTACCTGCGGGTCTCGAACAGAATTAATTTTGATATTTTTTTTGCGCTGCACGCTCTCCCACAGAACAATTCCGAACTGCAAATTAATTTTTGATCTACAGAAAAAAAGTTTGGCGCGATCACAATTGCAGGTCTAAAACCATAATTTCAGAATTTTTTATCTGATTTTGTGGAGTTCCAAGATGATTCAAATGATTCTTAAAAAACTAATTAGTGGGTATAGATTCATGTATGGTCGTTTTCCGGAAGAAAAAATGTCAAAAATTGTCATTTTTGAAAGTTTTTTACAGAAAAAATCTATCTCGTCTTTCAGTTTTTGACATTTCTACGAGTTCTATAGCTCAAAAAAAACCGCAATTATTTTCTCTACATTTTCTATAGATGAATTTTTAATTTGTCTGATAAAACTTTTTTATAATTCAAAACCCTCATGAAATTGCACAAAATAGCATTTTTGAGTTGTTTTTTGATTATAAAAAAGTTTTATCAGACGAATTAAAAATTCGTCTATAGAAAATGTAGAGAAACTAATTGCTGTTTTTTTGAGCTATAGAACTCCTAGAAATGTCAAAAACTGAAAGAGGAGATAGATTTTTTCTGTAAAAAACTTTCAAAATGACCATTTTTGACATTTTTTTCTTCTGGAAAACGACCATACACAAATATATAACCACTAATCAATTTTTTAAGAATCATTTGAATCATCTTGGAACTCCACAAAATCAGATAAAAAATTCTGAAATTATGGTTTTGCAATTGTAATCGCGCCAAACTTTTTTTCTGTAGATCAAAAATTTGCATTTCGGAATTGTTCTGTGGGAGAGCGTGCCGCTGTAAAATTCAAATTTTGAAAAATTCCGAAATTTCCGAAACTCCGAAAATTTTAAAATCGGAATATTCCGAAATTCCGAATTTTCGAATTTTTCAAAATCGGAAAATTCCGAGATTCCGAAATTCCGAAATTTTTAAAATCGGAATTTTGCGAAATTCCGAAATTCCGAAAAAAGCAATTCCAAACATCCCTGAGCGGAAGTTAAAAAAAACTATTCTTGTCGCAGGAAAATTCTTGCAGATTAACAATCCGTAAAAATTTTCTTTTGAGCCTTTATATCTCGGTTCCTGTGAAAGATACCGAAAAGTGATCAACCCGGAATAAATAAATTTTCTCGGAATCCGGAATTCGAGAAAGAACAGCTCTGAGAAGGAACAAAAAGCTTAATAAGTAATAATTTCTAACAAGGTTTCTGAATTCTTAGAATTCAACATTAAGACGACAACTGGAACTTCGTTTCCTGTTTTGAGCAAAACAAGGGCCCACTCAAAAAGTAATCTAACTAACGGCTATTTCCTTTTCTCGACGGTTAGTCCAGACGAATAGTAAGTGACAATCAAAATTCTCTTCTCTTCTCTCCGTCTTCTTCTTTTTTCAACTTCTCCATTCTTCATTTCTCATGCATTTCTCATTGTTTTCCACGAATCAGATTCGGACCTCAACACACCTTTTGAGCTCATTTTAGAATGCACTTTCTTCAGTTTTTGAGGAGAAGAAAAATTTGAGAAAACAAAGAAACAACAACTAAAAATCGAAGATATTTGTGAAAGCATAAACTTAAAAACAAGAAAACAAAGTATTATTTTATGAAAGATGATGAAAGATAGGTCTTCCCAAAAACGAGAAAAGTAATATATCATTGCCTTTGGGAAGCTCGTTTTTCCTCGTTTGGCACTTATTTAACACGGACCTCCGGAGACTTCTCTCCCAGTCACGAGTACAAGGATGTTAAACATAATTACTTATAGACTACCTTAAAATTGTTCAAAAAGAAAAGACTCAAAATTCGAAATTCTGAAAAAAAAAACCGAAAAACCTTTAATAGAAGTAATCGCACATTGTCAAGTTTGAGCTAATTTTTCTTGCCTCCTATGCAAGCTAACAAAAATGTGTGATAAAATTTTTGTGATAATATGAAAAACAGTTTATCAGCTGACAACTTTTTTATATCTTTAACAGGAACCGAGATTAATCGTCTCAAAGTCGAAAGTTAAGGGGCTCCTATCACAGGTTTTACCTTAACGAAATTTTAATTCGCATCAAATTCATAGCAATAGAATCATGTTCCTACAGAAAGACCAAAAAATCTTTATCAGACGATGAAATAGAACTTGAAAGTGAAAAATTGATTAAAATGAAAAGAAGAAATGTGAAGAAAAGTGTTGAAAGATGGGGATGAAAAATGGTCCCAGAGGGAAATTGCCGTGTCAGATTTTTCGAACTCTATTCGTTTCCTTTTCATACTTTTTTTTTGAAGGAACTCTGATCTAACAAACATGCACTTTTTTCGAGACAAATGCAAACATCATGAAGATTTGCTGATGGTCCAAAATCATGTTACTAACTGTGAAAAAAAAACCAAAGTTAGAACTTTGCTTGGGGTAATGAACTGGAATACGCTTCAAAACTTGTTATCTAAAAGAACTTTAATTCGTTCTTGAGGGAATCAGGTTTTCAAATCATTTGACCTAGCTCTTAAAACATCTATGAGTCTTATTCTTACTGTCAATAAACAAATTACAAATTACAATTACAATTTAGATTTGCTTTTGTTGGTTCAACTTTCAGACAATGATCCTGACTGGAACAAGAAGACGTCTTTGGTTGCTCAAACTGGAATCTCAATTTTGACAATTTTCCAATTAACCTAATTTAGAATATCTAACGTGGGAATATGCCACCTTATGCATTAAACTCTTCCTCTTATAGAAACAAAACAGCTGGCTGGTGCGCCTGCGGCGCGATTTGACCTCTTTATTTCACTGTTCCTCGCTCCGCCCTCACTTTTTGATGTTATTTTCGTTTTGTTTAAAAATTTTTTCACGTTACGCAATAAATCAATCAATATGAGGTTACGCCCCTCCTTCTTTCCACGTTAAAAAATCCACGTGTTGCAAAAAAAGATTCTCTGTGAAATCCCACTCTTTTAATTTTATTGTTGGATAATTTTCACAAGCCTTTCTCTCCTGTAAGAAGCTCTTAGCCTTACGCTTCTTCTTCTTTTCGGTTCTTTTCTTTGTGATCTTTCGATTGATCGATTGCGAAAAGTATTAGAAGACCCTAAGGGTCGCCATGTTTTGGGGTTCATGGTTAGGTAGAATCATTTCCACTGAACGTCCCCCTTTTGCAAAAGATTCAAACTAAGATTAAAAGAAATGAACAAATATCAATAAAAAGCGTATGCAAGGCTTCTTACAAGGGAAAATGAACTTTGGAAGTTATCCAACAATGGTCCTCGGAGACCAGGGCGAGGGGACCCTTTCATGTACTGAGCCTCTAAGTGGCGAAAGGAATCAACAGGCGAGAGCTTGGCTAATCAGTACACTTTCGAAACTTTATTTTTCGTAATTTTTATTTTTCATGAAAAAAAGTTGTTTAGTTGATTTTGACCATTTTCAGGAGTCTGAAGCTCGGCTGAAGATTTTGGAAAATGTAACATAGGTCGAGATTGAAGACTTTGCATTCACAGATTTTTTTTGAAAATTCCTAGTTTTCAGCTACTTGCCGATTTCTGAAAGGCCCAATTTTTGACCAGTTTTTTATGAAAACGTGAAAAAACCGGTGTCTCTCAGAAATCGGCAAATAGCTCAAGAACTAGAAAATTTCTGTAAATTCAATGGATGCGATGTTTTAAATCTCTGTCTGTGTCACACCCTTCAAAATTCAATGTTCTCTTTATTTTCGAATATTTCCATTTTTCCCTCCATAAATATTTCCAATTCACACCTTTGTGTCGGTAACTTCAAAACGGGTCACAAATTCGAATCAATGTCGCCCATTCTCAGGATATATAATCGTCAGATATTCTTTTTGTCCTTTTTCTTCAAAAAGACACCGTCTTCGTTCCTCCAAAATAAAATCATCGCATTTTCCTCTTCTTCTTCTTTTTCTGTTATATTTACAACTATGATGGTATGAGTCAAAAAACAATATTGTGTTGATCGTCTCAAACAAAAAGAAGAAGGCGGGCGGCTTGCTGGAAAAAAAAAGGAAAAAAAGGAACAGTGACAAGCAAAAACATCTCATTTTACGATCATTGACGATTATGGCAACTGAACGAGTCATGCGTTTAACATGTTTGCACAAAAAACCACTAGTAAATTCGAAAAATGTACGATATACAATCTTTTTAATCTAAAATTTTGAAATCTCTCGTTATTTGATTCGTTATGCCCAAAAATGTTTAGGAATCTTTTAAAATTCTTAAAACTTCCATCAAAATAATTTACTCCGGACGACGTCTTCTAAATAGAAGAATATCAATTAGGTCATCCTGCTCCCGACAAGGAAAAACCATCTGGTAGTAGTACGTACCAGTGCACCCAAGATTCAACAGCTGCTCTTCCTTCTTCATTCTCTCTTGCGTCATTTGGATTTCAAGAAATTCAAAGAAAAGGATGTTTTTATTTAATAAGGAGCAAGTATTGATCTACCGTAAAGCCTGTAATAGCAGGGTTCCTAAACGTTGAACCAGTTTATCTCGATTTCTGTCAACGATATAAAAAAAAAAGAGTTGTCAACTGATAAACTGTTTATCATAATATCAGAAGTGTTTTGTGAAGTGACACATTTTAAATATCTTGCACAAGAATTGAGATAATTGAGCTCAAACTGGACAGTGTGGGGCCCTTTTATGACAGGTTTCACGGTTTCTGAAATGGAATCGCTAACTAGTTGCCTGGTAACTTCAAAACAACCGTAATCCTCAAGATATCCTTCTTCAATTGATTTTGAGTATGACTCATCCACAATTTTCTTTCTAGAAAAGTCCACATCTGCAAAAAAACATATTTATATTTTTTATGCTTTCGATTATTTGCAAAACGAACACTTTTTCGCTTCCTCTCTCCCTCTCTTCATCAGCTATAAAACACATCTTTTTTATCATCAAACCCCTCAAAAGTACAATTCTTTTTTCGGGGGGGGGGGCCGTTTTTGCATTTCCGAAAACAGTATTCTCGATTGCACCTCATTAATATTCGCTCCCTCTAAACTGTAATCGTCCTCCTCTCCGTATCGGCATCTTCTTTTTCGTTTTTCCTGTCGCCGTTGTCATCTCCGTTTTTGTACGCCATTCTGCGTCTCCTCTCTTGGGTGGTGGAGACTCAGACAATACCATCAGAATAAAGAGAAACCGAGGCTCCACCCCCCGATCTCTTCTTCTCTCTTCTTCATGTTCTGTCATGTCGTTGGCGCGAGATGGAGACGCAGAGACCGACCTCGACTACCTCTGGCTGCGTGTACTGTCCTTCTCCTCCCGTTTCCTTTTCCCTACTATTCTTCCTCCATTCAGTTCTCTTCCACTCCCTCATTTCAACCTCATTTCAGTTTTGACATCATCTGAAGTCACTGTCCAGTTGGGTCAGATTCTGGGACCTTCTGAATCATGAACGTCATCCAGAATCTGCTGTCTGCAGTCTCTCCGCAGCCTGATGGAGATTTTGTTGATAAGCTCAACTACTGTGCAACCACTATCGGATTGGTTCTTGCTTCTGCTTTCATCACTGGATGGAGGTATGTTTTTATTCTTTAAAAACTATCAAAATGATTTAGAAAATCTTTCTGAAACTTCTGAAAATCTAATTTCAGTTTCGTAGGAAGCCCAATCGACTGCTGGTTCCCAGCATACTATAAAGGATGGTGGGCAGAATATGCATTAGACTACTGTTACGTACAGAACACGTTTTTTGTCCCGTTCTCCGAGGACAAATCAGAGCGTAGCTATAACTGGGAGCAGTTGGTGGCTGATAAGCAGAACACAACATCCCTGAAACAGACCAATCAAATCGGGTACTATCAGTGGGTGCCATTCATTTTGGCTCTTCAAGCCATGCTTTTCTACTTTCCAGTTGTCATCTGGAGACTTTTCTATGGAATGGCTGGTGAGCTTGATTCAAATCGGAATGTGTCAATTGTTAAAATATTTTCAGGACAAAACGTCACTTCACTCTGTAATACTTGCACAGCCACCGAAGGAAACGAAGAATCCAGAAAGGGAACAATCTCCACAATTGCTGGATATATCAGCCAAAAGAGAAATAGAAATTTGGTTGTGAAACAACTCTCAGGATTCCAAAATCGTGCCAATGGATCTGCAGTTCTCACTTCTTACTTGGTAAGTGTTCCTCTTTGAGTCATATTTCATTTATAAAATAATTTCAGTTCATGAAAGGAATGTTCCTTATTAATGTTCTTCTCCAATTCTTCCTCTTGAAACGTATGCTCGGAGTGGATTCCTACTTCTGGGGAGCCGAAGTGACCGCCGATTTGTGGGCTGGAAATGAATGGCCAGAAACTGGAAACTTCCCAAGAGTCACTATGTGTGAATATGAAGTCAGAAATTTGGATAACATTCACAAGCATTCGGTTCAATGCGTTCTTATGATCAATATGTTCAATGAGAAGATTTTTGTCGCTTTGTGGTGGTGGTTGTGCTTCTTGATGGTTGTAACTATCGTCAATACGATCTACTGGTTTATCAAAGCTTCTGGAACATCCGTATCCAAGAAATTCATCCAGCCATATGTGGAAGATGTGAGTATATTGTAGTGATGATGTTCTAAAACTTCTTTAAATAATTTCAGATTGACCCGAAAGTGAAGAACAATCGCGGTAAACTTCAACAATTTGTTTCCGAATTCCTCTCGCCAGATACCGTATTCCTTCTCCGAATAATCGAACTAAACAACGGAAAAACTCCAGTGATGGAATTGATTCGTGATATGTGGAGAAGATTCAACACCCAAGTGCCTCCTCCATATTCTGCTCCACCTCTTCTAGTGAAAGACGCAGCACCGCTTCTCAAAAACTTCCAGGACGAGTCAGACATGTAATGTTTTCGAAGTGTAATTCTCTCGTTCTTATTTTTTTTGTTTAGACCTTATTTTTTGCCTTAATAACTCTTCTCTCAACATTGTTTGATTTTACATAATAAAATGTTTTAATGGTTTTGTTAAAGTCAAAACATTCCATTTTGACTTTCTGTTTTTTTTTTCGATTATTGGGTTGACTCTTCCCCAACTTTATCTATATTTTTCTATTTTTGATTTGTTTGTTCTTTCCATTTTCTTTTCATTTTTTTTCTCATTCATCTGATTTTTCCAATCATTCCAATTTCTAATTTAACTACACTCTTGACCTTTCTCCCCCGTATTTCTTGTGCTGATTGTGATTCAAAAGCGATTAGAGTAGGCGTAATGTGTAGAATAGAAACTACTCGTTTTGCCTCAACAAACTTTTGTCAACCGATCATCGTTATTCTAGTAGTAGTAGTCAGCAAAACTATAGGGGCGGAGCTTGCCACTGCGCCCTGACCGAGAGAGTGATTGGCGACGAGGAGACGCAGACACTTCTGATGGCGTTTGTGACTTTTTCGGAGGTTTTGTATGAGAGAGAGGGACGATTCGCTACTATTACTTGAACTGTTATTATAAAATTTCTACGTCTCTTCGTCTCTATTATTTTCTTGCGGAGCCTCATCATATCATTTGGTTACTGTATCTGAAGCATGTACTCTTTTATTGATACAAGATAATAATGGGCCGGCATCTTCTTTTAGAACCATGAGAAATAGCATCCCCTTTTGTAGGTCAATCAAATGCCATAACCATTGTCCTCAATGGGAATAGCAAACAATCATTTTCCCATTTCCTTAAGCATTTGAATAGTTCATGAGCTCTTCTCGTTTTTGCAACACCAGCCTGTCTGCCGCGGGAGTTTGTTAAAATTGAAAACTGCATAATTTTTCCTATCTGATTATGGAAATTGTAGCCACGAACTATCGGTTTAGAAATTCAGGAACTCCAACTTTTTTAAATACCGTTTTTTCTTTGAGCTGCATTATCTCAGTTCCTTATAAGATATCAACAATTTGTCTTTGGATAAAATATTAATCCAAATATAAGCTACATGTTATTAGTGGATCACGTTTTTGGTATCTTCTACAGAAAATTAGATATCAAAAAGTGGTTAACTAGTAAATGTTTATCAGGATATCAAAAACATTTTACTAGTTAGCCACTTTTTGATATCTTTCACAGAAAATGAGATATATAGGCTCAAAGTGGACGATCCGGGTGTCGTTCTATTAGAGGTTTTACGGTAGATATATGCGCTCAAAATTGACGGTTTGAGTGGGCTTCGAGTGAAAATACAGAATTCTTAAAACGAGTTTATAATAGTTCTAGAATTAACAAGAATCCATGAAGCTTAGCTAAGTATGTCCTTTAAAAAAACAAACATAAAAACCACCCTCTTTGACACAAACAATCTAATCAATTCAAATTCCCACCTTCTCTCAAAAATGCAAATATTTAAAACCAAGAGTTCAGAGTACTGTATTTCAACATTAAAACCGTTTCATCGATGTTCGTCGTGCAAACTGATATGCTAATTTTTTTTGTCTCCACCGTAATCTTCTTTCTTTTCTCCTTCTCATCATTTTCCCATCCCTTTTTTCCTATTCTTTTTCACTTCTTCTATCAATAGGGCTTTGCACTTTTGTTCTTGCCCCTCTTCTCTCGAATCTCCAAAAAACAGTTGTTCTTATTTCAGTCTCCTTCCGAACGTTGAGACCAACACAGACCAGTAGTCTATTCTGAGGAGAGAAGATGTTCTTCTTGGATGCGTTCCTCAAAGGTCTACACAAACAGGGTGATGATGATGCAATCGATCGGCTCAACTACTACTGGACACCTATGCTTCTTGTCATTTTCGCTTTGACTCTTTCAGCCAAACAGTATGTCGGACAGCCTATTCAGTGTTGGATTCCAGCTCAGTTCACAGGTATAGTTCCTCTAGTATCTTAATATTCTAGAAAAACTGTTTCAGGTGCTTGGGAGCAATACAGTGAGAATTACTGCTTCGTCCAGAACACCTATTTCATCAGCCCTGACAAGTACATCCCAGACTCTGAAGTCGATCGTGAAGCGGCTGAAATCGGATACTACCAATGGGTTCCATTTATTCTTGGACTTCAAGCCATCCTCTTCTATTTGCCATCTCTTTTCTGGAGACTCATGAACTTTAACTCGGGAGTTGCTCTCAAGAAGATGCTTTATGGAGCAAAGAAAGCCGATCGTGTCGATGAGAAAGCTCGCCACGAAGCCGCTAAAGCTACTGGAGCTCATCTTTATGAATCTCTCACTCTGCAATCGCGTTTCGCTAAATATAGTGAGTTATTTTGTATGATGTTGTGAAGGGGAATTTTTCGGGTTCGAACAGAAGGGTTGATCAGTTTTCGGATGCTCATTCTATTTGACAACGCATTGAATGCAACTTTTAAAAAACCAATTAAATATTCCCAGTGGACACCGTTTTTTTACCTAAATATTTTGTAATCTCAAGTCAGATTTTCATGAAATCTTCACAGTAGGTTACGAATAACATATCGAAATAATTTTCAAGTTTTTGTGGTTCTCCAACAAGTTTCAATCGAGATATTTCAGTTCAAAGTTTTAGCACTACTTTCCTTTAATTTGCAAGACATTGATTGTTTTACAGAAATATTTCCAGACAAGATGTTTACTATTTTTCTGGAGTAAGCTTTCCATTTCTCCCGAATTTCTAATGGGACGGTCGTAGGGCGGGTCGCGGGCGGCCCGTTACTCTGTCGCATGGCCTGTGTTTTCAGACGGCCTGCCCGAGATGGAAAGCTTAATTTGGAAAACATTTTTTAAGTTTGAGAAATTTTTCCAGCCTACTGGTTGCGAATTTCTTGAAAACTTCGTTTTGTAGGAACTAATGAATGAATTCTGAATTCCAGAGAAAAAAACCTAGATAAGATATTCTTTACCTGTCCTAAAACTTTTCCCAAAATCATGGACTGCAAAGAATTGAAATTTTTTGTTAGAATGTACTGCATACAACTGGTCTTTGAATTCAGTTCTCTTGATCAAACAAGAACTTCCATTTTCGGGAAGAAGTGTCTGGAAGTTACTGTGCAAACTTTAGAAATACTATGACATAACTCAATAGAAACTTTAAAGATGAAAGTTCAAAAAGTCAAGAACAAGGGGACCTTGTATTCGGTCATTAATCTTGTCGGGATATCTAAAAAAGCAAGGGAACCTTCTTCTTTTTTTCTCAGAACCGGCGATTCGCCTCATTAAGGATTCCACAGTTCAATTCATCATGTCAAAGTACGCCTTTTTGTATTTTCCCAAAAAATTCCTGTATTCTGATTTCCCTCCTTCATTCGTCACTCGAGTCGTAATTGACCTTGCCGCGAATTGAAATAAGGAGATAATGGGGTTAAAAACGAAAATAGGATTGGGTGGGGAGGAAAGCGTGGCATTAATGATTTTCGATTCTTATGGGAACCTGGAATCAAAGTAAAACAAAAACTTGAATGATTGGATTGAGCAAGGGGCCATAAAATAGAATCTAGAACTCATTTGGGAACTGAAAAATCTGAAATTGTTAGTTTATAAAGCTAGGAAAATATTTTTCAGGCTCTTCATTCACCTATGGAGGAAGCTACCTATCTTACTTGTACCTCTTCGTCAAATTTCTCTACTTTGTGCAAATCATTTTCCAGTTCATCATTCTGAACAAGTAAGTAACATCTTCTTCCTCCCTAAAATCTATTCTTTTTATATTTTCAGCTTCCTCGGAACCTCTTACACATTCTGGGGTCTTGGCATCCTATCCGATATTCTCAACGGACGCGAATGGGAGGAAAGCGGTCATTTCCCGAGGTAATGAGAAGTGTCATTTTGTATTCTTTATCGGAGTCATTCCCGATTGGTATCTCCCCTGTTTCTTTAGAGACAGGCGCCCTGGAGGTCAACTGCATACAAGCGTAATGAGAGGGAACCTTCGAGAGTGTTTTCTATGTTTTTTAGTTGTGAGGGACTGTGAGAGAAGAGGAATTCAGATGACATTACTAAATAGCCAACATTCAATTACAACAGAAACACCACTAATTGATGGCGAAAAGAGACTCATTTGGTGCCATGGGCAAACAAAAAAAAATGTCTTCGTCGCCTTTTGACATTTACTGATGAACTATGTTTGAAGAAGGTGTAAGGAGGCTCCCGTTCACTTGGCGCCATGCCAATTTGAAAAAGGGAATAGCATCGGAAAAGGGGTGCATCATGGTACAAAAAATCGGAGTTGTGGAAAAAAACGTCGGTGGCCGTTTTCGAAGGTCCCGCAACGAACACCGTAGCCTAAAAATATATTTGTAATAAGTGCGGGAAATAAAAACATTTTAGGTTACGGTAGCTGTCGTTGCGGGATCTTTAGCCACGGCGACCGACGTTTCTCTTCCACAGTTCCAATTTTTTGCACAGGAAGAATAAGATGAACACTAGGTCAGAATTAATTAGAGAAGATGCGCCAAACTGATACATGTGACCATTATAATTAGTTTCACAATTCGGATGACAAGTTTTCGTACTGTAATTTTTGAACTTCTTTCATCAATCAATCATTCCAAATGGCCATTCCTCTATCTGTGGGAATTGAAATGGAAATAGCGAAAGAATGGCTCATAAATCATGCAAAAATGGTGGGACTTTTCTCACAATAAAATCCATTGTTTCGATTCAAAGAATTCATAGGAATCCCCTTCTTCTATTTTCCCTGTTTACACGTTTACGGCATAGTATTTGCAACGCAAATACACCCCGATTCCAGTAGAAGAAGGGAGAGAAAGAATGTGTTTACCAGCATTTTTGCTACATGTAAGGAAACGGTATTTATTGAGGAATCACAAATTCAATAGAATGCAAATTCTCGAAAAGATGGGATTCTTAAATTTCTGTTTTCAGAGTCACCATGTGCGATTTCGAAGTGCGCGTGCTCGGAAACAAGCATCGTCATACGGTACAATGTGTGCTAATGATCAACATGTTTAACGAAAAGGTAAGAAGGCAAGCGCGCTCGGCGGCTAACAGCGTTCCAATTTGGGACAGTTCGACAGTGCACAGTTCGAATTAGAACAGTTCGATTCTGTCCTTTTTCTGTTTTGATACTTGTTCGAGAAAGACACTGTTCTGATTTGAATCAGTTCGACTTTAGGTCTGTTCGATTTTGAAAACGTTCGAATTCGTCGTACCCCCCAATTATCTTGATTATTTTTATATCTTTCACAGGGGTCGAGATAATTAATCTTAAAGTTGACTGTTTGGGTAGGCTTTAATAGGGTATTTAATATTTGAGAATCTACAGTAATCCATAGAAATTCTATCTAACAAGCTGCATTACAACCCCATGAGGTTGCAACTGAAAAGTTATTGAATTAATTCTGTACCAAATGAAATCTAATCAGTATCCTTTGTTTTAGGTATACGTCTTCTTGTGGTTCTGGCTCGTGATCGTCGGAGTTGCAACATTCTTGAACTTGTTGAACTGGTGCCGCAAACTTTTGTTCTCATCTGCTCGCAAGGCTCACATCAAGGCTTACCTTCAAGTTGAGGACAACGTGAGCGATGACTCGAGATGTAAGTTATGTTCACACTCGAAAACTACTAATTGCGGTCACCCGCGGGTTCGGTTGGGTAGATGGTTCTGGTCATATAATTTGAGTTGACAAGGCCATCCCGATTGTATCCGTTGAATTGCATCATGAGCGGGAGAGGCGAAACAGAATGCAGGAAACGGGGGATGCGCACTTTTCGGAAAGGTGAAAAGGTGTAATAATAATGTGACATGGACGAGAATGAATGCATGGGAATTCAGTGGGAAACCTGGGGAACCACAGGGTCGGGGGACCTATTTTCTTTCATAACATTCGATTTTCAGCGGCCCAAGTTCTCGATAAATTTGTTGGATACAAGCTGAAATCCGACGGAGTTTTCATCACTCATCTTATCGACAACAACGGTGGATCTGTGTTCTCTCATGACGTCATCGTTGACATGTGGAGCAGATTTTTGAATGAAGAGGAGAGCCGGTCACAGAAGAAGCCGGGAGAGTTCGACGAGAACTTCTCATAATTTGATGCCTTGAATACTTTCCAAATGCACGTGTCTAGCTTCTTCTCAATTGTTTCACTTTTAAACCAAAATAAATCCGAATTAGACATCATTTTCCCCCAAATTTTTACTTTCTCTTAAGAATATACTGTTGTTTCTTTTCTAGCCGAGAATTTTTTTTCTTAATTCTTTCGAGTGTTCAACTTTTTTCCAAACTTCTTTTAATAACTATCGAACGGTAATAAAGGTGTTCTTTTCTAGCTATTGTGACATTGGCATTTTGCCAAAATAAACAATATTCAAACATTTTTATGTTGATGAGTTTAGAAATTAAATCAAAAGGCATCACAGAGTCAAATTTTAAATAAATATAACGAATGAATGAATACAGAAAATTGGGTCGTTTCGCTCAATTTTTCTTCTTGAACATCTGCTTTCTTTTTAACTTTCTCTTCTGCTCGGCGGTCACTTTTCCACGAACAAATTGCTTCTTCCTAAGATTGATCTTCTGGAAATTCTGGTCACTTTTTGATGAGCCCCCGAGTCTTCGTGCTGCTGGTTTGTAGGCACGCGCTTGTTTCACTTCTTCGTTCCTGAATTTCGATGTTTTGGAATTTTTTGAAAATCTGCTACCACTTACGTTTCATCATCAAATTCTTCAGCTGGCTCTTCCTCTTCTAACTTTTCTGGCGTTGGTAGAAGTAGCATTTCGATATCCTGAAAATTTGAGGACTACAACGTATCTACAATTTCTCGACTTAAAACTTCCTTACTTTTTTCATTTCAAAATTTCAAGAAAATTAGTCACTGACTTTGAATCCAAATCATATAGTTATAACTCTCACTACGAATCTACATTGCTATTTTTAGAATTGTAGCTAAACTAACTACTGATTCTGCTCAGTTCTTTTCTGTTCCAGCAGACACATCACACAGGTTTTTCAATTGGGAAAGGCAGTTAATCGCATCAAAACCAAACCTATTGCCATCGGGTGTGAACCGGAATTCGTCATAATCATCTCCGAGGGTGTCGGGAATCAAAAACTACAAGGGATGAGTGTTTTGTGTTTGAAACATATTTTTGACTGACAATGAAGATCCGACGGCATGGGAGAACCGAGAACTATGCGAACTAAATAGAAGCGAAAGGAGTCGACTCGTTTAATTAGTCATAAAACAATCCCCCGCATGCGGTTTCTGCTTTTAATGGTATCAGAGAGGCTATCAAATCGATGCAGTCGACAGTCTTGAAAGAATCTAATTCGATCCAATTCCTAGTCCATTATTTTGCATTGTTAGGAGGGGTCTATCAGCAATGGACAACATAAGAGTTAGATATACTCTTCTGGATTGATTATATTAGGTTGGCTAATAAGTTTCTTTCGATTTTGAATGTTAAACTTTGAAGTTTCATAACTGGTCAGTGGGATTGTTGTTCTTGACGGATGTTTTTCTGTTGGATAGAGTATCTCACGGACTTGCTATATCCATCTTGCCTCATTCGTCCTTCTTATCGTTCGCGAGCATGCCGCTTTCTTTCGTCACTTACCGTCTACACTTTCAAAACTACGTTTTATTTTAATTTCTTTCTGGTTTAGAAAATAATGATATTTGTAAGAAAATGATAGAAATAGATGGAAAAGGATCTCCTACTCTGTCTACCATCAAGAATTGGACCGATCGGTTCGAAGCCAAAAATTTAGAATCGGAAGACGAAGCTCGGTCGGAAAGTTGGATCTGGTCCTATGGAAGAATCGTGTTGAAGCCGATCCGGTTCAAACCACTTGTGAAATGTCAGAGGCTTTACCCGATAGTCAATGAAGTGCTGTGACCGGATTGAAGTCTCTTGACAACTTCAAGAACTGAGTCGATTCGTACCCCATGTTTTGAAGGACTACGGTATGGATCGCCGTGTAGACATGAGCATGTTTCTCCTATCATTTCTTGGCACGTTCAGTTGGCTGGCTGGTCTAATTACCGTAGATGATAAGTGGTTAAGTTACTCTATCAATAAGCGAAAGGGTCAGTTGATTGACAAAGAATAGCTCGCTCTGGACGTCTCGAAACCTAAATTTCATGAAAAGGGGTTTGCTATGTGTTTGATGGTCTGTCAAAGGAATGGAGACTGGGAACTTTTAAATGAAGATACCACTATAATTGCCGTTTTGTATCATTCCTAATTAGAGAAATTAAATCTAGAGGTCAAATCGAAACAAAGAGAAAAATCTAAAGTTTTCCTTCAGGACGACAGTGCAAGATCCCCCGTTACTAGAGAGAATTCATGTCGCTTGACTGAACTATTTTTTTGCACCCGCTCTTCAGACCTTGCACTTTCGGATAAATAATCTTTTGGGGCTCTTAAACGCCATCTAGATAGGAAAGACTTCAATTGAAAAGATGACACCAAAAGGGAGTTGATCCACTATTCCGATCGCAGCCATCCTCGTTCTAGGCTAATGGAATCAAGAAGAAATTGGAGCGTTACCAGACACTTGTCCATGCTCATGGATGTTACTTTTATTAATCTAGCTTCCTCTGCTTTGAGGAAAATTTGATCAAAAATTTCACCAAAATCGAAAGAAACTTATTAGCCAACCTAATAACTGACAGCTTAGATATAAAGTAATACCTGAAAACCGGCTCAAAACGGGCCGTTTTAAAGTTTTTTTAGGATCAATATTTTTGGACCAACTAGATTAGATATGGTAGGACTCGACGAGTACGAAAAAATCATGTTATTTGAAAAACTTAATGAAAAAAGTTACAGGCGAAACTTTGTTCATAGACAAGATAATGCTTTTGAAATAGTAAATTTTTGTAGTACTCTTCGAGTCCTATCACATCTAATTTAGATGATCAAACAATATTGATCCTGAAAGAAAGTTTATCAGGACTCGCTTTTGAATTATCTTCAATTAACAAAAAAACTAACCCTGTTCATGAGTTGTCTTTGATATGGCCGTTTTGTTGGAGACTTGATAGGTGTTAATGAACATTTCACTGCTGATTTCGATGCACTCCCAGAGAAGGTCTTCAGAGGGGAAAAATCTTCAAAATTGAATAGGGCGCCACTATTGATCTTCTGAAAATGTGGATAAGGCATGTATTTCATAGATTTATTTCAGAGGGACAATATTCTCCAACCCTTCATATAATTAATGTTTCACTTCAAAGGATCCTAACTTTTTAGTTGTGTGCTACTGAATAACGCTCAGGAAACCAGAAAAATATATATATATATAGATCAAAGAAAGCGTGAAACTTTTTTTGAAACTTCCGCTATCATCAGCCTAAGCCAAGTTATGGCTTCACGGAAGTTCCAAAAGTAAAAGCGAAAACTTAAATTAAATATTTACACCATACCTGAACAAATCAAGGCCCGACCCAGTGTGCACGGTGCGGGTTTCTCCCCATTTGAAAAACTCTTTTGACTACAAAAAATTTTTGAAAAGATACGAAACAAAAACCCCTGTATACCCGTGCCTGACCTCGAAAATTTTGGAGAAAGCCTGGCCCGTTGGAAGTATGCTTTACATTCTTACTTTAAACATTTGTCACTCGTCATATTTTAATTTTTCAGCCAACTTTTCTAAATCTAATAAACTTTAGGAACATTGGCTTTCTGTGTCTTTTTTAATTCAATCCATCAAGATTTTAGTATATCAAGGTAACTTTTCGAAATTAGAAAGTCCTTACCTTTCTTGGAGATAAATCATTCCTTTGGGGTGTTGTTTTCGTTGGCGAATTCTCGAATAGTATTAATTTCTGAAAACTTGGAATTGTACGAACATAAATATGTCAGTCTGGAACCTTTCTGGGCGACGCTCTGAGAATCGGAGATGTTTTTTCTTCTTCTATTCTCTGGAGTTTGACTCGTTTTTTGACAGGACTGAACTGTTCCTCCTCCATCATTTTCGACACAAAATTAGTCCTTTTCAGTCCTCGCTTAATTGGGTTTTCGTGGATTTTTTCGGTGGTGGTTGTGCCTTTCAATAGAGCTGTAAGCATTTAGTCTGAACTGTTCTTTAAAAGCATGAAACATTACGCACCTTGAATTTCGTTTGGGGCAACTGAGTAATCTCCGGGTGTTGGTGATCTGTTGTAAATCTCTCGAAAGGTCGTTTTCCAACACTCTAATTTTTCTGAAGTCATCTTGTTCTTTTCTGAAATTTTTAATTTTTTAAAACAGATTATCGACAAACAAGGACCCTAATTGAAAGGAAATTCGAATCTTCAAGAAAAGAAAACGTTTTTTGGGTGCGGTTATAATTCAAAACGCGCGCGCATTTCCGCAGAGTAAACGCGCTCGGCCGCTAAATACAAATGGCGGGTTTTTTGAATTCAGGTTTTTCTGACTATTGTGGGGTTATTATGTTTTCCGACTATTGTGGGGAATATATTCATGATTTTTTTTTAAATACAAAAAAAAATACGAAAAAATACATGAAATCCTTTTTTTTCGCATGCATGCATTAATTTTTTGTGTTTAAAAAATACAAGAAAATACATTTTTTATGTCATGAATAACCCCATTGATATTTTTGTGCGAATTATTTACTGTTCGTTTCGGTTTTTTCCGTAGTTTCTTTGAACATCATATATAAACACAATTTTGTAAATCTTCATTCTTTTAACAATTTAGTTTTTGTTTTTTTTCCAAATTTTTATGTGATAGACTGAACCATTGATTATCGTATTTTCCTAAAAAGCCATGATTTATCTGATTTATCTGAACTGAAATTCAAATTCCTTGTTATTTGTATCCTTCTGCGTCACTTCTTCCAGCTAATTCGAGAGGCCTTCAAAGAATCGAGAGAGTAGCTGAAAAGGGATATGCGTTTGTGTCTTTTTCTATTTCATTTCTTTTGCTCATGCGGGTCCCTAATGATGGCAGGAGAGCCTCGTCTCCGACGGCTGCCTTCAATATATTCCAGGCTTCTAGCTCTAGAAAAAACAATCGAGGCGCGTCTTCTTCTTCTTCCTTTTCCCAGTCCTCTGGCCATCGGCTGCCATTCGTCACCTCTTTTTTCTCATCGCTGTCTGCGTACCATCACATTCCCCACCCTTTCCATTACCCTGTCTCCGTCTCTCACCGTCTAACAACGTGTCTGCCCTCGCAAAACCGGCTGACACGACACGGTCAGAGACGAAGAGTGTGGTCTGGCCTCAGCGCCCATCGCCCCTTCCCTCCTTCTCCACCACCCACTTCTCCATTCGCTTCCATAAGTCGGATGACGTGATACTGACTTCTTCGCTTTCGTTCACCAATCGTCGTCAGTGTGCCTTTTGGTAATGGACACGTTCGAGTTTGACTCGGACGCATTCTACATTTGCACCGAAATAGCACCGCAAAACTTTGTGGTACAGAAGGTTTGTGTGGATTCTCGTTGAAGTTGTGAAGTGTGAGCACCCGTAGCCAGAAATTTATTAGAGTTCGAAAATGATGCACTAAAAGCCCGCATCTGGATCGGTTTTCATTGCAAAAAGTCACAGATACTTCTTCTTTTACTTTCACTTAGTCTTCGCACCTCAAAAAACCGGATTCATTCTTCTACTATACCTACTAGGGAAATGCTGTCGTTTCGCCTATACTCTGACATTTTAACTAATTCCTCTACATCTTCTCTTATAACATGCTGAAGATGAGCTTTTTCGTTTTTTAAAGTTCTTTCTCCGAATAAACTTCTTACTGTATCGATTCTTTTGGTTTTAAATGTGAAGCTTCTGTCATCTCAGTTAGTTCTCAAACAAAAAGTATTCATCATTTTGTATCTCAACCAAATGTTTTCCTCAATCCTCTCTCTCTCTCTCTCTCTCTCTCTCTCTCACTAATTAGAGGAAAAGTCATGATTATACTCTCGAGAGTCCGTTTGATGTCAATATAACTTTATTTCGACTACATATTCATCGCTAGAGACGCTAACAAGAACTCGTACTCTGACTAAAAAATGTTTACCAGCTCATCAGAATTCATCTGCCGCTGCACCTCATTGCATGCGTGTCTTACCCCTCGATGTTCTTTTTGTTCTCCTTTTTTCTGTTGGTAGCTCCGCTGACGGCGTCCAACAAAATTTCGAATATTTTTTCTCCCGTTTTGAATCCAGTTGGCTTCATCAGTATGTGAAAAAGAGAAACGAATAATTCACTCCGATCAAAACGGCTTTCTGACAGATTGCTTCAAAAAAGTCGTATTCCGCTAAAATATTCCTAAAAAAGTCCGAAGCACTTTCTTCTTTCTTCCGAGTGCGAAAACGTTTTTCTTTCCTTAAAAAAACGATTCGTTTCAGTCACTTTTCAGTCGTCATTTTTTGAGACTTTGAAATCACAAACTTATCATTTTACCAGTCATGCTAACAGAACAAAGAAGGCTATCTACTTTCTTAGAAGCTCGCTATTCAAACCTGTTGTTTTTTCCCTAGTGAATCCAATACAGTTTAGGAGAATCCTATTTTTGATCTGATCATAACACAGACCAAGGTCCTAATACAAGTAACATCACAGCTTTGCAAACAGTTCATTTTGGCATGCTAGATTTTCAGTTTTCCTCTGGGTTTCCTGCTGGGTCATCCATCAAATTTATTATAGGCGATCCAAATCGACAAATCACAAATCGAGCGCATGCTTGGCAAAATTGACGAAAAGGGAGCAGCAGATCCTCCCAATCCGTCTGATCACTCTGTGGGATCGTCGTCTGCGCATTCCCCTGGTCGTACATCCCCGTCAACATTAGGCAGCAGCGGAAGCTCCGACGCTCCACCGATTCCTTTCTGGTAAGAGGGCTGACTTGCGGGGGGTGTCATCTTTATACTTCCCTTCGATTATGCCTATTCCCCCTATATGGTGTTTTCTCACTTTGTCTTCGTTGTCCAGAAAAAAAAACCACGACAGTTCTGCTGCTGTTCCTCGCCATGCATGCGCATTCGTCTTTTTTCTCTCCGTACTATTCGATCCCAATACTCTCTCCTTTTGCCTATATCGACTGATGAATCACCGCGCTGGCTCGCACTTTGCGATCGAACGCATCTCCTTTTTGGCCCCCCGTCACACAGTTGTCCTGCTATTGGAAAGTGGTTTTTGCCGTCTTACACTCCCTTGTTCGATCATCTTGTTTTAACGTCGTTAAGTATTGCAACACTGGTACTGTATTCTCTGGAAGGAGTATAAAAACTTTGAATGGTATCAATTCAAGAATGATTTTTTAAAAACGCTCGTCTTCCGAAAACGCCGCGACACTCACTTCCTTCCTAAATATAGAAAGTCCATATTCAAGGAAACAAAGTCATTTGTCGGAGACCTCCTTGTGACATCTCTCAGCAGGGTGCCTTTATCCATGGCGGAACAATCTACGAATCACCTCTCTTCTCTTTTTTCCTTTCCTTCTGTTCATCTGAAACTAAATGAATGACACCATTCATCTGTTCTCCTTTCGCGTTTCTCTTCGTGTTTCTAATCCCAGAAAGAAACGAAGAGTATTAGCATCAGAAACAACATATCGTTTCCTCCCTTTCCATTCTTCTATCCTATCTCATCCGATTGCACTAATTAGTATTCAGCGCCTTGAACAAAAAAAGACCCGTGACGTGCATTACATGGAGTCTTCCGAATTCTCGCAGCTTCACCATGACTACAATTTTTTTCTTCTCCCTTTTTTTCACTTTTTTGTTGCTTCTGATTCGTTTTGTCGTCATCAGTTTCCTCAGAATTCAAATTTTTTCAGGTTCGATCGTGAGTGTAGGGATAGGCTCATGATGCTCGGCCCGCAGCCGCAGATGCCTCCCAACTTCTCGTTCCCTTCGTCTTCTAATCATTTTGGACCTCCAGTTCCTTCTCCACCACAAACTCATGAAGATCTCCGTCTGCAACTAAAGAACCAACTGGAATACTATTTTTCAAGGTCAGTTTCAGTTGACTTTCGTTTTTTCTTCTTTTGAAACTTACATAAGAGAACATCATTCGAAAACTTTTGATCGCTTTCCGATAAGCATATTTTCTTGATTTTTTTTCGGGAAGGATCATGTGACCACTTTCGTTTCTCTGAAATTCGGAGAGTACAATGAACATTTGGAGAGGGAGGAATGGTTTGGAAGGGAAGTGAATGGAAACTAAAGCAAAGCATTTTCGAGCTACTCCGGCTTTTATGAGTTCAATAAAAAACAGAAAAAAAACATTTAATTAGACAGACAAGAGACACTTCGAGACTCTTAAATCCAAATAATTAAAAATAGTTCAAAAACTTGAAATTCAGGGAAAATCTCATTTCTGACCGATATTTGAAGTGTCAGATGGACTCGGAACATTTCGTACCGATCGCTGTGGTGGCCGGTTTTCCCAAGATCCGTCGCCTGACTGATGATGTTGATCTCATTGTTGAAGCATTAAAAGGTGGGATTAGAGAAAAGTGCTTTAAAATCTCAAACCCTTTCCTTTTGCAGAATCGATGATTGTGGAGCTAGACGAAAATTGTGAAAAAGTTCGGCCGATCTCCAAAAGAACGACGTTGATAATAAGGGAAATTCCGGAAGATCGACGAGAGGTAGCTTAAGTAGTCAGTGAATACGAATTGTTGTTTTTTTATAGGTAGTGGTGGATTTGTTACGTAATGGTCCACAGTTTTCTGAGTTGAAGTATGGTCTCAATGACAGCTGGTATGTAACATTCGATAATGAGCTGGATACTCAAATTGCGTACGTCGACGTACAGCATAAAACTAACGAGATAACAGATAGGAGAGTTTGTGTAAGTTTATACACCTTAAAAAACAACTCAACTTGTTTCTTTTAAGGCTAGAATAAAAGCCGGTGGGCCTCCGACGACTGGTTCATCGGATACACAGAATGGCGAGAGAGCAAATGCACCGACGCCGGTGGTCAATGGAGACAGCGTGGCGCAGCCGAAACTACGAGAGCTGGGAGCGTCACTAAATGGAATTGGGTTAGTACCTGTCGCTTCTTACCGACATGGAGAACCGATTTTGAGTCAATTCAAATACCAAACAAAGACGTGTCAATTTGCTGGAAACAGTTTGGGTGTTACCACTTCGATGCCTCCACAACCACCTCCACCACCGCATTCTCAGACGCTGAATGATCAACAGCCACCACAGCATTTCTTCTATCAACCGATGGTACCAAGTACTCCGCGCAATTTCGATGAGTATTCGACTGCTTCGTCCAATTCCACCCATACCACAACATCAAATTATCAAAATCGAAGTTGTAGTAGTGGAGTCGGAAACGGCCCCCATCATAACAACACTTTTTATGAGTCGCGTAGCAGTTTTTCGAACTCTAATGAGTGGCGTGGTCGTGGGGGTAATGCTCCTCAGTTCCAAAATAATTATAACCATAAGGAGAGCAATGGACGTTCGAATAGTAGCCGAGGAAGTTGGAGAGGACGGAATGGAACATCAAATACAAATACGCTCAATCATCAAAACCATCGGCAGGATGTCCAACATAATAACTGGAGAAACGACCAAAATATCCCGCAAAGCAACTGGAGAAATGACCAAAATGTACCACAGAATAACTGGCGAAGCGAGCAGAATGGACATCATCAGAACAACCAAAATTGGAGAAATCAGCAGAATGGACATCACAACAATGGGAGAAATGACCAAAAAACTCTTCCATCTAATCAATGGTGGTTGTCTCCCAACACTGGAAATCAAAATCGCCGTCCATACAACAATAATCATAATAATCGTCAAAATCCACTTGTGGCTTCGTCGTCTTCTTCAAACGCCAGCTCTAAATACGATGCTGTGGAGACTACAACCATTTCTGAGCAGAATGCATCATCATTATCATCACAATCTGTGCCAAGAACAAACCAGCAATATACTCCACCGACGCCGTCTGAAATGCCACCACCTCCAGTATGGCCTGCACCCAGCTTCGACCGACGAAGAAAGAGTTCGGAAGCGTCCGTGACAACAATAACTACTGCAACCAACACATTGACTCCATCAACTCCAGTTATTTCTGTTGACGATTTTCCTGCGTTTTCTAAACCGGAGCCAGTCGTTGTTGAGAACACGAAGCCAAAAGAAACCAAAGAGAAGGAAACAAAGGAGAAAAAAGATGAACCAATAACAGAGAAACCTAAGAAAGTCGAACCAACAAAAATGACTGCAGTTGAGAAAGAAAAATTGGTATGTTTATCAAATCTCATAATTTGAGTATGACTGATCCATTTTTTCCAGCGTTCTCCTTCAACCTCTGCCGCTGTTGCTCCAATTCCTGTTTCCACGCCATCATTTGCTTTCGAAGAGAACGCTTTCCCATCTTTGCCGAAAAAGATCGAACCAGTCAAACCTCCACAAAAACCGACATTCAGGTAGACGATGACGGTTGTCACTCTATCAACAATCGTTATTATCGTTGTCACGTGATTTGTAATGATGTTGTTTCTTGAGGTATATCTATGGGCCTTCTGATGTCGGTTTTGATCTCATTTTAAGTTTTCTTCAGTTATTCCAAGCATGAATATCCCTTTTGTGGAAGCTAAAACCGGCATTGGAAATCTTTTTTGTTCAGTAATCGATTTCCGATTTTTCAGTTCCGTAGCTGCTGGTCGGCGAAATGCTCTCAAACAAATGGTTCCCGAGAAGAAAACTTCGTACGCGGAGAAACTGAAGCAGCGTCAAGCTCTTCTTCGTAAATAATCACAGGTTTTTTTTACTATAGTCTTATTTAAACTCTCCGCTCCCCTCTTTCCTTTCTAGTCGCTTTCCCGTTTTAGATGATATGTACCAATTTGAACACTGCCCTCATACAAACAGCAAAATTAACATCTCCTTTTTATCACTTCACCAACTCTAACGTGTGATTTCTCCATCCCTGTTCAATTTCATGTAGTTCTTCTTTTCCATATCGTCCCCCTCATATTCTGTCCTATTCTTTTCCGTGTAGATGCGAATTCCCCCTTTCTCGGTCATTTCCTGAAATTTCACAGCCCCCAAAAGATTGCTTTAATACTAGACTTTCCACACTTCTATCCTTTTCTATTGTACTATTGAACGTTGATTCTGTTGCCAAGCGCGAACTCGCTTTACTGCATTTCGAATGTATCTTTGTACGTCAAACACCATTCTCGCGCGAATTCTCTCTGGGACGGGACTTTACTCGCATTTTTGAAATTTTACTTTATCGGTACTCTGGAATAATTTTAAAAAATTAAAATAAATTTTTAACTGGGATTTAAGAAAGATCGATTACTAATCATTTATTGAACTATAAGGGCTCGATCAAATTATGGCAGGGATCGGTGGGTTTCAAGAAAAAAGAGGAGTGGAAAGCCTAAAGTTAAAATTGTCAAATGGAGAGAAAGGATTAGCAGTATAAATTTGTGTTGAGAACTGTATTATATTAGAAAACGTCTTCTTGTGAGTGATCTTGTTAGAATACGATCATATATATGAGGATTGCCAGGAGAGCAAAGACTGGCACTGCGAGCATGTATGGACTGATCTCGTTAACCTCTGTAAAACGGTTTGTAAATTGAAAAAACACTGCTCATCACCTTGATTATAATTGTTTCTGTTACGAATGTTAGCTCCATGATTCAAAACTTGGTGAATACGATTAATGTTGTAACAGATAGTTTCCCAGGTTGAACCCAGAATGTTCCAGATGCTCTCTTCATTGGAAACAAGATCAATGACATGTGATTCTTGTTGATGATCTGGGAGAGTTTGTTGAGAAATGCTTCGTCTCAACGCTGGTTCTTCGGCCGAAGCTTCGGTTGTTTGCGGCTGAGTATCAGCTTCCTCAGCTTCCTCGGAATCTAAAATATCCATATTTTCATCTGGGGACGGCTGATTCTGGACAGTATCCGAAATTTTGAGAATCTCTTTTATGTCCGGCGGTTCTGCGAAACAGTGAACTCCACTGATCTCTGCATTGCCTCTCTCAAGAAGATTTGACTTTGTGGTGACCATATCGTTCAACCTTTTGCCTTCTTTTGATATGACTTCCATGATTGTGATGTTCTGAAAGGACATATTCAGATGGGAAATTTCCGAATACTGATTCCAACATACTGATGTCATCTCTTTCTGGTACTTATTGAAAATCAAACTCAATCCTTGGCTGCTTTTAGCTTTCTTCATCAGTGCCACCATTTCTTCAACTTCTTTGCCGTTCTGAGCAACCCGATCAAGAATTGTTCCGAGGACCTGGCGAGCGTCGGCCGATTCTTTGACCATTCGTGCCTTTAGAAATGCTACACTATTCAAATTCTTTGTGAAATCATAGTGAATCTGAAATAAAATATTTAAAATATTGTTCTGTTTGAAGATTGAAATTACTCTGATTAGTGCATATTCAACTACGGTATGCCCCGGGGTATTGTGTAGCTTGAGAACACAAGTTGAGCAGGTGGCGTAATTGTCTGGATGAAGCGGTGGCTGGAAATGAGAAACTGGGAAAGGCAACAATATCGTGAACCTACTTCTTCATTGCCAATAATTTTTTGAATGTCGTAGTCTTTTTCGGACAGAGTGCATTCACGACAAATATGGAAAGTAGACTCAGATCCAGTCATTTTGCAGACGTTGCACGTCAAGAAGCGAGAATCATTTGATGCGACTACATCTGAAAAAACAGAGGTTGAATTGCTTCGTTGTGGTAACATACCGAGCAACTGATGATTGTTTGGAAAGTCCGATGCTCCCGTATTCGGAATTTCCTCTGATCTCTGAACATTTAAAATTGAAATTATCAAAGTGATTAAAAAACAAACACGGCAGAGCGGACAGAAGAACAAAGTGTTAACATCTCCACCGCCATAATGCGAAACTTGACTGAAACATAGTTTTATCGGTATAGATACGGCTTTCTGGTTTGGAAACTAACACCGACGAAATTGCTTTATCCAGACAGCTTCTACAGAATGTATGACCGCATTTCAACACTTTTGGGAGGTGAATGTTCGAGTCTGAAATAAAAAACCTGCCTTTCGGAAAGAAATCTTTTAATTTGAAGTTTTTTGATAATAACTCTTACCGAACTCTTCCATACAAATCGAACAACATGCTTTGACTGCTAGTTTAGTATCTCGGATTGAAACGTCGGTTAGATAATCTTTCGGAACTAGCGACATCGTAAATATCGAGTGATGTTATTTTAAAGAGTAGGAATCTTTTTTGTAGGCTAAAATACGAGTATCGTATTCGGCAGATTTGGTATGAGCAAGCGCAGCGAGACCAAAACTATGACTCACATGCGCCTTTAAAGACTACAGTAATCTCAAGGTGCGCGTCTGTTTTTAAAAACAAGTTCTCGATGAGCTCATTGCAAATTAACAAATACCAGTCGGTTTACAGCCCCTATCGGGGGCTCAACCTCCTGGCTTCCGCTTACTGTATCTTACAATCCAATTTTTAAATTCAAAAATTTCGAATTTCCGAAGTCACAAAGATTTCTCTGGTTTTTACTGAAATGTCTAGTCTCCGAAAATTCAAATTCACTCTTCGAATTCGCTACTTTCTGAATTACCGAATGCCTTGCTTTCCCATTTTTTGGAAATCCAGGAAATCAGATATTTTGAAGTTTTTGACTTGAAAATCTCAGAAAACCGGAAGTCCGAAATTCGAAACCTAAATTCGAAACCGAAATTCAGAGACCTAAAAATTGAGAGATTCTGAACCGACTGAACAACTCCTGCTTTTAATACCCATAATCATGCAAAAAAGTACAAATTAGTCCCTTTTTTCGGGGTCCGACTTTTTGTTCAGATTCAGGCCATGAATTTCTGAAGTTCAGAAAATCGAGAATTTGAGAACCTGAAAAATTGGAAATTCAAAAAATTTTCGAAAATTCAAATTTCGAAAATTTAGAAACTCCGAAATTTGGAATCCTGAAAAGTTGGAAAGTCAGAAATTTTGGAATTTTTTTACAAATTTGTTGAAATTTGTTGAATATGATCTCAGATATTTATATACTGTAAAACCCGTATTAGAAGGGCCGACCCTTTTATTGTTCCAAGGTATCTCCTACTGGCCCTTCTATTGCAGGAACCCTCCAATTAGAGGGGGTGTTTTCTCCTTTCTATTTTTCCGGTTATTTTTTCCGTAATTTTTTATTGAAAATTCGACGATTTTTTGCTCAAAATTCATGAAAAGCTATCAATTTCACCAAAATTGATCAATTTTGTTTCAAAAAAAAGTTTTTAAACAAATATCTATCAACTTGTGTAATTTCCCGAATATTTTTTACTGAAAACGTACGGAGTCTTTGAATTCCAAAAAACATTTTGAAGAGGATCCTTTTTTACAGACGGCATTTCTAAAACGGGGGGGGGCATTCAATTTTTCCAAGCCAAGAACACAAGTCGACTCTGTGTCGACTTGCGTCGATACGATTTTTCAGATATTTTTCTTGCGTCGATACGATTTTTCAGATATTATTCTGCGACTTTACCAATTTTCTTAAAATCCGGAATAAAAATTTTTCTCGGAATCCGGACAAAAATTTTTGACGGAATCTGGAATCCGGAATCCGGAATGAAAAAAAGCACGGAATCCTGACATCTCTGGTATGTTGCAAGTTTGCTGATACGGTCGAATAATCTGAAAATAAAATTCCCAGTTTCATTCTCACGATGAAGAGTTTTAACAGCGCATTTGTAATTTTCTCTATTCTCCACACCTCTTCGAATTCGAACCTTATAACTTTTTGCGTATCCCACACATGTCTCTGATAAGAGCCTCATATCATTTTGTTTTATCATTGAGAGCAATATATCGGTGGGCGGTGCGGTTTCAGTGTCTTGTGAAAACAAACATGAGTTTCGACGACCTCCCTTGATCGCCTCTTCTTTTTCTCCTCAAATACATGTACATAACCGCAGAGAAAGCCTTTCTCCCTCTCTCTTTTCCTCCTCGTTCTCCTTTCTCCGCCCTCTTCGTCTCACCTGCTTCCCTAATACGTGCAGCTCTCGTTTGGAGATCTCTCCAGCTCTTCGCCATGCAACACCTTCTTCTCTTTTTTAATTTTTTGCTACTAACTAAGTCATCCTGCGGAGTTGATGTCTTTTGTGGACATCTTGAGATTTTCAACGAAAAAAGATTCGGACAAGGAGCGATTACCGTATCCTCCCAAACGACAACTGACATGAAGCAGTGTCTAGATGTTTGTTGTTCAATACCAAGTGAGTTTTTATCTTTTGTAAACATTTATTAAAAGTTATTTCCTAGAAGAAACTATTCAAAAGTATTTACAACCACTTTAATCTGATTATCTATTTACAAGTTGCAACAAAAACTACAAATCATAAATGCCCTGTCAAAGCGAATAATGCCTTAATGTCTCAAATGAAAACTCATTTCTAGAGTAATAGAAAAGGATATCACATACTTAGATGGATCCTTCATGAATATTATAGTTTGAGTTCTAACCAAGAAAGGATAGTTGATCCAGAAATTTTAGATGGGCTCGATTAAAACTTTCAAATGTACCACTTCTTCAGTTTCGAAAGTGTAAAGGATGGTCTCTCTAATTATTTGTAAAATAATGAGATTAAGAATGATTTCTGGACTTTCGAGTGTCCACTAGTTCTCACTTCTTAATGATAAGTGTTCTCTCCCTATCTCTGTCATGTTCCTCCGAAAAAAAAACCCTTCCCGGTTATGTCAGTTATCCATATTTTTCGGATACTCTCTCCAAAATGACAAATGTATCAGCAGAAGAGGATCACCTTGTTGCTCTTTCCAATGCGAATAGCGAGAGCTTTTCGAGTTGTTTGCCGACTCGAAACTACCAGTCGAATCGTTCCGCGCGGGAAAATGCTCAGAGCTGTGCTCCCAGTCTCTCCGCTCGAAGAAGAAGAAGACAGTGTCGCGTTTAATCCGCGTGTCATACAATCGTTTGTTTTATCGTCGGCTAAACCGATTCTCTCGCCTCCCTGTGAGCTCCCTGTGATCCTGAGCAGAACAACAGCCGGAAACAGAGACACCTTCTTCTTCGGGAAGAATAATAAAAGAGTAGGTGAACACCCTGTTGTCCTTTTATTTCCGTTTCTATGGAGATCTTATGAAAATAATGGAGAAATAGGGAAAAGAGAAACGGAAGGAAAGAAGAGCAGTGAGCCGGGAAAAGAAGTCGAGTAAATAGAAAATAAGGAAAGAATATGATGAGATACGACAGTTTCCGTAGACAATAAGGTTGAATTAGATTAATAAACACAATATTCTTCGAAATTTTAAAAAATGATAGAAAACCTTTATTCAGCAATTGAAAAGATTTTTCAGTTCTTGAAAAATTCAAAATTATCAGATCTACTTATACATTTCAATAAGAATGAAAATCTGAAACTCAAAATGGGGTTTCCGATAAACCGTTTTTACCCATCCGTCGTGACTTGAACACTCTAATGGAACGCAACCCCTTACTTTGAACTATGGGGCTATTTAATTCAGTGCCTGTGAAAGCTATCAAAATGTGATCAACTAAAAACTAAAAAAATATGGTTGATATTATGATAAACATTTTTACAATTGACCACTTTTTGATATCTTTTACTGGAAGTGAGATATACGGGATCAAAGCTGACGGTTTGCGGGCTGGCGTTCTTTTAGGGTGTTTACGGTAAACTGGAAACTTTAAGAATTTAATGCTGCTTCTGAATAATTCTTTGTGGAAGAAAGAGCTGAATTTATGTTCATATCCAATTTCGTACAAAATTTGATTTCCAGAAAATAAAGCAAAAAAGAAAATAAAGCAATAAAGCTAAATCCACGATAAACAGACACAAACGACCAATTAGAAGAGTTTTTCCAGATTGTGATGGAGTGACATTCGAAGGAATAACGTCGACAGAGTTCGATGATGCCAATTGTCTTCTCGTTTCGTGTAACCCAACATGTCAATTCAATGGACCCTCAACCCTCAATTCTTCCGGAGTATTATCCGTTCTCATCCATCGTATCAGAGTGAGTTATTTTTCCTTTCTTCAACCAATTTCCGTTTTTCTTCCCTCGAATATATACAAATATCTCGTCAAGATAGCATTGCCATTTCACGAACCATGAATTATTTACATGGGCGGTTCGCCTACTCGAGTAAAAGCGAAATGCCCCAAATTTTTTGTATATGCATATGGCCCTGGACGAAATGTAATGAGAAGTGTATAGAAGAGGTTGAAAGAGAAATTGAAGAAGGGGAATGAAGGTAGATATACCCCCGCCCTTCTCTCTTGAGAGCCCGATGGTTTTATTAGTAGGAGACATGCTGGGTTATAATCATTTTGGGATTATATATGAAGATTTAGTATGAGGGGCGGAAAGAAGGCTACAATAACATAATGAACATATAAGAAATGTCTTGTCAGGCTTAATTGGATATACCTAATGAAAGGAATGAAAAGGATTAGGAAGATTTGGGATACATGAATAAAACGATTTTGAGTAAAGATTCAAGTTATTCAGGACGATTACCGAATATACCGTAAACATTCTAATAGAATGCCAAAGTTTCCAGTGTATATGTAATTGAAGAGCTCCCACACTATCAATTTCGAGTCAATTTACCTCATTTCCTGTAAAAGGTAACAAAAAGTGGTTGACTGACAAAATGTTTATCATAATATCAAATATATTTGGTCAGTGAGCATATCTTTTACAGGAAATGAGATATATTGGCTTAAAGTTGTAAGTTTAGTATTTGGTCCTTTCATTGTGTAGAAAGTATCCATCTGAGTTTCAGCAACATTGCCATTCATGAAAGGGGAACTATTAATTTCTGTAAAAGTTAGTTTTGAATATCGAGATCACACTTTTCTATTGGGTGTAGCTTTTCTATACTTCTCAGAAAACCTTTACTACAGTTTAAACCAACTTTGTAAGATACATTTTATATCCTTCTTTTTTTCAGAATGAAACGACGACAATTCCAACAACAACAACTAAATCTTCATACATTCCTGAATTCCGTGCAGTCCTTTCTCCTTTCTGGTTCCTTGCCGTTGCAATCGGAGTTGCTGCAATTTGTTTCGGACTCAATGTAACACTTTGTGTCGTCTATTGTTTCTATTGTCGAAGGAAAAAACGAAGTCAAAAAGCACATATATCCACTGTTAAAGGTGGACCAACATTACATGCTTATAATCCACAAATATGATCATTTATAGTATAATTATTCTTCGCTATTCTAGTCATTGTTATTATTTTGTCTCCGGTGTTTCTGCTCATTTTTTATGTAAATATTCTTATATCTAACGGGTGTCACTTTTCTTTTTTCTCTTTTTTCTCCCACTTATTTTTTCTCCGTTTTCCACTTTCCGTTCTACCTCAACTTGCCTTATATGTTATTCATACGCAACTTAATTTTCGAATAAATTGTTTTCAAATCTCTTTTTTTGTAGACAAAACGAAATGGAGAAATGAAAACACCAAAACGAGTTGATTCCATTTTGGAAAATGGCAAAAGGGACCGAAACAGAAAGAAAAAAGAAGAAGAGAGTGATTGAATTTCTGGCATTTTGTGGCGCATCCCACTTTCCGGCAGAGAAAAGCTTCCATTTCCCTCCCCTTCCAACCCCAAAAATATTTCCCTTTTTCCTATTTATTCTATTCCTTTTTTTTCTTTTTATTTTATTCTCATGGGCCCAATACCATCAATTTCTCACCAAACTCTTTTCTAACCCCACACATTTTTTAGACTTTTCAAATTCAAATCCAAAAAAGAAGGTGCTTGCCTTTTTCGTTTTCTTCATCAACAATTTATGAACACTTTTTTGTTTTTTTTCAGTTTCCCGGAGGGCACAAACTCACTTTTCGAAAAAAGATCACAAAGTTTTCTTTCACTTTTGTATAGTTTTGTAGTTTTGAAAGATTGAAAGATGTGTCTGTTGGAAGAACCTGTCAGTTTTTGTATAAATCTATGGGAGAGTCAAGAGTTTGAATTTAAAATTTTGACATTTTTGAATCTCTATTAGCCGATTAAAAATATTACCATTAGTGACTGTTATGGGTTTTTTGCAAATAAAATTAGAAATTCCAAAAATGGACTGCAAATTCCAGTATATATAGTGATAGCGTATTCCTCAAATAAGCTCTCCCAAACCGTCAACTTTGAGCTCAATTATCACGATTTCTGTTAAAGATATCAAAAATGTGTCAACTGATAAAATATTTTTGATAATATGATTAACATTTTGTCAGTTGATCATTTTTCATATCTTTTACAGGAAATGAGATTTATCGGCTCGAAGTTGAAAGTTAGGGGTCTCGTTCTATAATAGTGATATCAAAAAGTGATCAACTGACAAAATGTTTATCATAATAATCTCAACATTTTATCAGTTGGCAAATTTTTGATATTCTTGACAGGTATCGAGATAATTAAGCGCAAAGTTAATGGATTGGATAGGCGGGAATAGGTTTTTTCTAGAATCCCTCTCTGAAATGTACAAATGTTTTTGAAATTATGAAGATTTACACTTCGGAAATGTTTCGTTGCTCCTGTTCGATACCAAATCGCAAAGTTCAAGCACATGTTCTTTTTTCAAGTCTGAGTTTTTTAAAGTCGGGGAGCATAACGGTTTCATGACAATGGAATACTTTCTCACTCATTAGACTGCAAGGATAGTTTTACTTTTTTCTCTTTCACATTTGATTCCATCGGGTGAAAAATGTCTTAATTTCCTTTTCAATCTATCTTTTGCATCAAAAGAAAAATTCTTTCTACCATTCAATTTCCTCTGTTTTTTTCCTCTGCAAAATCCCAACGATTCCCCGCATCCTCCCGCTCGTCGGTGTCGAATTCATCCCATTAGCCTATGTATGATCTCCTCGCGGATTCATCTCATTTTTCCATTTTTCTCGTCTTTTTTCACCCAGAATAATTGTGAGTGTGCATACTGCTTGTTGTGTATGTATGTCTTGAAAAGAAGAGGAAAAGAGAAGAAAAATCTAGAAGAATTATCGAAAACGGAGCCCCCTAGACTACTGCTACAAACGAAGAATGTGCGCGCCAGTGGTCTTCTTCTTCTTCTTCTTCTTTTTCTTCGTCGTTTTCTACTTGAGAAGGCACGCGACTCTATCGACTTTTTGGGTCTTGTTGCTGCTCCCCCACGCCGTCTGTTGCTCCGTTGAGCTCTTTGATACTTTCAACTTTCTCTGCTAGGTTCTTGAGCCACACACACATTATTTATGGTTCTGCGTTCCGCCACTACTCAAATAACATTCCATTTCTTCCATCTCGGTCGACCGGAAACTTCGAAATTTGAAGCTTACTGAGACGTTGAAAGTTGGGTTTTCTTCACCAAACCAAAAAATTTCCAAATCCGTTTCCAAGAAGACCAGATTTTTCAAGAATTGAGGATTATGATTGCATGTTTTGTCAGATGACGTTGGAATTTCAAAGCCATCAGCTGACACGCATTCCCTTTCAAAAAAAATACAAAAATTGATGCTGTGGAAAAGAAACGCCATTGGCCGAAGGTCCCACAACGACAACTACTGTAATCTAAAATTTTCAGCCTTTTTTTCTCGATTACTATTGTTTTTGACAACTTTTGTGTTGAAAACTGACTACGGTAGTTCGGCCGAGGCCATGGACACCGGATTCCTCTTCCGCAGCTCCGTTTTTTCTTGCATACGCACATAATAGGCTCTACAATGAATTCCATTTCCGATGAAAATAGGAATCGTATTGTCTCTGATACGAATTTTCAATTTCCCAAATAAACCTCGAATAGATTGTTTTCGCCACATTTTATCGTCTTCTTTTCCTTTGCTCCTTTTCTGTTTTCTGATTCTTTCGCCCCTCGATTCTTCTCCAATTCATCTGGTAGTTGGCTTCGAAAAACTTTGTCTGGCTACTACTTTTTCTTTCGGCTATTTTCTCTTCTTCTGCTTCAAATAATGGCCGGTTGTCTATGTGTGAAATGCGTTGTTGAATAACAAATGAGCGTCTAATTTTAATTGTGGAGAGCAGTAGAACAAAGAAGAAGAAGAAGAAGAGCTTCCATAAGCCTTCTGATATTCTTTTCTTCATTAAGTATGGCTCATCGGGTTTCTTCCTTTTCAAAAGATGTCTTCTCGGATGACGTCAACTTTCTGTTGACCTTTTCATTCTCTTTTAGGTTATGTGTGAAAGCGAAGAAGCGTCGAATGTCTTCTCCATCTTTCAATTTTTCATAAATATCGTTTTGTATATAATAAATCCTTCATTCATTGCTCCTTTCCTTTTCCTTTCTATTCAATAGCTCCATTTTCTTGTCTCCATGTTCTCCTGCCGCCAATACCTATCCCTTCCATTTCATTCTTCTCTGTTTCTTGGCTTTTTCCTTATTGTAATATACTTCAGAAGGCCAAAGTTTCTCCTTCTTCATCTCCATCATGGCGTTTTTGAGTCAATTACAAGGAGGGTTCGCCCAGTTGAAACAGAAGGCCGAAGCTGCTGCTCCGTCGATTGCTGGATCTTTGAATCAACTGAAAGAGGCACCAAAACTTGTGGAAAGTGCATTCAAGTCAGGACTGACCAAGGTCAAATTGGATTCGTTGGGAAAGGTTCTGAATGTTCCGTCTTTGGGAAGAAGTCAGTCTCCGATTGACATTGTTCCAGTCATCACTGCATTTGGAGAACACCTTCAGAATGCACATTTCGAGTACTGTGTGGGTGAGAATAAACAAGTTAAAACTGAGAAATTACAGAGTTGCATACGAATCGACAGGAGAGTTCAAAGCTGGGAACGACGGAAACTCGGTTTGGTTGTTGAGAGAGGGAAACAGCAGTGAATTGGCCATCTCTTTCCTCGCTGAAGAGCAATATCATCTGGATGCAGTCAACTTCCATTGGGCTACAGAACCAATGAATGGATCCGAGCACACAATTGGAGGTGTTGGATATGCTGGAGAAATGCATCTCATCCATCGAAACACTCGTTTCGCAACCATGGCCGACGCTCTCAAGCAACCAAATGGTGTTATTGCGATCGCTGTATTCTTGAATGTAAGTAATCATCCAATCCTATTTAGAAAACGAATTTCCATATTCTAGGAGTCTCACGATGACAACCCAGTTTTCTCCCCTTTCATCAATCTGCTCCCACAGATTATCTATAAGGGAAGTGAGTGCAAATTGTGCTCATTTGACTTCCAAACCTTCTTCCCTGTCGCCGAGAAGACAAAAGAATTCTGGATGTACGAAGGATCGGAGACTACTGATCCATTCCGTGAAACTGTCAATTGGATCGTCATTAGAGCAGCTCTCCCAATCAGCTCTCATCAGGTACAGATATTAGAAAAGATGTAAATATGAAAATATCGAATTTCAGCTCGACAAACTTCGCGAGGTCCGGGCTGGCCGATACGACGAGGAATTCTCGGACAAGGTCCCGATGAAACCACTTCGTCAGATTCAGGTATTCCATTTCATTCTTTCAGTTTAAGATACTCTGAACTTCCAGGCGGCCTCATCTCGAACCGTCCTAAGCAGCTTTCGCTCAGTGGCCGGCGCTCCAGACCTCGGATTCAGACAATGAATTGGTTCCGCATCCTGTTGAATGTGATACACGTCTTCTCGTTCAATCATGTTTTCCGTATTCCAAACTTTTGAAACAATAACTTTTTTCTGATATTTTGAGATTTGCTTCTATATTCTTCGGATATGTTCTTATATTTATTTTTCAAAGCAATAACTTATTTTGCACATATTTTTTGATTCCAGACTTCTTCCTGATATCTCACATATGCCAGCCGTTTAACCAAAAATTAGACCAGATCTCATTATTTTTCCACAATGATATTTTTTTTAGAAACTTCAATAAATATTTGGATAGAAAAAAAACAGTTTTCATTCAAAATCAAAAAATATGAAACAGGAAAAAAACACAACAGGAGTTCTAATTCAAAGGGTCTAACTATATAACTTTCAATTTGTAAGTTGGTTAGTTTGGGTTTGAATAGTGATAAGACAGGACAACAAAATAAAACAGGAACAAATATTGGAAACAAAAATAAATTATTTAGGGTTTTTAACCAGAAGAACTCCCATTTGAAATAGAATTTGAATGGCAGCCAACTTCTCCTTTCTGGTATTTGATTTCGTTTCTCTACAAGAGAAAATCTCATCCAAAGTTCTCCATTCTGGATACGCATTCCAAAGAACACGATACGTGTCGATTCCAGTGGAAGGAAAATCGACGAGAGTCTCTGGGCGTCCTTCGAAAAGACGAGAATTGTTCATACGGTGACTGATAAAACACGAATCTTCACTTTCCATCAGAAGACGTTGAGTGTGTTTTCTGATAAATTTCACTTTCGTGTTGGCACAGAAATCAATGAGATCATCTCCGAGCAAGTTAGTCGATAACCCAATCACACTTCTTTTCTTTTCCTCTGAAAATGAGCAACTTTAGAATTCAAATATACTCTTCCGCAGGTACTTACTGTCAGTGAGAATTGGTGGCAATGCTTGCTTCATGAACTCTTTTGTCATACTATCCACAGAACTATCAAGAAGATGATCAGCAACCAAATTGCGAAGTCTGCTCATATGTCTATCCACCACAATCTTGAACTTTTCAGTGAAATGCTCCTCCTGTGAATAATCCAAATCGACGACTCCTCCCATATCAAAAAGTCCAATGGGCAATCCACGACGTAGTTTGTGTCTTTCCTCTGTCAAAGCACCAACAGCTTCCGGGATTACTTTCTCCATCAAATTTGCAAAACTCCATTGTCTTCCGGTAGAAACAGTGACATGCAGAGAATGCACTTTTTTATCGGTTCTTGCCTGATGAGTATATCCACGTGGAATGTAAATCATGTCTCCTTGTTCAATCCATCCCTCGAATACTGGCTCTTTTCCCTTCATATCATCTTCAGTGAAGTTTCCACTCGATTCCAATGGTAACTCTTCTTCAGCGGATTCTGGAGCCCATACTCTCCAATATTTACGTCCTTCCACTTGCAATAAGAATGCGTCTATCTCGTCCCAGTGTGGAGCAAATCCAGATGATCCGGCTGGTGTCAAGTAGGTATTCGCACCTACGAAACAACCAAACTGTTCTTGAAGAATCTCACAAAGGTACCAGATGCGATCGTCGAAAGTTTGTGGGTTGACAAGTTGAACAGAGCACAAATTCTGAAAATTAGTAATTGATTCTGGTAGGGAAATGCTATTCTCACATGAAGATGTTGCTTAACAATTTGTGGATAAACACGTCCTTTTCCATTTAAAGTAGTTCTAATTCCATCCTTATATTGAGCAATGTTAATATTCATGTTATATTCCAAATAATGTTTCTCCAAAAGCTCAGAAAAACGGGTAGTTGAGAATAGATTACCGTAGTAGGCGGGAGTTTTACGGTGAACAACGAGAACGTTCGATTGATAGAATTTGCTGAAATAAAAGGGTCATTCAAAGCTGAAAACATTCCGAAACTCACTCAAAGAATGTTTGAACATCACATGGAGAGACCATGAATCCGAAAGCACGTGAAGCAGTGACGACAGAATCCTGATCATTGAATGGGAAAGCGTCAAAGTCGACTGGTTTCGCTGCAAATGTTCGAGCAGCCTTGTCCTTGGAGATCACATGAGCTTCACGATCCTTTCCAGCAATGAATCCCTCGTCATCAGAATCCGCATCCATTTCAGAAACCACTGATTCCTCATCGCTAACCTCTTCCTCTTCCTCTTGTTCGTCCTCTTGTTCTTCTCCTCGTTCTTCATCAGCTACTTCTTCTTCCTCCTCATCATCTACTTCTTCGTCCTCTACCTCTTCTTCATCCTCAAACTCTTCCTCATCTTCCATTTCATCTTCATCGTCAACATCTTCAAATTCGATGCATCTCTCGATATCTTTTGGATCGACAATCATCTCACTCTCATCGATTTCAGTCTCATCTTCATCCATTCCTTCCTCATCTTCTACTTCTTCTTCATCCTCAAACTCTTCCTCATCGATCTCCTCATCCTCTACTTCTTCGTCGAGAATAACAGTCTTTTCGATTGTGGTCTCCTTTCCATTTGAGACCAAAGTGACTTCATTGCCATTATCTGGCTCCTCGAAAAAGTACGTGGATTGAACAACTTCAGAAGATACAGTGAAATCTGAAAGCATTTGAAAGTTCAAATTGTGGCTATCCATTGTCTTTTAAACTCACGTTTATGCGCCTTCTTGGCAGCAACTCCATCCTTTGACTTCGACTCCACTTTGGGCTTTTTGGCTTCCATTTTTGGAGAAATTTCCCGATGTCTTCTCTTTTTTCCTCCATTTTGTTCCACAACTTTTCCATGGGCTAAAACTCTTTCTGGAATATCTAATCCATCGAAAATCTTCTTCTCTTTTGCCAGCTTGGCTGGGTGAACAAATTTTGGTTCTTTCGATGGCTCCTTGTAGTGAGAAACAGATGCACTTTTAGCTTCTCCATTCTCAATACTTGCCCATTTATCATTGAATTTTACTGGGGGTTTTGATGGGGTTTTAGTTGGGGTGTTGTTAGTATTTCCTCCTCCATTCGACTTATTCTTCTTCCCCATTATTCTGAAAATTTTCATTGAAAATTTCACAAAGAAAAGCAAAGAAAAGGAAAGAAGGAAGACGGTTAAAAAACAATATTTAGGCCAGATTCAAAGGAAATGTGTTCGCGGGAAGTTTTCGTTGGGTAGGGGAAAGAGAGAGAGCGTACGGGAGAATCTAGTCCGCGTCCATGGAAGAAGAAGAAGAAGAAGAAGAAGAAGAAGAAGAAGAAGAAGAAGAAGAGGAAGAGAAGACAGTACGAAAAAAGGAGAGGGAAAAGAAAAGAAAGAAATAGGAAAGTGGAAAAAAGGCTGCGAGGAGTATGTTTTTGAATCTTTTATGGACCAGATAGAGATTCTTCAAAATTAATTGGTGATAAAAAGACAATTTGGATGGGATCTACTCTGTTCCGTTTCATTCGATTCGCGGACTTCAAAATTTAAGTAGATCAAAAATAGGTTTCAATCTTTGTTGATCTACAGGAAACTTTGTTTATTTGCTCTCTGAAACTTAATACATTGTTTTCATGTTCCAGAAAATAAGATTTAAAAAAAAACTTCTTGAAATATGTATCAGATTTGGTGATGAGAACCCGCAAAAAAGCTAGAATAGAATAGGAGATTTGAAATATAACTTGCGTTTTTAAGAAAATAGAAAAAATTATGACAAAAAGTATAAAAAAACATTAGTAATTGGATCATAATCAGAAAAAAACATATCATTAAGTAATATAAATTTTGAAAGTTGTTCGATTTGATGGACTTTTTAGTTTAAAAAAAACATTTTACTCAGAAACGTAGTAATTTTACTATAGTTTAACAACTAATATTTGGATTTCATACTTTCTGTCAAAAATGTCAGAATTTTCTTAAGTGCACAAGGTTTAACCATTCTTAAATCTTCAGCCGCCGACGGCCCGCCGTTCGTCCGCTTTTCGGCAACCGCGCTTTACCTGACATAGTTAACTGTGTTCTAGATAAACTTCTTTGACCCAACTTTTTTTCGCTTCAAAAACTTTGGGTAGTTGTCAAAAATTAACGTCACTCTTCTAATGGGAGCCTTGAATACATAGGACAATACTGTATGGCTGATTTATTAATTGTAATATTTCAACTTTCTTCTTTTCGCCCGACTGCTCCGATTCTCCTATATAATCCCACACCCTTCTTCCTCAATCGCATCTAATTTCAGATTTCATTTTTTCTACTTTCCTCTACTTTTGGCGGCAAATAAACATCTCTTCGTGTTCCATCTGCGTCTCCCTCTTTCACCTTTTCTATTATCTCGCATCCTCCTATCGTCTTAGTTTTCTTTCGTTCACTTTCAATTCGAAATATTCGAAAATGGTAAGAATCTCGTACATTTTCTTTGGAATCCAACAATTGATATTATTCCAGAAGTACCATTTCCTTGGCAATATGGAATGTCCATCGTGGCTTCTTGAAGAAATCTGCACAAATTTTTCAAATATGGTGAGTCTAAAGAAGTTTCAAAAGTTAAAATTTTTAACCTTCGCTTTTTTCCAGACAGTTCTGAAATTCAAGCAACTCTGCACGCGAGCTGCTCATCTGATTCTCCATGACAATGATGATACGGTGCTGTCGAATACTTCAGAGAAAATCCGTGAGTTTTCTTTCGGATTAATTATATAAGAGAGACGGATTTCAGACACAGTCAACCACTCAAATCTCGTTTTGATCGGGGATTGGTTTCTTCTGAAACCAGCTGGATATGACTGTCCATTAGAGGATCTTGAAAAAGAGATTGTTCAACTCGGACTGCCTACAGAACATGGAAAACAACTTCGAAAAGTTTATGAAGTTTACAAAAATGAATTGATGGAGAAAGTCAAAAACTCGGTTCACAGAGGTAGGAGCTTCTTGAGCTTTGATCTATTTTCTTAAATATAATTTTCAGAGCCCCATGCTACGGTTCTTGATTCTTCTGCAACTTCAGTGACTTTCGAAAGTGATTCTCAAGTTTATGATGTATCGATGAATGGAAATATGATGAGCCAATTCAAAAATGGTGTGTATTTTCATAAAAGTTCGAGAATCTTATTTTTAAGCTGCTTCTTTTTAGATATCGAAAATTCGTTGTCGAAATTAAAGGATTTCGCTGGAACCCTCCCTACCTCTCTTCAATAATTGTGTCGTTTTTACATGTAAAGAGTCTTGTAGATAAATGAAAATCTACATGAACAACCGTCTATTAACTAATAGAAACTATCAACATATAGTAGTCTCTACAGCTGAAACATGGTAGTTTTTTGTTGTTTTGAACCCATAAAGTACCGTCCTGACCGATTACGATACATAAAAAAAACTTTTTGGCATCTTTTGTTACGGTTATGGGCTTAAATAACTTATTTCAAACTGCACCTTTCCATAGGAATCGGATATTAAAACTAATCTCTAAAATAAAAAATGCGTTATTTCACATTTTGAAATGGAAAACTCGGAGACCGAAAGAAAAAGAGCAAAGTGAATCTTAAATTCAATGATAATACATATTTGCAAAAGACTGCTCCCTGTGAGGCTCGAACTCACGACCTTCAGATTATGAGGCTGCCTACTGCGCTACGGAAGCCACAGGCAAAGGGGGGCTGGCAGATAACTGCTAGATGTCGGCTGAAGAGGTGCTGACGGGTGAACACCTTCCTGCAACGATGCGGCGGGCCGTTGACAGCTTGACGACAGACAGTTCGTTCGCATAAGAGTTTATGGACGAAAATCTGCTAGACTTGAACCTGTTACCCGCGAAGAAGCATTACCATATAATTGCACTTTGACCTAAATTATCTTGTTTTCTGTAAGAGATATCTAAAATTTGTGAAAATGCGCAGGGTTCCAAAAATACCCAATAACCAAGGAATTTCAGAAAACGCTAACAGCGTACAACAGAACTTGCTGATAACAATGGAACTGATAACCTCCTCGTTCGTTCTGTTTTGCATTTTCTTTTTTGGTGAATTTCCTCCTTCTCGTGTCGAAGGAAACCAAGGAGACGGACGAAAAAGAAGTGTTTCTTTGTTTGAATTCGTTGCATATTCCACTTTTTAGTGGCTTGTGAGCCTACTATGATTCGACGTCAAATTCGAGTTATTAAGTCATGGCCAGCACTAAGGAAATTGTATACAGTGATAATAGGTTTGTGTGTGTCTCAACTGAATCAATAGTTAATGGGAAATTTCAGTGACTCTCGTTGTTATTTTAATCGTTAATTGGTTCTCGCCTCATTACTATGACTATAGCCAGATTAAAACAAAAGTATATTGTGATAAGGTATCAAAAATTTTTAGTAGTGATTGAACTTCAAAAGTGTTCAGAATGAAGTAGTCGGAAGAAAATATATTATGTTTCCTATGGTTTCAATTGTACTCAATGGTGGAATTGGTATGGTTTTTAAACTGTAAATTTTTTTAATGATCAAAATATTAAAGGAAATCAACTATTTGAAGTATTTTCGTTACTTGGTTTGGCTCAAAAACTGAATCGAACTGCAATTTTCAATGCTGATGATTATGTTCTTCACTCAAATCTAGATCTTCTAAACAATCAAATTCCATCAGTTGCTAACAGAGTGATTTCAATTCCTATCGACGTTAGTTGAACATTTTGCTATGTGTTATTTAACTAAAATTGGATAATTTAGATATCAGAAACCACAAGATATGTATATTCTCCTGCATGCTGTCATTATCAGTTTTCATTCATTCTCTCTTGTGAACAAACAAAGTTTCTGGTCATTGATGGCGGATACTTTCAGGTACCCGTTTTTCTTTGAAACCTGTTCTTCTATGAAATTTTCAGAGTTTCAAATATTTTTCCTCAATAGAAAATTCTATTCGACACTGGATGAAACCTTCCGAAAGAGAGCAAATTTCACTGAAGAGATTGATCAAAAGGAAAGATGAACTTCGGTGGAAGTAAGACAAATTCTACATATTCTGAAATTAAAAAAAAGTTTAATTCAGAACCTGCGTTCATGTTAGACGAGGAGATTTCCTTTCGGATGGCCAACATGCTGGAACTGATAAGATGTTCACAATCAATGCTATTGATCACTTATACACTCTTCGTAATACAACTGATTCATGGGAAATGCGTACTTAATTTTGCAGATTCTGGATTGGTCTTTATATTCAGCAATGATCCGATCTGGGTTCGGAAGGAAATTGCAGAGCATTTGGACTATAAAAGTGATGTTAAAGTAATGGAGACAACGAAGACAGATGCAATCAAGGATCTCTATTTTTCCCAAGTTCATTGTGATTCCGTGTTAATAACAGGTGAGAAAGTAGATTTATAACATTGTTACATTCTATGGAAGTCTGTTGAACTAGAACTGTTAACGATTAGAGTGACATCTGGCGAGTGGTCAGGTTTCAGCTCCATCTTCTACGTTCGGTTGGTGGATCGGATATCTCTCGAAGAATCAATCAAACGTCTACTATCGTGATATCCAAGAAACAGAAGATACCGTAATCCGTTTTTCTTGTGTTTTTCTCGGAAGAAATGTTTTTTTTCAGGTCAAATACCAAATGATCGAAGAAGATTTCTTCCCTCCAAGTTGGAATAAGCTAGGAATGACCAAAAACGGGTTGATTATTTCAAAATAAACTATTTTATTAACGTAATAATAGAAATCTCATAAAAATACAAATTGTTTGTTTGATGAACAAATTCTGAAATTATCATATGAAAGATATGGTAACACACGGAACTGAAATACATGGGGACTGAGCGGGTTTCGGGGTAAAAAGAATGGTCAAGGTTGGGATTACTGTGGAATTAAAATGATCTGGTTGTTTTTATCCACAATATTATTACATTTTCAAGATCAATAAGTCCACAGTAATGCAAAAAAAAAAAATCAAAACTAGGTTATATTAAAATTATAGAAAAAGAAACAAGAATTGAGGAATAAATACGATATAATCAAATTTCGAATAAAATGAATGACAAGTGAGAATAAGAAAAGTATCTAGAAAATCAACTCGTATTCGGGTGATGTTCAAAACTCGGAGCAATTTAGAAAGATGCCATTTGTTGCAAAAAATGAAAGAGAATGAGAAAGATATTGAAATTGATCGAATCTGTGGGTTTTTGTTTTCACATAATAAATTGAAATTGAATCATAAAAAAGAGTCCTTCTTCAATATCGATAGGTACCTCTTTCATATTGTCTTGTTGACATATCCATATCATCATATTCATCGAATCCATGACGATCGTATGATGTTTGTCGTTGTGGTGCCGGTGGAGGAGCGTGTTGCATCGGTTGTTGTTGTTGAATTCCACCGTAGGATCCAGTTGCTTGTTGCACATTTATACTAGGCATTCCTGGACGACCGCCTTGCATTGGTGGAGCCAAATACGGTGGATTCATCGATCCCATTTGACCTGGACCCATTTGTGACATTGACGCGATTGATTGTTGCGGTTGCATCTGTGGAATTTGACCAGCGCCTCCTTGGAAACCCTGAAATTTATGTTTTGGGAAGCTAGTATTAATGTTGAGTTCTATTTCAAAACAGTCGATTCTCGTTTATTTTTCTGGTATAATTTCAATGCGCGTTGCGGTCGAAAATTTGAGTGTGGGCGGAGCATAGGCTCAGTAGCGAAGTTTTTAAAGGCGCATTTAAAGGAGTATCTATTTCCGTGATTACTTTCTGGCCTATTTTTTAAAATGTTTCAGTAATTCTTGTTGTTTTAAAGTTTTTTTGCGATTTTTCGGATTTCTTCAAAGAAATAGTTCAAAATCGTTAAAATTATCGAAAAATATAAAATAGACCAGTAAATAATTACGACGAACACATGTTCCTTTAAGGATTTTTCTACCGAATCTAAGCTCCGCCCACCCTCGAATTTTTGGTCGTAAATCGCCCTGAAATTAGAACATAGTATTTAACATAACGAAAAAACATTATATTTAGAAAAAATTCGATTTATATTCTTGAACATTATTGTAAAATTGTTTGGTATTCCCAAAAGCTGACGACCTGATATATTGACAGAGATTTCAGAACTTTAACTAACGAACTTTTTGTAAGACCTTCCATTTTTTAGCACATAAATTGATACATTTTTCTGGATCACTTTCTTCTTTCCCTACTAACCTGCATCATCTGAGCCGGTGTAAATAGTGTGCTGGGTCCTCGGTTCTCCATTGGATTTCTCTTTATTCTTGGTGGAGATCTGACTGGTGGATGTGTTGCTCTCCAATAAGCTTCCATGAAATCAGCCAAATGTTCACATGCATCTTCCAACTGATTCTCGTCAAGCAGTACATCAAACAGTTCTGCCTGGCATTGTGCCAACTTTTCAGCTGCCACCATTTGTACATTCATATTCCTGGATTGCGATTTTCCTCGCGATTTTATCAGCCTTTGCAGGACCTGAATATATTCTATGAGTGATTTAAAAACACATCAATAATTCTTACTTTAGGGCTGGAAATTTTAATATATACATGAATTGGAGCGAGACTTGTTTTGGCTAATTGAGAAGGATGATTAATTGTGTCACAATCCAAAACAACGAGCTGCATTGATCGAGCTAATTCAAAAATCCTTTCAATTTCAGTTTGGATTTCAGCCAAACTATTACTGGTCCTTGAATTCGCTCTTTCCATCATTGCTCGTTTATTTGGATTATTCAGAAGACTTCTTTTTGCAAGAGAGATATCAGCTGTCACCCTTGTTATGATTATTCTGTAAATTAAATTTACTTTTTTTTTTTATTTTCCAAGAAAATCACAAACCTTCCTTCAAATCTATGTTTCAGATAATCAAAAACAGCTTTTTGCATCATATCAGTCACTTCATATCCTTTCAAAGATGGTCCTACCAGAACGACTGGTCTCATTGATGGAACGACATCATACGGAGGAACATTCTCTTGTTGAACTTTCTTGAATATCAATTTCTTTTTTTCTTTGGTTGGGGGTGTTGTGACGATGTTGGTCATTCGTTTTGCATTGTATTCGTCATCATCTGAAATTCAATTTTGAATGATTGTACTCCATCATTTAAAAGATAAAAAGTTTTATAGATGGTTTGGAGCTTTGCTCTTTCATTCCCATAAATCAAGATACTAACCAGGCGTCGGTGGAGTGGATCCTCGTGATCCACTTCTTGGCATCATATTGTCCAATGCACCGAGATTAGTAGCAGATGTGGATTGCTTGCTGCAAAAAAGGAACCCTCAGTGTTCATCAATTACCCCCCCCCCCCCCAACAATCACTTACAATTTTCCTGATTTTGCCGTTTGCTGTCTCAATGATTCCAATTTAACCGGAGATGGGATAAAGCCTAAATCATGTCCTTCTTTGACGAGCCTACCAATCCACCAATCATTGTTATATTTCTAAAATTAATTGGATAATTTAACTGTCTTTCAAATTGAATGATGCACAAACCTCTTTGACATGCAGAAAATCTTTGACTTTGAAAGAAACAGCACATCCATGTACAGGTGAATCATCGTCCACACTTCCATCGTATTCTACATTTGTACACACGGCAAACGCGACGGGTTTGTACTGAAAATAACAAACAGTTGTAGTTTTCTGGTGGGATATTTTCATTTCAGAAGATCGTATTCCGATTTGAGTAGTTGAATTGTTAGGGATCAAGAGTCGTTTTATATTGAACAGAAACTAATATATTTATTTAAAACATCATTAAGATACTGTCCCACGTACATTGAAAAAAAGTACAAAAAAACCCAAATCTGAACTTTTCTTCTTATAGGTGAAAGAGAACTGTCAAAAATCTAAGAAATGACAGCTGAAGGAGAACCGACGGACCGTTGACCGACTGCTGACAGACAATCGGAACCCTCGGAAAGCTGACTTGAAAGTTTTCCTTTTTTGAAAATCAGCCAGAAAACAATATTTCCTGCACGCAATAGGATATTTTTTGGTGTTCTTTCTGAATGGTTTGATGGATCTTATCCAAAAAAAAAGTTCACTAAATCTGCTTTCAACAACCACTTACTCATTTCTGGAAAACGCTTAAAACCATCAAAATCTCCTATGTTCTTCTTATTTCTCGACCGAATAAAAAACAAACAAATGTTTAAAAAATTACCTTGGCTCTCTCAAGTTGCAAAGCGGCTTGCCTTTCTGCGTCTCTTCGAAGAGTTTCTCTGTTTCCGGCTTCAAGTTCCAACTCATCGTGATGACTGAAATTTGAGTCGCCGCTTCCCTAAAAAATGCTCAGTTGCGGCTTACCTAAAAACTGTCGAAACGAAAAACAAACCCGTCTGCGGAAAGCCATCTAGCGGCCGTCAACTCTTCGACGCAGCCCGTGACCTTGTCACTTTCTTCTTTTTTTTGTCGTCTTCAACGTCTTCAGCTTCTTCTTCTTCTTCTTCTCGTCCTACTTCCCACCGACACTTCGCCTCCGCTTCTTCTTCTTCTTCTGACGACTTCAATTGTTGTCGTCGTCGTCGTCTTTGTCCGTTTCTTCTTCTTCTTTTTCAACTGCTCCTTCTGACGACTCTCCCCCGTCGTTGCGTCGTGCCGTTCTGCTGCAATTTCATAAATCAACTTGAAAAAAGCGAAATTGGTTATTCATTGGGTGTGGTTAGTAAACGAATAGGTCTCTCCAAGGATCCAAAAGCGTCAAATGTCACTTTTTGGAAATTGAAGACGTTTTGGAGCGGCGGGCGGTTGGAGAGCAAAATAAATGACAAATCAAGGACAAGCATCAAAGAAAAGAGGGACAGATGATGAAGAATCGGTGGGTGGAGAATACGGTAAAAAGGCAATGGATAGGGCGGTCCAAAGATGTATTTATGGTCAGAAAAGGAAAAAAAAGAAGAAATTGCATAAAATTTTTGTTAGAATTTCAAATGAATAAGAAAAACAGGAACAGGCTAACTGTTTGTAATGTACATGCTTAAATTCTTATTTATGTACAAAGCTCTAATAGAATGCCACCCAAATTGTCAATTTTGAGTTCATATATCTCGGTCCCTGTAAAAGGAATCAAAGAGTTATCACCTGATAAAATATTGGTGATTTTATGATAAACAATTTCTCAAATGACAATTTTTAAAATATATATTAGAGGAACCGAAAAACATTACAGTTGACGGTTCGGGTGGTACTCTATTAGAATGTTTACGGTATTTGCTGAAAATCCGGAACAAATGAATTTTCTCGGAATTTGGAATTCGAACATCTCTGAGAAGGAACAAAAAGTTTAATAACAAGGTGGTCTTCTATCGGATTGGTTACGGTACAGTTTCTGGGAAAAATAAAATGAATTATTGTCGAATTAAAAAAAGTGGGACCTGAAAATTTGAAAGGCGTAGCTTTTTTTGATCTACGAAAAAGTGCTGCAAAAACGTAATATTTCAGTTTTTTGCCTCGTTCGAGCTACTTTCGCAATTAAGTTTGGTTTTTTGATGAAAAACAGATTCTAAAGATGCTATCGATCATTTTTCTACCAAGAAATCTAAATTTTGTTCAGAAAATCCCACTGAATTCACAGAAATAAGTTTTGTTTACTACCGTAGTGTTTCTGGGACAATGCCTCGAAAATTGACCGGGAACCGCCCGCGAAATTTTCCAGGTCCCACTTTTTTAATTCGACAATAAGGAATTCCTCCGTAAGGCTTAAATAACACTTTGTGGTTCCGGTCTGTTACAAATTATAGTAAAGGTTTTACAATAGGACAGATTTAGCAAGTAAACTTTCAAAAAAAATTTTAAAGACTATTTAATTTAGATTTTTCAAACCAAGGGTACCATGCGAGTTTGCACGGAAGACCAATGTAATTGCAAAACAATTCAAACACTGTAAAAAATTAAAATCCCACAGTACCCATTGTCAATAAAAACAATCTTTCTAAACATCTAATCTGCTTGTAAATCATGGTTTATAAAACAAGTTAATCAGTTTAAAATATTTTAATACTTTAAATAGACGAAAAAAAAAACAACCAAGTTCGAGATTTTCTTAAAAGACTTTCAGAATTGATGAGTATTTGTTTTGGACGACTTTCGGCTGAAAAGCTAAAAAACAACAAAGAAAGCCTCCCAGATCGTCGCAGAATTGAAATAGATGTAAATCTCAAAAACATTAGAATACCATTAGATTTTTATGATACAGAGATTAACGGCTTTAGTGAATCTCATTTTGAAAATCTCGTTAAATCGTTAATTCCTCATTGTCCGAATATGCTCAGGATAAAAAAGAAGAAAAAAAGGGGAGCAAAGAGGAACGAGGAATTGAAGGAATCGATCGGCACTGGCTGCTCGTCGCCGTCATTGTGTGCAAAAGTTGAAAGAGAAAGGGAGGAAAACACTCGAAAAACAAAAAAAGTGCCAAAAATTTATGAGCACCCACCACCCTTACCACCCTACCACCACTAGCAGCCGAAGAAGCAGAAGCAGGAGAAAAAAGTAGAAGAAAAAAGAAGAAGGAGAAGAAGGATCTGAAAAACGAGGAGAATTTGAGAGTAAGAGAGATGGAATTGACAGAGAGACGGATAAGAAGTTAGAGGAGAAGCCGAGAGCCGAGGAGGGGAGAAAAAGGGACGAGAGTAGAGCGCGGCTCCTTCTCCTACACACTACTTGAATTCAGTTGGTTCGGAGGAGAAGAAGAGAAAGAGAAATGGTTGTTATGTGGCAAAAAGAAAAGAGAAAAGCTCTCGCACGGATAATGTAGAGAATGCACAAGTGAGAGGAATGTGAGATATATTCCAGTGTGAGAGAGAGAGAGAGAGAGAGAGAGAGAGAGAGAGAGAGGGGGGGGGGGGGAGCTTCACGAGAATTTTCATCAATGCAAAGTCAATAGAGAAAAGAAGGAGGAGAGAGCAGATATATTCGAAAGATGAAACAGAAAGGTCAGTCGATTGGAATAATGGTTCAATTCAAAGTTCGAGAAATAGCAGGTGGGAGTAATCGTTTGAGAGAAATGAAAAGAGAAAGATTTCGAATAGACTTGCGTACTTCTCTCATTTCTCTTTCATCCGTAAATATGCACCTACTCTGTACCCAATTTTCTTATTTTGCAGTTTTTAAATTTTGATTTTGAGTTCCAAATATTGTTTTTTTTGTTTCGTTGTGTTTAAGATTTTCATATTTATTTTTCTCGTTTTGTCAACAGAACACCATGAACGCCTGAAAATTTTGACAGAAAAATGTTGCCATAATCAGATAAAAACTTCAAGATTTCAATTTTTTATATGGAAAACCCGGACGGGCCCTGAAAATCTCCAGCTCTGCTCTGATTTTTCAGATATAATTTTTGTTTGTAGCAGTTTTTTAAAATTAAAAATCATAGAGTTCGTAGCAATGTACAGTACTACGAAGCCAAACCTCTTTGTGCAATTAAAACACGTTGTTCAAAAATCATCATGTCATCTCTACAATTATAATTTCGACCTCTATGAAATTTCAATTTTATTGGTATCCCCTTTCGATATTTTAGGTTTCACCCAGGTAGTTCATTTTGAGCAAAAATCGTAAAGTAACTTTATCGGAAAAGACTTAAAACTGGTGGCTTTAAAATTGATATCATTTTCCGAGAACCATTTGGAATTCTGCTCTCTATTTCATAAATGCATTCATCCACCAACCCAATTTCATCTATGTCAAAAATTCAAAAATTTCCAGGTGTCAAGAGGGAATATGAACTGGAGAGGTGTTTCGAGTGACAGCTTTTGCGTGTCTCACGCTACTCTCTTCTTCCTTCTTCTTCATGTTATTTTAGCTCGTTTTTTTCCATTTTCGTCCCGTTTTTTGAGTGGGTGGAGTGGATGAAGGTGCCAATTTGATCGACATAATTGCATTTTCGAAAAACGGTGATACGACTCAAAAAAAATAGAAAAAGAATAAGAAAAAAATAAGAAAAAAAAGAAGAGAAAAGAAGAAAATTAAAATGAAGAGTAATTAGGAATGGAAATTGAGGTTAATGGGTTCGAATTGGCAAAACATCTGCCCAGCTGGGTTCGAATAGAAATTTCAAGGATTTTCGGAATTGGGCATTCAAAGAGATCTCACTGGATTAACTTCGAATATTCTAGTTATGTTTATTAGGGTTCTAGAGATCGCCACTTTGGATCCAAAGCGACAGGAACTTTTTTAACTAAAAATTAGATTTGAAATAAAATTTAAATCAAAGTAAACGGAAGAATATACAAAAAACTCATTTAAAAACGAATACTCAAATTTCAAAAACAATTAAAAAAACGTATATCTAAAAAGATATTCATGTAGTTTAAAACTTATCAGAGACTAAACTACCGTATTTTCATTCGAAAAATTGCCTGTTTACAGTTTTATGACACCAATTCAAAGAACAAAATAATATGACCCAAATTAAGATTAAAACCTTATAAAGGACGTCGGAGAAAACAAAAAAAACCAGAAAGAACCAGAATCCTAGAACTTGGAATGGACTGCGCAAACAAATTGTCCACTGTGTAAAAAAAAACAACTGTAATTTTCTGTAACTATTAGAACAATTAGACAAATAAAAAATTTCAGATAGACGATTTAGATTTCAGTAGATATTATGCCGTAGAACCTGTAATAGAAAGGGCCTCCACACTGTCAAGTTCGAGCTCAATTATCTTCATTTTTTTATATCAAAAATGTATCAACTGACAAAACACTTCTGATATTATGATAAACAACTTATCAGTCAACAACTGTTTCATATCTGTGACAAGAACCGAGACCAATTGGCTCAAATTTGAAAGTTAGAGGTCCTTCTATTACAGGTTTTACGGTATATCATCTTGACGAATAAAGGAGTTTGTTGAATTAGCCGTAATCTTGATATCTAAAATGTCTTGTGTGAGACAGTGTCCCAGTGTGTCGGCTTTGAAAGCACACCTGAATTGTTCCATGATTGTATCCCGTCTAATGGATTTTCTCATATTTCAAAATGATGGCAACTTGTCATCTAATTACTTCTCATCCTCAAACAACGTGACGTGGTACAAACTATCTGTATGAGTAACTGTGAATTCTGTCTTCTCCTTTCCTCTTCCTCTTCTTCTTCTTCTTCTTCTTCTTTTTCTTCCTCTTATTATTCCACTACAACGACATCTGCTTCTCCGTCTTTCCACATACACGGAATGACTCCAACACAGCCGTCCCGTACCAAAAAAAAAAAACAATGCAAGCCAAAAAAGGAGATGTGTAGCGAAACAGGACGAAGAGGACGCAGAGCCCTCCCCGCTTCTTCATTGTATATGCGGCTCACACGACGACGTCGACTCTAGAAGGGACTTGCCGCGAAACATACACATAGCCAACAGACCCACAATACTAATGGAGTTAGGAAGAAGAAGAAAAAGAAGAAGCAACGGGAGTAGAAAAATAAAAAAAAGAGAAACGGGATGTGTTTCTCACGACGGCAAAGGCGCACTTGCTGTTTTGAAATGAAAAGAAACTAAAGTAATGGTGAAGAAAGTGAAGATCATAAATATGGAAAAAGGAGAAGATATTTTATATGTGCAGAAGATTCAAAAATATTCATATTCTGAGAAAGCGAGTCTTGGGGAAACGGGAAGGAAGAGATTCTTCCTTTCATTAATTTCTTTTGAAGCAAGCCTCATTTTGAAATGAATTGGGTCCCAGCTCCCAAATGGAAACAAAAAGTAGAACCATTCAAAAGATGATTTGCCTGACAATAGCAGAAGTCTAGAAAAGCCTTTAAAAAAAATCAAAAGTCAATTTTTACAAAAAGAGTAAAAACAGGAAGACGTCTTCTGTGTTGGCACTACCTTCACATCCATTATTGGCTAATTGTTTGGCTGTGTTGAGCTAAAACGAAACACAAGTGTGTGCACTCTAATGAATTGCCAAACCAAATAAAGAAAATGTCCTTGAGTGAAAATTTTTTATTTCTCTCTCTCTTTCTATTCAGAGGAGCAATGAAACGGAAACAACTTTTTGAATATGAAGTCGACCTCTTTAAGCACGTATGAGGCGAAGAACGCGGCGAGCCTTCTTGCGACGATATTGTCCTCCGGCTGGAGCAGCGGCAGCAGGAGCTGGTGGTGGTGGAGCAGCTCCTCCGGCGGCGGCGCCATAGCCTGCGGCTGGGGCAGCAGCTGGAGCTGGAGCTGGAGCTGGTTCGGCTGGAGGTGGAGCAGCAGCCTCTGGAGCTGGTGCTGGTGTTGGTTCAGCAGCTGGAGCTGGCTCTGCAGCTGGGGCTGGTGGTGGAGCAGCGGCCTCTGGAGCTGCTGCAGGTTCAGCTCCTCCGGCGGCGCCACTGTATCCAGCGGCTGGGGCAGCCTCTGGAGCTTCTTCAGCACCTCCTCCTTCAGCGTAAGTGCTGGTTCTTGGTGGGCATGGACAATAAGCAGCGTCTGGTCCTGGGGCTCCATCAGTTCCTGGTGCTCCGGCTGGTCCATCTGGTCCTGGTCCTCCATCCTTTCCTGGTGGACCTGGTGGTCCCGGTGGTCCAGCTGGGGAAGGTTGAGCATAAGCATCCTCTCCATTTGGTCCAGATGGTCCTGGTGGTCCTGGAGGTCCTGGAGGTCCTGGTTCGTTTGTAGAGGTTGTTCCTGCGGCTCCTGGTTGACCGTCTGGTCCAGGTGCTCCTGGTTGTCCATCTGGTCCAACTGGTCCTGGAGGTCCTGGTGGTCCAGCTTCAGCGTTTCCGGCTTCTTCACCGTCTGGTCCTGCTTCTCCTGGCGGTCCTGGTGGTCCAGCATTTCCGTCTGGTCCTGGTGGTCCTGGTGGTCCGGCATCGCATTTAATGCAGTTTCCTTCAGCTCCCAGGAAGGTATCGGCCACTCCAGCGATCCATTTTCACCGTCCTTTCCTGCCTCTCCTGGCTCTCCATCAGCTCCAGCCTCTCCTGGTGGTCCTGGTGGCCCAGCGGGGCAGCCAGAAGCTTGAGCAGCGCATTGGCATTGTCCTCCTCCAGCTCCTTCAGCGTATCCTTCCTTGGCGGGAGCAGCAGCAGCAGCTCCGGCACCTCCTGCATATTGTCTCTTGAAACGTCCGAATAGTCCTTCAAAAGCGATTTTCTCAGTTGGTGACTCGACACGACGAGCAACCATCATTTGAGACCAAGCATCGTTGGCCTTGTTCTGAAATTATTATCGAATAAGTTTAATGCTCTGTGTTGTGTGCATTTTTCGAACCTTGAAGTCACTCATGTTTTCAACGAAGTCAGTCTCAAATGATTGCAAATCACTAACGAGGGACACCATCGAAACAATGGAACCAGTGACAAGGAGTGCCGCAACAGCGGTTCCAGCCGACAACGCATAGTACGTGCCGCTCGACATAGTCTTCTGAAAACAATGATAATTTAAGAAACTGGTTAAGAGGGAACAAATGTAAATTACCTAATTGAATTCGAAGTGTAGAGACGGTCGAGTTAAGAATCAAGTGCCAATTCATCGTCACTTCCGCTTTTTATACTAATTCAATTCATCTTTTCCTATAACTTTTACCGTCGGAACAACATCCGATAACGGTTCGTGAATACAATAACAAACGAGAATATAATGTGTGAAGTGAAGAGACGCAGAATCTGAATAGTTTCGGAGATGGTAAACAAAACCAGTTCTAGTGTTAATAGCTGATGGAATCTCTAGAAAAACATAAAACTGTTGTTTTTTTGAGAACAAGAAAGAAGCCCCACTTTCACTTATCAGAAAACATTGACTCGTGGCAAAATGTGGGAAGGGCTATATGATTAGAAATGATAGAAATATAATGAGAATCTGTTGTATAAAAGGAAATTGTGGTTAAGGGAAAGGCACTTCATTCAGCAACCACGGCTGATAACGACGTCTGCAAAAGGTAAATTGAAAAATTATATATTCAAAAAATTTAATTATAACGAATATCACATTTAGAGCTAAATTCAATGTTATATTACGTTTCAGATGTCGTCCACGTACTATGCTCTGACCGGTGTCACCGGACTCTCGGCTCTCATCGTTGCCGGCGTTGTCTTCTCCTATCTTTCGATTCTTGGAGACATCAATCAATTCGAATTTGATTTCTCCAATGATATGACTGTCTTCAAAGTGAAAGCTAACGATGCTTGGTCCCAGATGATGGCTTCCAGAAGAATTGAATCTCCATCAGAGAAGGTCGCATTCGAAGGACTTTTCCGTGCCAAGAGACAATACGCTACCGGAGGTGGAGGTGGATATTCTGGAGGAGGTGGAGGCGGAGGCGGATATGCTTCTGGTGGAGGAGGTGGCGGTGGTGGATGCCAATGTGCTGCTCAAGCTTCTGGATGCCCAGCTGGACCACCAGGACCACCGGGAGAGGCTGGATCTGATGGAGAACCTGGACAAGCTGGACAAGATGGACAACCAGGATCTGCCGGACAAGCTGATTCTGGAAGTACTGGAGGAAAACAATGCATCACTTGCCCAGCTGGACCACCAGGTCCGCCAGGACCAGATGGAAATGCTGGACCAGCTGGATCCCCAGGAATGCCAGGACCAGACGGACAAGCTGGAGGTGCATCACCACCAGGACCACCAGGACCACCAGGAGCCCCAGGAAACGACGGACAGCCAGGAGCACCAGGACAAGATGGACAACCGGGAGCACCAGGAACTTCTATCGTCAACTCTCCAGGAGCGCCAGGACCAGCCGGACCCTCAGGGCCACCTGGACAACCAGGACAAGACGGAGGAAGTGGAGGTGCAGGACAACCAGGACCAGCAGGGCCACCAGGGCCACCAGGAAACAACGGACAACCAGGAGGACCAGGACAGCCAGGAGGCCCAGGACCGGATGGTGGACCAGGAACCGACGCTGCTTACTGCCCATGCCCACCAAGAACTCAAGGAGGAGGTGGAGGTGACTTCTCTTCCGGAGGAGGAGGTGGAGGAGGATACTCATCTGGCGGTGGAGGAGGAGGAGCTGGTGGAGGTGGAAACGGGGGTGGAGGATACGCCGCTGGATCCGGAGGAGGCAGCTACAACCGTAGATTCCATCAATAAGCTTTTAAATATTAAAAAGTTTGAAAGAATAAACAATTTATTGCAAAAAATAAGACAACATACAGTTACCGGTATCTAAATACCCATATTAAAAATAGATTTGTGACACATCTTTATGCTTCATGAATGGCAGGTGGTGCAGTTTCTGATCGACTCCTTCTACTTCGAAACATGGAAGCAGATCTACCACGTGATGTCTGATCCTTGATTTCTTTTAGATCAAATGGAAGAACATTTGATTCTTTATGCTCTTTCAATGCAGAATTTTGTCTAGTTACAGTCGCCAATCGCCTCTCAATATCTGGTTCGTTTTCCCATGCTAATTTACAAACATTCAATTGTTCTGACGTCACTCGATGCATTGATAGCCCCTTGATTTTTTCTCTGAAATATCATTATTCTAATTGGTAAACTCCTGACATTGTTACCTCAGATGACTCATATCGTTTCCTGATTTTCTAGTCCGGAACAGCTTGAATCCAGTAACAACATCTTCTAATTCTTTCTCGTGCATCTCTTCGTTCTTTTTCTTCGAATACATATAGTCTCTTCTTTTTCTTGAAATCGCGATCCATCCAATTTTAGATAAAAATAGAGAAAGTTCAATGATAGTGAACACAGACATTCCCATGAACATTCCCATGTTTCCTCCGATATCAGAAAGAAGTTCCGTCAGAGACATTCCTCGTTTTTGGATGTATTCTGTGTAGGACATATCCCGGAAGAAGACATTCACTACTTGGAAGTTCGTTCTGAAATGCTTCGATGTTTTTCTTTGGACTATGAAATTTGGCTTCCATTTTTCAACCAATCCTTTGAAGGGGGATTCCGACCAAAAAAATTTAATTGCAAAAAAATGTTTGAAAAGTTATGCATCTTCCTAATATTATTACGAAAAATACTTTAAAAAAATCCAAACACCCCGAAAAATGCCGTTGAAAATATAAAAAAGGTTGCGAAGAGGGACGAGGATTTGAGTTTTCAAGTGGCGGATAGTGGTTTTTCAAATTGAAAAAGCTGCCATCTAAAAAAAGCTCTTCATAGCCTAGGTTTCTCAATGCACAAGAAACCAAATACTCGTCCCTTGTCGCAACATTTGTATATTTTCGCTGACTTTTTGTGGTAACTTCGAGTTTTTTTCGGAGTTTTTTCGTAATACTTTTAGGACAATTTTTGGTCGGAACCCCATCTTCAGACTTTTGGTCCGATACTTACTTCATATGATTTATCCTCCATCCTTTTTGCTTGCTCAACCACATCAATGCTCCTCTTGATAACCCTTTTCCATACGAATTGAACGAATGATAGACTTGACTTTTACATTCCACTCGACACTCTTCACAGGTTGGCATTTCGATGTTCAACGTCGTCTGATTCACAACCTTCTTCATTTTTGTATCCATACATCTATATGTTTCGTATGGAGTACAATCGTTGAATTCTGAATCAAATTGAATTGAATTACAAAATTCTTAAGAGACTTACTGTTCAAATGATTATAAATTGAAGGAGAGCATCCGCATATTTTTTGAAAGTATTGAGCTTTGCATACAGTAGAACACATTGCAGAACTATACGAAAAGTTGTAATTATATCCAGGTGGCCAATGATCCGAACAGTTTCCCCAGGAACTAGATGATAATAAAATATATTTGGAACTGGAGAGTGCAGAATACACTACAGTATCTGGAGAAACCGCAATTCCCTCGGAAGACAAAAATGGAATTTCTTCAGATGGATGCACGTAATATCGGAATCCATTCTCAAATGCACTTGAGAATACAGGAGTAACGCCATCGGTTTCAGAATCGAATTGTTCCTCGAGATGAGAATCTAGAATTATTTGTAATCCAGCTGCGATTCCTGGTTCTGTTTGCATTTTCATCCATGGTTTATCACTGTCTTGAACATTTAAAGTAAAACATTTTCCGAGATCCGAGAATATCGGAGTGGCGTATTTACAACATTCGAATCGACGACCACCGAACGAACACATTTTGAACATGTCTTCACAAGAGAACCTTAATAAAACTATCTCGTATAAATCCATTCAAAACCATTTTGAATGCAGACTCCAACCAATTTTTTTGGATTTTTGCTTTAAAATGTTCCAAAAATCAATTCGGAATCCCCAAAAAACGACAATTCAAGCATTTCTCTGGTCCTTAGCTTTCAAATTTGAAGCCAATTTATCTCGCTTCCTATTAAAGATATTTAAAAAATTACCAACTAATAGTTTATTTATCATACTATTACAAACATTTTATCAGTTTACACATGTTTGATATCCCTTATAGGAGCTGATACAATTGAGCTCAAACTTGGCTGTGGGGGGGGGGCTTCTATTACAGGTTTACGGTTAAATTGAAAACTCGATGAAGAGAACAAAAAAAGTCTCGTTGACCTCACAAATGACTGAATTGGGCGCACTTGCATGTTCAATTTTTTCCAGGAATTTCGAATTTTCCCTCAGTATTTTAGGAGTAATGTTATGAAAATAAACAGCTTTAGGAACATATTTTTGGTCGGAGTCCCCCTTTAACAAAATCTTACCCAGCCTCCATGAAGAATCCATCGGCAGTAAAGTTTTTATGAGTCGTCAAATACTGTTTGTATAAATTATCTCCAGAATGCAATGATGGTCCATCAGATCTTCCGTAAAGCGTCATTGCATCACTATTGAACATCATCAAGTAGTCTAACAATTCATCCGAAAGGTCTTTGGTACTATTGAGTGCTAAAAAGAAAATAATCATTGATCATTTCGGTAGCTGATTCCGGTTTTCAAATTTATTTGAATAGTACTCTTACCTTCCACGAATGTTCTTTTGATCGGGTTGAAACTGCATACAGTAACTCGTGGAAACTGCATTCCACCTTCACTTAGAAGAAACGAAACCTGCAGGAGAAAAATAAAAGATTATGGGAAATGTTATAGAAAACATACCTGGGATACTGTAGGTTTAGATAGAAACATGTTTATGAGTGAGGTTACTTGTGTTAGTAGCATTATCATTGAAGCTACCATTATAATCATCCAAAATACGAATGATAGCCGTTTTCCATGATATATCCGTTTGGGACCATGTAAGGTTGTAGTATCTGGAAAAAATAGATAAACAGTTTAGATTATCAGGTGGTCCTTACTGGAAAAATGCTCAGATTCTCTTGTTATCGATGAAACGCCTTCTGTATTTTTTATTTTCCTTAAATGCGCTACTGGAACGTTCACTATCAGTTGGGATGCTCTTTTTGAGAATGGTTTTAGTTCGGATAGAAACGATCCCTTGCTGGCAGATGGTCTAAAATCCTTCATTTCTCAGAAAAAGAAATATTTTAAAATACCTACTTTAAATTGGGCAAATCCCCGACAGTTGAGCATGATGAAGACGGCGAATTCGAGATTTCATCGTCAAAGCTGTCTGATTGGAAATGTACCTGAAACCGTGTCTAGTGTTGAACAATAATCAGTGATTGTATGTTGTGTCAACACTACTTCCTTATCATCATTTTTTCCTATAACTCAATTGTCTTCTGCTTTTGTCGACTGTACAGTTTGAGTCAATATAGTTTTAGGTGCACTGAAAAACGATATGTGGTTTTGTTTAGATTTGTTCAACAGAACTGGTCAAAGATTTTGGAATACAATTAACTTGACTGTCACATGTGAATATATTACTGTTTGCTATTTTTAGAAAAAATACTGAAGTGACGTCATTTCCGTAGCACTGTTTTGTTCCTTTTTTAATCTTAAACAAATTACCGTACATTAAGAACAAGTTCAAGAGCTCATCAAGAATCAAAAAATCACAAATAACAAAACAAATATTTAAAGTTTTATGTTGACCTATACCGTAAAACCTGTAATAGGAGGGTTCCTAAATTTCAACTTTGAGCCAATTTATCTCGGTCCTTGTCAAAGATATAAAAAGTTGCCAACTGATAAATTGTTAGTCATCATGTCAGAAGTTTTTTGTCAGTTGACAGATTCTTATTATCTTGCATAGGAATTGCGATAATTGAGCTCAAAGTTGACAGTGTGAGAGCTTCTATTACAGGTTTTACGGGAACTGTGGAAGCTGAACTGTATTTTTTAGAATGAATCAACTAGAGGACTTATGAATTTACTTTTCGCAATTTTCGAATCATGACTGGAAAAGAAAAAAAACGTACCGATTCTTTTTTATTTCTATTTGGCTTGTCTGATGATGACGGACTCTCCTGTTGGGCAAATCGTCCCATAGGTCCGTCGTTGTAAAGAAATGAGTGGTTTCTGAACGGAGGAACAAAAATACAAATCAAAACTTTTGATTTCTTTTGAAAAGCAGCAGAAAGTGCGAAATTGTTTGAACTCTCTGTAGAGTCCCAGAGCGAATTATCGCGGCTTCTTCTTCCTTCCACAATACCCTCTTCTCCACTCGTTTGCTCACCGGATTTGGAGAAAAGGAGCCAGGAGTGGGAGAAGAGAGAATGAGCACGATACTCTAACGGAACGGGAACTATTTGGAACTCACCTGACGCGTCGCATCCTGGAATTACTAATCAGATGGTAGAAGAGTTTAGAATCTGGAAAATGATTCAAATTAAAAAAAGATGATAAAAATTGAACTATTTTTCGTATGTTACATTCAAATAATCGAACAGTAACAGGAAATTGGAAAAAGGTGAGAGAATTGAAGTTACTGTGGCCGGAAAGTGTGAGGCGATAACAATTGATGATGGAATAGGACACACAGACCATTTCACTGTTTTATCAATCTGTGCTCCTGTGCTCATGATTACATTGAAATTTACTACCATTTTTGTACTATTTTCTTCGAAATTCTTCAAATATCTAAAAAAATATATACAATCTCAAATGAATGCGAAGTTTTTTATCAGTTGTCAAGTTGATAGCGTTCAAAGTAAAAAAGTGCTATTGATACAGTGTTTTGAATGGTTTAACCACAAAAATGAGTAGAAAAAATGGATTAACAGTATGTACATTTTTAAAATCGTTGTTTCAAAACCGAATGATTTTTATTTGAGGAAGCATGAGAGGAAGATGGAGTTCATTTGAGACGTATCAAAAATGAAGTCACCTTTTTCAGAAACTGTCAATCAATAACAGGAATATTCTAAATGTTTCAAAGCTTCTCTACCATAGAAAAGACGATTAAAAAGGGGTTAAGAATTGATAATTGTCAAATGATTTATTACCATCAAAAATTGAAACGAAAAAAAACGTTTGGAACAAAGTCGAAGAGCAAAGGAAACGATCTAAAAACATAAAGAACACACACACACAGATTTTTGTTTTTTGTTGGTACTCGATTAAGACACACTATTGCGCTTTTCTTCCCGACATTGTTATGATCGGGAAGATCAATTTCAGAGAATATTAAACAATTTTGAACAGTAACAGTTTTTACCGGTTTATAATTCAGATTGCTCAATGAATTGTTTTATTGTGTTAATTGTGTTTCAAACCAAATGTCACTATCATACAAATTAAAATGAGACAAAGTTTAGACCAGGGGTGAATATTCGGCTCTGTTCTAGTTTAAAGGTCGGAAGAAAGAATAGAGGTATGAAAAACGTACAGATGTTGGAATACTGTACCAGCAATAGAGCTGTGTAACAAATTAAATTCTCGCTGCGTTATAACAAAACAAGTATTGATGATATATTTTCCTGTCAATCTTTAGCGTCCTGCCTGAATGTACCGTAAAACCTGTATATGAAGTTCACCTTTAATAGAAGGGCCCCTCCAATAGAAGAGCGTCCGAGAGGGTATTGGAAAAGTAGAAGGGCCCCTGTAATACAGTGCGTACAACAAATTACATCTAGTGGACAATTTTTGTAATGAAACGTGAAAACTAGTCGAGCTATCTGGAAAAGTCTGAAAATATGCGTTTTGCATCCGTTGCAAGTTTATACGTCCACTCCAAAGACCAGGAGATCACGAGCTCCAGCGAAGACGGAGGTGTCCAATTTTGATTCTTCCTTCTTTGAATCGGGCTTGGAAAAGAGAAAAATAAAATGGAAGAAGTAAAAAAGGGATTTATTGAAAAAAAAATAATTTCAAATATAGATATTTCCTGAACATATCAACAAAAATTATGAAAAATGACAAGTTTCAAAAGTGTACTGATTAGCCAGACTTTCGTCTGTTGATCCCTTTCGCCACGTAGAGGCTCAGTACATGAAAGGGAAAATGGGTTTTCACTGGGGGAAAACACCAACACAAAACCCCTGTCTCCGAGGAGACAGTTTTCTAATTTTCAATAGTTCTTTTTCACTGCTAAAAAGTTATACGATCGCTATTTATTGTTTTTGTTCATTTGTTTCTTTTTTCTCTGATTGAGTCTTTTGCAAAAGGGGGACGTTCAGTGAAAATGAATTCACCTAGCCATGAACCACCAAACATGGCGACCCTGAGGGCCTTTTGTAACTTTTTTCGCATCCGACCAATCGAAAGAAAAAAGGCAAATGAAACAATAAACAGCTTACGCAGGGAGCTTCAGGGCAGTCAAAAAGTGCTAGCGAAAATTATCAAACTAATTCAAAAAGTGGGATTTCACAAAGGATAGTTTTTTTTCAATACGTGGAATTTTTCAATGTGGACAGAGGTAGGGGCGTGACTTAACATTGATTGATTTAAAGATTTATTGCGTAACGTGTGAAAAGTTTAATAAACTCGGAAATTGAAAGTAGATCTACGTAACCCATTAAAAAAGGGAAAAACTAAGGACGAACGAGTAAAAACTAGGTTGAATCGCGCCGAAGGCGCACCATCTGTTCTTTTATTTATTGGGCAATTATCTCGGTTCCTATAAAATATACTCGAAATTTGTCAACTAATAAAATTTTAGTGGTATAAACGGTGATAATTTTGTTAGATACTTTTTTAGAATGAAAAACATCCATGCTAAGGTTATTTTGGTAGATCATGTTAAACTTTCACACCTTCCCCCAGTTAGATCCGATGCACTTTTGAAAGAAGTTGAGACAACGTACGTGATCGTCGGTATGTGTCGGAGTTGGGACCATGATTGCTCTTTTGATGCCTGGATCATCTTTGAGACATCTCTAACTCATCCACTTGATGACTTCAAGTTTCAGCTCCTCGTTGATACCATTACACGACTTCAAAGAGTTTAAAACATTGGGATCTTGCGGGAAGAATTTGAGCTGATCCTGTTTTTTTTTTCGTTCATTTTCGCATGATAACTTTCTGATAGCTTTTTGGTCCAGCTGCTCCAACTGCCCCGATTGAAGCTTTTCCAGCATCAGTCGGCAAAAGATCCCATGACATGATAGAAACTCAAAGAAAGAGAACAACGTAATGACAACAGCTTTTTATAGTGATTTTAGTTGTACAGAATCAAAATTGGACACCTCCGTCTTCGCATATTTCCGACTTTTCCAGATAACTCGGGTAGTTTTCAAGGTTTCATCACAAAAATTGTCCACTAGATTTAATTTGTTGTTTCGAATCCGATTTTCAAAATATTAGACCGATTCCTCTAACAGCTCTCAAGTTATGACCCTAAACATGGGTGGACGTAGGATCATTTGAATTAATACATCTTCCTAGTTAATGACTGTATAGTCTCTAGTAATTGGATTTTGAAATGATTCAATTATTTTAACATTTTAACATTTGTATGAGCTGCTGATTAAAGAACGATTTTCAAACACTGGAAATTTCTTTTGAAGAACGTTGTTCTGTAGAACATGTATCATAAGCTTTTTAATCTTCTTGGTTGCTTTTCTCCAGTACTCATTGTCAGAAAATTTGTTTTTCAGATGTCAAGGATCCTTTAAACTATTCCCACATCGTCCGAGGTTCTAGAATCCTCAATTGAAAAATCACTGCAATGTGGCTCCAATTATAGTGTCACCTGGTTCCCATTGCATCATTCCGATTGACCGATCGTAAATTGAGTTATTTTGGAAGGGATTAAATCTTCCTGTGTCCAGATGTGCACAGTTTCCGCCAGCATTAACCTATTCATTCTCCGCTGCTTCTCAGTCTTATTTCTTTTCATCCACCACCTTCACTGTTTTTATGTATTTGACATGTGTTTTCTTTCTCTCCGATTTCCGTTCTCTCTATCTACTCATCGTCTTGATCTCAACTGACTCCTGAAGAGAAATGGGCGGAGTCACCTGCTGTGCCCTCCAGAAGAGACAAAGAGAGACGCAGCATTGGAATCGTGGAGTCTTGCTCTCGCCCTGCTCTTTATCAATCCCGCGTGCGGACCCACTCCTATTCTCAAACACTTATCATCATGCGTCTTCTCCACTGCTCCACTTTTCTATTTTCTCTGTTTTCTACCATTGTTGTCGTTTTCGCTTCTGATGAATCTGATGTCGAGGTTGGTTTCAAAATACGATCTGATAAAATGGGTTTTTGAAAAATTGCTTACAAGTTTTAATATCAAGTTTTTGGACTAGAAATCATTTGAGCCGCATACAGTTTATTCCGTTAGTCAAAGACAAATCATTATCTAGCTTATCCTAGTACCTTTTCCGTGGAAGGAATCACGATGAAGAAACTAAGGTCCAAACGCCTCTGAGGAACCAATGACTTAGAAAACAACAACAGAAAAATGTGAACCAGAGATCAGACCCTCTCAAAAAAAAAAACAAATTCAGGTAAAACCAGCTTTGAGTCCATGTAAAAGAATCAATCCATGTGGAGCCACAATTTCAACATATCCACTTTTGGAACCAGATGCCGAGGAGTCTTCTGGATTTGGAAGTGGTGCTGCTCCACCAGTTTACGATGAAATTTTAACTGTAAGAATCATTGAACTTCATGCTCCAATTTTTAATTAATTTCTAATTTCAGCACGAAATCTACGATTTGAATGCGACTCCAGAACTTCAGAATTCCACACTTTGCTCGTGCCCAGGTGATTCTACTTGTGATTTTGAATCAGATTCCAATGTTGTCAAGGTCGATTACGTAAGTGCCATTTGACCCGACAATCTTATCAATCGGTTATTCTAGCACGTCACCTTGCGATTCTGCAGTTTGGAGAATATATCAACTGTGTGCAAACGCCATGATGTAAATGTTAGAGTTATTGGAGCAGCCCAAGCGTCTGGTACGTTTTTTACTGCACCGGTATAAACATAGAAAAGAGTGGGAGGGCTACTGTACCACTGTGAATCAAACGTACCACTGTGAATCAAACGATAAATCCAGATACTCAGAACATAAAGAATGTCTTGAACCTTTTATGTTAGCTCAAAACCGTTATCCACCGTATTTCCTCTAATAGAATCCAACTCGATTCATGTAAAAGATATCAAAAATTCATCAACTTACAACATTTTTATCAGAATATCACCAACATTTTTGATATCTTTTATAGGAAACGAGATAATTGAGATATAACTTTATGGTTGGGTGGACTTCTATTGAAGGGAATACGATATGTTTATTTATGAATTACCGAACCTCTCCATCCGTAATTCTCTTCATTGCTCATGTCACTCTGCTTTATTTAATTTTAACGTTCCCCATTAGAAAATGCCGGAAATGAGTTCTCTGTTCATTCATCCCCTTCTAACTTTTATGATCGATCATCTTGTGCCCTCGGAAAGCCGAAATGACTCATCAAGTCTGAGGATGTGCTCCCCTCCGATTATTTGTCATTTTGCTGAGGCATCTTGCATCAGAGAGATGTCACAACAATTGTCATTTAAGCGAGTACCTCCTCGCTTTCAATTATCTCTACTTATCACGAAAACCCCTTCCAATCGTGTGTGCTCTCTTCCAACACCAATCAACTTCCGAATTCCATTTCTTTTTTTTCAGGTGACAGCGTGCAAGACGTTTCGACCGCAATGATGTTCTGCAATTGCCCGAATGGATTCTCGCGACAACCCGTTGAAGTTTGGTCGGGTCAAGACATCTCACTCAACTATAAGTGTCTTTAATTCTCCATCTAATAAGAGTTAATACCTTTTTTTCGTACGGGCCATTCATCCCCCACTCTCAGATTTCCATCGTATGTTTTTTTTTCTCACATAGTTCTTTTTTTTATAATAACCTATTTCGTACGGTGATTAATAATGTATCTCTCTTCTATGAATCACCCTAGAAAGCTATTCAATTAGAAGAAGATTATTTTGAAATTGTTTCGATGTTCAAAACGATGAGTAATAGTGAGAATCATAGAAATGCATGTGATTCTCTAATCACTTATCAGTTCATAGTTCTTCTCCAAAAGCATTTTAATGAGATCAAATGAAGTACAAATAAAATTGAGCAACTTTAAATAAAATAAAAAACATATATAGATAATGCATTAGTTCCAATCAGTTTCTGCGTTTCAATAGAGATCGGTGCGTATCTGGTCTTTCATCCCGCTTCTTACTGCGTTCTCTATTTTCATCTGAGCTTCGTCGTCTTCGTGGTGATCTTCTGGATCGTTCCCTTTCGGGTCGCGATTGGTGACGGCTATCGCGATACTTGCGGTCTGGACTTCTTCTTTTTTCCTTAAATTATTTGGTTGTTCAGTGGAAGAGAAGTATAACTACCGTACCTGCCTCTCCGGAACAGCCTCCTCCCGAACATATTTGATTCTTTCCCTCATTGGCTTCTTCGTTTCCTTGACTGGAACATTCTGTTCTATTTCTTCTTCCTCTTCTGATATTTCTCCCTCTTCTATTTGATCACCATTTCCTTGATTTTCGGTTGCATCCGTTGTTTCTCCTACGCCTTCGCCTGCAAACAAAAGTAGAGATTAATGTATAAACAAACACTTTTCAAATCTATCTGAATCCTATGACACATTCATGCCCGACCTCATAATCAGGCGTTCGTTCAATTTCAGACCAAAAATGAGAGGATTGGACGACGCAACGTTCTTTTTCTTTCTAGAAAGTTTCAAGTTGAACAAAACGATAACCGGCAAGAAAAATGCAGAATAGTTATGGGTGAAGTTAGAAAGAGAAGCGCATAAAAGTGAACCGCGTTTCCGGGTCTTGGAGATTGTTGCAGAACACATATTGCAATGCTTCTCTGCTGTAGAATCGTACTTCTTGGCATTCTTTTAGCGCTAACATCAGCATGTTCTACAATGGATGTCCCAGTTCTTCAGAAGATCGCACAAGGGTTGTGCACTGCAAGCTGTACTAACCAGGTCTATTCTACGAAGCTATTGAAGCTGTATCACCTTTAATATATGATAAAAGTTCAGAAATGCGCTGGAGGAACATGCAAGAAGGTTGATTCACATCCGAAATGTTTTTGTGATGGTTGTTCACCAGGAAGTATCGATGAAGTTTCGCTCGATTTTTTGAAGTCAAAGCTCCCACATTAACCGATGGATAATTGCAGTATTCATGTTTGTTTGCTCAATGAAATGTGACCTTTTCATCTCGTACGTATTAGTTTTTTTTCCCAAATTCGTAACACCTGCTACATGAGTCAATAAACACCCCAACAAAAAACAGACGAGCATGCGGTCTTCTGTTATCAAAAATCACTAAAATCCCGCCCAGAATAGTCTCATATTTTACTATAAAAATGGAGCTGCAGACTAGTCATCAGTGAACAAATCGAAATTAAAATGCTATTTCGTTTCCTGCTCTTCACATTCCTATGCGTGTCTCATATCTCTGCTGGAATCGACTTTAGCACATGTGCTAGAATGGACGTTCCAGTACTTGACAAAGCTGCTCGTGGTCTCTGTATAACCAGTTGCAGTATGCAGGTGAAAAACATGTTCCGATTATTTTCAGTCTGTTCGAAACTGTTTATTTTTCAGAATTGCGGAACAGGTTACTGTGAAAAACGACGCGGACGACCTACTTGTGTTTGCAGCAGATGTGCAAATGGAGGTGGAAATATTCCATTGGACTCTTTGATCAAAAGAGGAAAACATTAAATTCCAGTGAAAAATTGATGATTTTAAGTGTTCAATATTTGAATGATCCAATAAATTATTGTGTATATACCGCAAATTACCTCTTGTATATATTATATTGGTATGCAAAAATCGCAGCTGTGGAAGAGAAAAAAAATCAGGTGGCAAAAAAAAGAGAAAAAAAAGAAAATCAGACGGTCGAACTACCATAGTTAGCGAATATTTTTGAATTTGTTTTGTTTCTCCAGATTTTCGTTCGTTTTCCACCCAATTTTAAAATTTTCTATTTTCCAACTTGTTTGGAAGTTTTCAACACAAAACTTGTCGAGAAGCGATAGTATTTACAAGGGAACCACAACACCTCGTCAGTTTGGATTTTGGTGAAATTTTCAGGATATGTCAAGGATAGCCTATCTAGACATCCCTGAAAACTTTAGAACACGCTCGCCATTTTCAGCCGAGTTATATCGGTTTCAGTACCAAAAATCGCATTTTCAGTGTAAAAACAGCGATATTCAAAGGCGATTTTCTCTGCTCCCAGAAGGTTCCAGAACATGAAATTTGTTGTGTTATACTTAGAATTATGTGTAATATCATATTTCAGACATTTTCAGAAAAAATTTTTTTTTGAAGAAATTTGAGAATTTCGTCTACCATTTGGGTAGCTGATTTTATCGAACATTTTTCAGTTTGGAAAATTTTCTTCAAAAAGTAGTGATAATTGTTTGCAAATATTATTATACAATCAATAGATAACCTATTTCTTGATTTTAAATTTTTCATTTTTTAATCATGGTCCGTATAGGTGTGAAAACAGCGCTTCAAAACTACTACTTACATTGCAGTGATTGAGGACTTCAAAATTTTTTGAAAAACTTTTTTTTCTAACTATTGTTTCTACTCTTTTCAATTGATAAAAATTTGAAGCATTCGTCAGAGGGATCCTAAAACGCCGCGAAATAAGAAAACAAAAAAAAAGAAAAAATCACGAGTGGGTCCGAACTTACAAGGATGACACGCAAATTCGTGAAGCGTTCCAAATTTTTGTCCTACATTCTTCCCAGCCATTCTAACAGAGCCCCGTATTTGTTCAAAATCAACGGTCAATACTTTGACTGCTACCTTCACAGAAACTTGTCTATGTGGAACCGTGTATGTAAGGTGATAAATTCTAAGCTCAGTCCGGTGGCGTTTGCTAAGCGAGTAGGAGCGATTCCTTGTGATATTCTGATCCCTCCCACTTGACCTACAGGACTCTAGTCGGTCCGTCTGGTCATTTTACTTTTTTATTTGTACAGGTCCCATTTCTTGCCAAATTATCTATCGATTTCCTCCCATGCATTGCAAATAAATATTATTATTACAGCCATGTGCCTACTGGCGCACCCCACATCCCCGACACCACGCTGTCGACATTTCCACTGATTCAAAAAGCGGTTACATCTTCGCCTCTCTCTAAGCTTCTCTCATAGGGATTTCGGTGATGGAATGTGTGGTAAAGCATGCAAATCAACGGATTTCAGTACTAAAACTTCGGACTGAAATATCTCGGCTGAAACTGGCGAGCGTGTTCTAAAAATTTCAGGGATGTCTAGATAGCCTATCTTTGACATATCCTGAAAATTTTATCAAAATCCAAACTGACGAGGTGTTGTGGTTCCCTTGTTAGTCGAAAAAAAAGACTGAAAAATTTAGGTTATGATGATTTCGTTACGTAAACCGTCGGTCACACCTACAAGTTTTTCTATTACACAGCTCCGATGTTTTGTACCAATGTAATAACCTCATTTTAAGCATACCTTGCATTAGTGTTTCTGCTCCTTCATCTTCATCTGATTTCTTACTGTCTCCGTCGTCTTCATCGTCCATACCGTAATTCCAATCCAACTCATCTATAAAACTGTCATCTCTCGGTCGTCGTGGCTCATCCACGTCATCCTGCTCGACCTCATCAGGGACACCAACATCTACAAAAACTTTTCAACCAAAATTAAAAATTCAGTACCGTGATTATATTACCAAATGGTGCACTTTCTCTTCTTGGAGTTGACGTCAGCGGTGATTGAGTATCTTCGTCATCTGATAGACGGAACTCGCTCTTCATTTCCAGAGCGTTCGAATCTGAGCACCTGTGCTCAGATTCCCCAGGAACCTCGTCCACGTTGTCATGCAAATTGCTTTGTGGAATCTCCGATGACTCTTCATCATCAGTCAAATTTTCTTGCTCGAGATCCAGCCAACCTTCTTTCTCCTCATCGCTTTCTTCTAGACTATTTTCTAGATAATCTATTTCGGAAAGCCTCTGTTCTCGCATAGTATCGTCTAATTCTTCTTCCAAATCTTCCAAACAAAACTCTTTCCAGTCACTATTTTGACTTGATTCGTCGATTTTCGAGTTTCCATCCTCTTCTTCTTCTTCTTTTGAGTTTTCTGTATTTTGCTGAGTGAGAGTTTGGTTATGGGATGGACCTTCCGCATTCATGAGGAAGTCGCCGTTAGGAGGTACTGCGGAATCTTGTCGTATTAGGTGCTGTAGCTCGACCTCTTCTCGATCTACCATTGAACAGAAGCTTCCTGTAGAACATGGTCGACATGCAAACTCTGCATTCGTAGCAGAAGGAACTCGTTGACGGGTTTTTGCTAGATCCGGGAAGAATTCATCAAGTCCATCATCATCCTCAGTCGTATTTTTTCTATTGTCCGGTTCGTCGAAATCATTCGATACGATAGGAATGTCGGCTAAATTTCTGGCTTGAACAGTTTTTATCGAAATATCTGACTGATTTGTTGTGGAGTCGCACTTTGCTGAAATTTAATTTTATTAAATCGAATGACAACGAACTTCGAGATATTCACACACTTTTTTCAACAAACTCTTCAATTTTAGTCTCGCTCGATTCGATTGCTTCTCAGTTTTCTTCCACTTTTGAAGCATCGCAATTCCTTCTGAACAAACAAATTAGTTGAGGCAGTAGTAGCTTATAAATCAAACCTGCTGATAGCCCATAGTTCTTCAATGCTTCCCTAGCATTTTGTTTACTATTACCCGATTCGGAACTTGTAGTTTCAATTGATTGTGCAGACGATGAGCAATCTGTAAGAAAAGGATGTGCTTTGAAGACTTGGAGAAATACGATTACCATTCTTGGATACTGTAGGCAAAACTATCATATTCCCTGACCACTTCAACTGAGCGATTTGACGTTCATGTGCTCGCATAGCAATATGATCGCGAACCGCAGCGGTCTGTTTAACAGGAATTAGTTTCCAACTACTTGTTTCCTGAACAGGTTTTGTATCGCTTTTTATCGAGACTTCGTTTTTTAAAATTGGAACAAGTTCAGGGTCTGTCTTTTGAATACTAGACATTTTAGGATCTGCCACGATTTGTTCGTTCTCTTTTTGATCCGGAGCTGAAGAGAGACGTTTCTTTGAAGTAGGCACAAACTTGTATTTTTGTTCAGGTATTGTCCCATTCGACGTGCTGCTTTCAGATGTATTGGAAGTCGGAGCAGATGATTTTGTAGCAGCTTTCAAAGTCAGAGCAATCTGATCTACAGCTTTGGATGGAATCGAACAAACTCTAGCGTTCTTATCGGCGGATTTCACTTTGAATTCAAACGGTAAAGAGCTTCTGGACTCGATGGTATTCGATTCGTTTTTCTTGGCGGCAGATTTCGAAGTGTCCCACACAATCGGTTTCCTTGACGATGTTGTCTTCTCAGAGGATGCGTTTTCTCTGTTTGGCGAAGTTTTATTAGAAAGCCTCGAACGCTCTTGGATTGAATCGAATGCATTAGGTGAATCAACAGTTTGAGAGGGAAATCGTAGTCTGTCTTCCAAAGCTTTCTTCCGAATTTTGGAATCTGGAACTTCTGCATCACCTGTCGACCGTTTTCTTTTGTGATTTTCAGGCCTCTCAACAGTTCTCTCGCTGGTTCTATGACTGTGAGATGGTTTCCTGTCATCAGCTGTATTGCTTTTCCGTTCACTAGATTTCGATATCCGTGAGTGTGACTTTTGAGATGCTTCTTTCGAATTCCTTCGCTTCCTTTCTTCATAATCTTTATCCTTTCTCGTGCGGTCATTCTTGCGATCGTTACTATCATTGGCATGCTTGTCGTTGGATCTTCTTTCATTATTTTCTCGTTCTTTTCTTCGCAAATTCTCAGATTTTCTCTCCGTTCCTTGTTTTTTCTTATTTTCAAAATGCCCATGAATTAAACTCCCTACATCTTTCAGCGAAGGTTCAGCCACAAGTGGTTTTTTTACAGGCATAACAGTCGGCATTCCATCGTTGTTTGTTTCTAACTGATTCAAATAGAGCCAAGTTTCCATATCTTCAAGATTATTGAATTCCAACTCCACGGTGCTGCGAGCTCTCATTTTCTGGAAAAGTTATGTATTGATTGATAGTGTCAGCCTAAATATACCTTCATCGCTCGCGGTCGCAACGGACACTGCCGATCTTTGAAATGATGAGTACAGTTTGGACAAATGACAACTCCACTGGACTCGATCGCGTTTTGTAGTCTGAAATTCCGAAATATTCGGTAAGAATATGGTCTGAAAATAGTTTATCACCGACTTTTTTTGCAGTTCCGCATTTTTATCCGTTAGTTTCTTAATTTGACTTCGGGCTCCTATCAAAAGTTTACGAAAGAGCGCTGCATGAACATGAGCATCGGTAGAAGACGGTTCAGGTGTCGTTCGCTTTTCTGGCTGAGAATGAGAAGGCGCGTTCATCATCGAGGTTGATGCTCCTGTTGGGATATACTCTTCGCCAAGAGCCAATGCATATAAATCATCTTCTTCACTGTTCATCGTATCTTAAACAACAAGCGAAACCCATGCAACCCACTGAACTTATAAAACCAAGGTAACAGAGTGTTAGAAGAACACAGAGAAGCTTTACAAACCACAGGTACAATAAATGTGCTGGAAATAGTCAACGTATATTTAGAACATGTATAATTTATTGAAATAAGTTCAATCAAAATTTGAAACAAAAATTAAGATCAGTTGAAAATCAGGCATCGCTTTCATCAGCAAGCTTCAAGGAACCGAAAATTTGAGCAGGCACCGTCTTAGTTTGAATGTCCATGTCCTCTCCTTCCTTTCCTTCGTCCTCATCTTCCTCGTCGTCATCCAAATCAATCTCATCGGGATTTTCAGTCGTATCTTGTTGAACTGTTTTGCTAGCTCCGCGGACGAATGAGATATTACCCTTGTTCATGGATAATTGTGTGACTGTACCTCCATCAGATGACACATGTGCTTGTTGGTCAAGAGACTCCATAGGATTAGCAGATCCACTTGTCGTTTCTTGTGCTTTTCGTTCAGCATCCACACGCATCTGCACGGATGTCAGTGTGACGTTAACATTGTAAGATGCTTCAACGGAGCGACGAACGCGGAGCATATCACGAACAGTAGCTTCATTTCCGTGGGCAACTTCAAAGTTCTTCCAGGTATCCCAAAATTTAACATGAACCTTTGGATCCGAGATTTCTGCTGCGTGTGCATATATTGCTCTTGCTCGGTCGATTTCTCCGACAGTTGTCTCTAACTGTGCATAGCGCAAGCTCATTGATCGAGATTTGTCTTCTGGTAGTTCCGAAATTGCGCGCTCGAAAATAGGACGACACTGAGCAATTCCATACATTTCTTGAACCTTTTTGATGTAGATATTATACATCTGCAAAAAAATCTGCGTTGAAGTTTCAGACATAACTAAAAAATACCAAATGCATGTCAGAACGGTCCACTCCAGAAGTTGCTCTGTTGTAAATTGACAGAGCGTGACGAGCAAGTCCATGTTCTTCTTCGAGTTTGGCATACAGAAGAAATATATCTGAAATGATAAGAATGTTTTGAAGCCGATAAATAAGAATAACATGCATTTGGAATGAGTCGGCGGGCAGTTCTCGAGGCACTGTTCAAATAGATCTCGAGCTCTTTCCAGCTTTTTACCACCATATCTTTTTATGAATTTGACAAGATAAGTGTTCCAAATATCGAAGACACTTGGCCATTTGAACAATGCAATCCCCTTCTCGTATGCCTGGAAAGCAAGCTCGAAATATTCATTCTCCTCGAGGAAGACGGCGTAGTTCATTATCATTTGTGGTGATGCTACGCGCAGTTCTATCATTTTGTCATAGACTTTACGACACGACTCAACGGTGCCACAACATTCTTCGTAGTCTGCATACATGGCCCACAAGATAGGACTTCGGTGAACTCTGGCTTGGACTGATTGCATATTCTCGTGTTCTCCAGGCCTCGGAACAGAACAAGCTCTTTGCATAATAGCTAGTGCAGCCCTTGGGCGATTGTGTTTCATTTCCATTTCAGCATAAGCACACCATACGTTTGCCAACTCGCTTACACCTCCAAACTGTGAAACTACTGCCGTCTCAAAGGTTCTACGAGCGGCATCCAGGTCGTTGTTGCTCTCATACAGCTTGGCGAAACCGATCCAAAGATCCCGAACTTTTCCAACTTGAATTTTCGGGTTCACTGACTTCACTGCTTCTTTGAATGTTTCAATCTGCTTATCGTAGTTTCCTTCGTAGATATCCACTCTATTCAGCCATTCGCCCACATTGTGAGGATTTTGTCGCAAAAGAACACTGTTCATCAACTCATTTTTACGCTCCATGAGATTTTGATATCTTTAAAAAACAATATTTGTTAGTGGAAATAAAACTTGTTAATACCTCTGGAACATCCATTCTAAATCGACTTCTCCCTCTTGGTCTCCGCTTTGTTCTATCTGTCCCATCATAATCGACACTTCTCCTTCTTCAAAAGCTGCGTAAGCATCATACACCTGTGCGAAATCACGAACGGTGGATACTTTTGCAATGGCCTCTTCATAGACATCTCGAGCCTAGGAAATGTTTTGATATATATTAAAAATTGAAAGAAAAAACATTAGGGAAGACCCTAGTTTCCGAGACTGTAAAGTCGCCCACCTTCATAATTTTCACCAACTAACCTTCTCGAATTCGGCGTTATTACTGTAATAATTAGCCAGCGAGCACCACAAGAATCCCACTTGATCGGTGTAACGATAAATTCCTTGACGAATGATAGCATCAACGTTTAATGAAAAAATTTTGACAGGGTTCTCCGATATCAAAGTACATAGCTTTGTCCAGAGTTGATGAGAAGTTTGACCCTTTTCCGAAACGTTTTGATCTTGGTTCACAAGAGTCGTCAACTCCTTTGCGGCTTCGTCGATTTGGTCCCTTTCGATCAAGTATTCAACGTAATCTTCGCGAGCTTTAGGATTTATTTTGAGGTATCTTCTATAAACACGGATAGTTGTTTCCGGAAGATCGTGGCTGGTCAGAAAGTCGATGTACATAGGCCAAATTCTCATGTGCTGAGTCACCGGAAGAGATCGAAGTGCTCTATCAAAAACTCGTCGAGTCTCAGTTATCAAACCTCGTTTTATCATTACTTCGCAGTAGCAAATCCAGATCCGAGGCATCTGTATTCAGAATAAAATAGAAGAAAATAAATTAAAGAAAACACACCTTATGCAGTCGCATTAGGCATCTTTCGTAAGTATCACAGAGTGATCTCCATGAATTCTCGGTAGGACATTTGTTGACAATAGTGCTTTCCCGATATTTCAGGTAGTGATACCAAAGTTTGTAGCTTCTTTCGAAGATTGCGAGAGCCCGTTCATAAATCTGAATTTTTTTTAAAATTTACAAGTTTCAGAACAGTCCTTACCAAGAAAACTTGCTTTGCTGGCGACTTATTTTGTCTCTTGTGATCAATATATCTTTGCCAACAGTTAACTGAAGTTGAGTTTCGAATGATGTCTTCTTCGAACGGAATATCTTCTGGTGCCTGAAATAATTCTTATCGTAAAAGCTTTGAACCTTTGGGCAAGACAAGCGCACTCACAATCCCTTGCATTTCAGTATTCGGTGCCTTCGCGATTTTTTTCGTAACTTCGACGAAGCCGCTCGCCAATTCACTGTTTTCTTTATCTGTCATTGTCTGAAAAGCGAACGTTAAATTTCACAGATGATACGATTTCAATAAGAATTAAAGACGAAAAATAATTTTCGGGATCATACATATCGGAAGGTTCGCATTTGGCAAGAAACAAAACAACAAAAAAAGCGAGAGTGCAAGAACGAAACTCTTTGCAGAAATTACATCAGGTGATTGTAAAGTTTGAAGGTATTCCGACTACATTTTGGAAACTAAAAAAATTTACGAGAAACACGAATTCGAAAAATTAGTTTGGTCGTAAGATAAAATGTGTGCAGACTGCTTGTGTCTGCAGCTGCACACCGTATATTGTGAAAAATACGTTGGCTTGTCTAATTTCGAGATGAGATAAATAAAAAGAAACGGTCTTCGAAGCTTTAAAATTGAGACATTCAGAAACCAATTCTACTGAAAATAAAAAATGTCTTCTTTCCGCCAGTTTGTGTGGGATCCAGTGCTTCTGATAAGCCAAATGACATGTCTGCAAACATTTTTTTATGCAGCACAAATGTCGGTCATGTTGCTATGTAGTTTCTACGGATACGAACCGCTTATCTCTTCGATTTTCTCTACACAGGTTGTGTTTCGAAAAAATTAAAAATCACAACCTCAATAGTTGCAGACACAACGCTCGATGGCGCTTATTCAATTAATTGCTTCGGTTGGAGTCTCATTTGCTCTTTCTTATTTAGTTCAAAGAGCCAAGCAATGTTTGGATTTTGCATGTACGGTGTACTTCTTTCATTTGATATGTGTAACAATCTACAATCGTACCCTTCCCACTCAATTCACATGGTAAGCAGGGATGTGCGCGAAATTTTTATTTTACGAATTTCGTAAAACGTAAAATTTTACGAATTACAAGCTCGTAAATTCGTAAAATTCGTAAAATCCGTAAAAAACTGAATCTTCAATTGAAATGGAAAAAACTGCAGTTTTATTATTAAGCAATTGGCAAATGGTCCGCAAATGTTGAAAATCGTAGAACCGAATGCTTCTATGGGGTTACAACAATTTTCTAATCTTTTTCCTTAAAAAATGCTAAATTGTGAAAAAAAAGCATCCAAATTTGGGAAAAAATTCTTTGAAAATGAAGCGAATTCGTGATTTAAAATGAGATGTGACCATAAAATCAACTCAAAACAAGATCAAGAACATAACAATGAACCGGAATACTGTCAATTCTGAACAAAAATGGTGAAACACTCATCCAGTTTTTACGAATTTTACGGATTTAATTTTACGACACTCGTAAAATTTTACGAGTACCAAAACACCTTAAAATCCGTAAACTTCGTAAAATTCGTAAACGTAAAATCACATCCCTGACGGTAAGTCGGAGTGAATAATATAACCTTCTAGATTCAAGAATCTAACTGATTATCGTTTTTCGTTAAGAACATTTTTCTATTGTTTTTATTTACAGGTGGATCCTGCAAGTAATCTCGACAACAGTTTGTACAGTGCTTGGTGAATATCTTTGTATGAAGATAGAATCTCAGGAAATCAAGTTAGAAGGCGGACCTTCACGATACGACTTGTAAGTAGGAAGATCGCATAATTGACTCTGGTCCGAACACGGGTACTTTCGTTCCCATCAAATGTATGAATTAATACGCATCATTACGTTCCAATAAACACTTTGCAATGAATCTGTATCGTATCTTATATAATTCAACGTTGAAGCACAGAAACAGGAACAAATAACACATAACCTAAATATAAATATCTTTATTGAAAAATAAATAAAGCAGAATTAGATCACAGACAAACAATTTAATATGCGGATAGTGTGGCGATAGGGAAACATGAAATTCGAAAGATTCCAAAATGTTTCCCTCGAACGAACGGGGCAAAAGAAGTGTTATGGGCTTGGCGAAAAGACTAGTCAATTGTATTTAGGAAATAAAGCGAGAACTAAATAAATATATGAAAATTATTTCCTTTTGTTTTGCTCTTTCTTCAGTCGATCCTCCTCAAGCAATGCATCTCTGATGTTTTCCATCCACTCTTTCGTAACAGCTTGCGATGGAGACAATTTCAAGTTATCGGAGCTGTTCTTCTTAGGAGTTTGTGTTGGCTCATAAGCGAACTTGAGACCAGGAGCAACCTCGGTTGCTGCTGAAGACGACGGAGCTTCGGTAGTATCAGAATCGACAACCTCGATCCCCCAATCGTTTTCTTCGTGAATAATCGGTTCATCTTCAGGAGCTTGAATGTCAAGAGTGATCGGTTCGGAAGATATTTTCTCTTCGTACTCCTTCTGCCTAATTTGACAATGACGATCATCACAGGACGGGTTCGGCTTGATGCTTTCACGAGGGAAAAAGTCAGCTAAGGCATTGTATCCAACGTAGTGAGAGACTTCTCCGAAGTTTAGCAGATACTTGAGAGTATTCATCACTAGGAATCCAGCTACAACTGCCATCGTTGTTGGTAACGAAGCAGCACAAACACCCTCTCGTTTCAGTGTTCTTTCATCAATGTTTGAAGCGACAACTAGAGGTGGAACACACTGGAAAGCTAAAAATTTCTTTTGAAATAAATAGGTATGCACTTACAGCAAAGCATGCTGTCTTCCCTGGTTCGATGTATTGAATGTGTCCTGAAACAGCATTCTCACTGACGCCTGATTCCATCCAGATTTGGTTTTCTTCATTACATGCCATGTTAACTGCCATTCGAGCTTCAAAATTGTCAACACAACTGAGAACCAAGTCAATCTTTCCGCTTTTCAGTGAACCATTTCTGAACCAACATATTTTCATAAAACTGTAAAAAATCGAAGCCGAAAACTCACCTGATTCTCCCGACAAAAACATCGAAGTTGTCCATAGTTGTAATGTTGAAATTGTGAACCTCTATTTGTACATCAGGGTTAACATGACTGAAACATGGGCTAATTAAAAACTTATCAAATAGTTCGTTCTCACATGAGTGTGTCTCTTGCCGCCTCAACTTTACTGAGTCCTGCTTGGTTGGGTTGATAGAAAAGACGATTCATATTGGCGATTTCGACTTTGTCATAGTCAAAAAGAATCAGTTTTCCAATTCCACACCTTGTTAACATTTCTGCTACCACACTGCCGACACCACCGACTCCCACTACGGCTACAGTTTTATCTCGAATTTGTTCGTAGTCACGGACGATTCCCATCCGCTGGAGTGCCATCAGGCGACTGTATGGATTAGAATCCACAACTTCTGCACTTAGTTTTTCAATTTTTTGCCGGTATGGTGCTGAAGGTCTTTCTTGTGAAACTGTTGGACCCTTTAAAACACTTGGAGTCTGATTCTTCTTTGTTTCGAGATCATCCAGAGCATTATTTAATCGACTGACGATGTCGCCAATCGATTCTGCGACGTCACTTTCGGTCATATTAGCCTGAAAGAAAAATTAGATTAGGTTTTCAAAAAAAAATCTGAAATCGGTTGCTGAATCTAAAACCGAATTCCACAAAATGCACTCCGACGTGTAGATTTACGAAGCCCCGCCCATTTTTGCAGTTTTGCAAAGCGCGGCGTCCCTTTTGGCAAAGTCGCCGCTGGGATGTTGCGTATGTCATACATTTTACAGAATTTTTCTGCCAATTTGTGCCATCTGAGTCGGAAGGTTTCTAAAAGCTGAATGCTTATTTTACTCGTATTTTGTGAGAATGAATGATACAGATGTGAAAAAAAGCGAAGTTTTCTAAAATTTTACGCGGCATTTCCCAGCTGGATCTAAATTCATTGACCCTTATCAAAAAAGGGATTCATCTTTGGCCGCATGAGTAGAAGTCGAATAAAGTTAATGCACGATGATTGAAAAATATTCAAAATTTTATTGACATCGAGACATTTTGTTTAATTATGGCACTAAATTAATGGGACCACATTGAGCTCCTTTTGAACATCCGATAATTGACTTTCAAAGTGGTTTTCCCAGTCGAATGCCATGAAAAACCGTGCAGTTTTCGCTTGTTCAACAACCCATGGAAGATTTTTATGCAGAAATTCTGAACGATTCCTGTAATTTTGAAATAATCATGCAAGCTTTCATTATTCTTCTGTAATTACTTTGTCAAAAGTCTGGCTCCTCCAAAAATACCACAGATACACACATTGGTAATCCGTACTGAATTCCTTCAAAATATTTCACTGTAACTTCCCCCAACATGTTAGTCTTTTGCTCGAGAGCAATATGAGTGAAATCGTGTGTTTCTCGATATCTGAAACTGAAAATAAGCTTGAAAGTGTTCGTTTTCCTACCTCTGCATAACATATAAATGTTCCAGATTATCAATATACTTCACAGTCGGTCGAGCATCAGGTGATGTATTCAAACGTTCCAAGAAACTGAAATGTTTAAAGTTAATCTTTTTGATACTGACCCACTCTTTTGGGAGCATCAGTTGTAACTGAATTATTGCTTCGAAGTTTGATACATCTTTGGTATGAGTAATTCTTCAACTAACTTTGAGTAATGTTTACCCAAGGTGCCATCTGGTAGCTGTGCCAGCCACTTTCTGTCAATTGTCTCATTTGAGATGCGGGGCTTTTCCATGAGAAGCTTCTTCCCTATTTTATCCGACTCCATCCTCCTTCTGATATTTTCCAGCACAGGCCCGACTGCTGTAGTTTCTCCCATCGCTGCTACCATATCTCCTCTTCGAGGATCGGTTATTGCTGTCGCTGCAGAACCAATCCCCAAGAGTATTCGAGAAAGTGGAGCCAGCGGGACGTGAGATCCATAAAGCTTCTGGGCCGACATCTAACAAATTTAATCAATGTAATGGGGTTATTCATGTAGCGAAAATATGTATTGAAATGCATTTCCACGCCCTCGAAATTCAATGCATGAGCGTCGCGAAATGTATTTCAAAGCATTTCGCGACATACTGTCTATTCAATAAAACGTGGGCGCGCCGCAGGTTGCAAAGTGACACGCCCCTTTTTGAAACGCGTTCCC